TGATGTCTTCTTGATGCAAACTGGCTATTAGTTCTTTAGGTATGACCATAATTTATTTTTAAATACCATGATGTTGCCTGCACACTATGATGTAGTGTTGCTTGCTTTCCATTCAAATCCTGCTTGTTTTAGATGTCCTATTTTGCAATGCCGCACCCTGGATACCTTCTGTAATCTGCATTGTATTCATGTAGATGATGATGTCTCTATTCAAGTAGCCTATGTGTCTGCTTACGTACGCTTACGCTCCCTCGCCTTAGTTCGGCTTCGTTGGCCACTCTTTCTCAGTTTCTGGTTACAAAGGAACTTGCCCTCATGCAAAGCCCGCTGTGTTTCTCGCAGTTAGAGCACCCGGACTTCGATGCTTTGAGCTGGTTTAGACATGCTTTGCTGCTCACTGGATTTCACTGTGATCAGTTCGGCCATTGACTCTGAGTACTGCAGATGAGAACCTAAAATGCCGAGCAGAAATACTGTGTACTGCCACCCTGCTGAATCAGCGGATTGCTCTGACCATGCCCAGTCATCACTTGAATCATCTACTTCTCCTGAGCAGGTTGATGTTTTGGTGTACTAGTAATTGATCAATGATCATATTGGAAATGGACAATATCAATTGCACCATCAGATACACCAACCACCACAAGAAGCAACAGGCATGCTTGGCAAAAACGGAGAGACGCTACTGACAGCAGGCATGTACGGAATAATACTTGAAGTATGTTAAAAAAAAACCGATCAATACACATGTCTGCCTACCTACATCATTGGATTTGTCTTTTCAATCTAAAGTGCAGGCTAGTATTGATCGTGTGGGTTGTCCATCTACAGTAAATCCTAAGGCTATATTGACTACCAGTTTGAAGAATTTTCCAGTCTTGCACGTATCTAGGATAGCCGCAGTATTATTATTAGCAAATAATATTAACTGGTTTGAAAATAAGGTTAAGATTTAAACTCAGTGATATACAGCAAACTCCCCAGATCTGGGCAGGTTGGGACCAAGCACTGCCCCCAACTAGGAGTTGCCCGTAACTCAGAACTTACATCATCTGACTTACTTCATGCAAGTAAAGATTTTATGCCAAACAATATGACTGTTTTGGGGCCGTTTTCCGTTGAAAAGACATTTTTATGACTCTAGATGGGTCAGAAAGGTGCCCCCCGGTAGACGGACGTGCCCAGATTAGGGGCGTCCGGATCTGGGCAGTTTTACTGCACCAAATATACAATAAATGATTTACTGCACTCCGTACTTGACCGTACACAGTAAAAAAAAAAAAAAAAAAAATACTGGCTGTATACACGACTGATGTTGTTCAGGCATGTATCAGCAAGTATTGCTCTTGTAGTCAATCATACTCGGGCATTAAATCATACTGAGATACATGCAGGCCCCTACTGTCTCGCGGCGCCCGGATAACAGAGGTTCTACTGTACGAGTACTCCACGTTTGGACTGATTGAAAACAATGCATGCGGATCGATCTTGCAACAATGGATGTGCGAGCTGACCCCTGACTCCCTCAGCTTCTATTCAGTTTCAGGCTGGCTACAGCCCTGAGGAGTACTAACTGTTTGTCACCCCCTTGTTACAACATTATTCATATCACAGGCACGTCATGAGCTGATGTGAACAATAAAATTCCAAACCTCACCGTACAGCAGGCATATGTGGACATAGCAGTCTACAAAATACTGCCCTACAAAGTTCCAAATTAAAAGAAAGAAAGCAGGAAGATTTTAATTTTATAAAAGTCAGCCATTTTCAAGGAAGTATTGGCATTTGTGCGCTGCTTCAAGCGGGAGAGTAGACACATCTATGAAAGGCACGATCCCAGGACCAGGAATGTGAAACTCAGAAGTGTCACTTCAACCACTGACCTGCAGAATTAGATACCAGAGGCTTTATTACATCAATTCATTGTTTGCACTCTTTATGTTTCTTTTTCTTCGGTTTATGCTTCACCGCCACAATGTCTTCACAAGGATTCTCCTCGGCCAGTTCGACTCCTTTCTTTTTCGTCTTCACCTTGATGGACGTCAATTCATCACATGCGTCCTTTTTGGCCACTGAAACATTGTCGTCAGAGGAGTCAGAGGGTCCATCGGTTTTCTTCTTTTTCTTCTTCTTTTTTCCCTTCTTAGGTTGCACTTCCTGCTCCTTGACAGGTGGACGCAAGGCTGTGTAGTCAATGGAAGCAACTGGTTGCCGGTCAATGACTACACCTTCTTGGCGCGCCTTCGCCGAACTTTTTCCCATTGTTGGGTCTGCGGAAAAGGGGAAAGAAAATGAGAAGGAAAGAGAGAGAGAGAGAGAGAGAGAGAGAGAGAGAGAGAGAGAGAGAGAGAGGGGGAGGGAGAGGGAGAGAGACAGACAGAGAGAGACAGAGACAGAGACAGAGATAGACAGAGACAGAGAGAGAGAAAATACAGTACTAAGTTACATTGCAGAAGGCAACAATGCAAGTGATTTTGCAGTGACGTCCTGACCTTGCAGTAACACAGCAGTAACATAGCTCTTTATACAGATCTCTTCAGTGAATGCTGTGGAGTACTGAATGTTTACATAAGGCCAAAACAAATTATGACCTTGTTTCCGGTCGCCCGACCGGGCCACTTTTTCCCAAATTCTGAAACTTTTTTTTGGTCCCAAATGTATACAAACGGTGGCAATGTCATGTGTGCAAGTGCACTCAACGAGTCATAACTCAGTCAAATCTCAACCGAATTCCACAATAGAAACACCTACAAGGTAGCAGAGATTCTCAGCTGTCGGCTCGAAAACCTCCGGGGTCGATACGAGCTAGAATAACGGAGCTGGAAGGACTCGAACTGTTTGCTTGATTTCTCAGGATGTACGAAAACAGAAATACACCACATGCTGTACAAGAACAGTGAGTCAGTCACTTTGACATCGATCCTTGCCATGATATATGTACTTTTTGAATGTACATGTGTAGGTGCTCTTGTCCATCAATACCACAACGATTGAGGAACCAAAAAAAGTATCCAAAAAAAGTTTCATTCCGGCCGACCGAGTCTCCTTTTTGAGGGGTTGCCGACCGGAAACAAGCCTATTTTTTGTTTTGGCCTAATAACGTGATTTTCTAACAGTGTGCAGAATTCCAAGCTGTGAAGGATGCACCAGTGGCTTTGATCAAAGGGAAAATCACCATGGCACCAGCCTATGGGAACTTTCTCTCGACCCAGGTTGGATAACGCAAAACAAATTCACCGTTCGCCCGAGATCCAGTTAGACTGAGTTTTCGGCATCCGCAGGAACACCACCACACTCTAGGAGCAAGGCGCCGGTCAATGCAGCTCCTAAAACGGCTGGACAAAGCAAACATGCATACAACGACTGATGCAGTCGATCCGGATCCCTATCAGCTCAATTGATCGTGTTAAAGGGCATACAAAAACCTACCAGTGTTCTTCATGTCACCCCTCTCAACTATATCCTCCCCGCAGACGGCAGCTGAAGCTAGTCTTCTTATCTCCTCATCATCATCTTCACTGCATGCACAGTACAGAGGCAAGGCAACAAACAGCAGCAATGACACTGACACTTATTAATATTAGCTAATGATCCATGTAGAAAGGTCTGCAATCGCTCGACTGTGTTCGTGCCACACTCCTGCACAACAGAACATGTATCAATAGTACGAAGTATGGCTGCTCCAGCGCGAAGCACCACTTCCCTGCCTATGGCACAGAGTGCCAATAGCTCATTCCGTTGCTTCCCCGGTGATCTTGCAGACCAAGAGACCGATAGCGAGCCGTGGAGGAAGAGTTGGAAGGCTACAAAGCAACCACCAAGATTGCTTAATGTCTGCAAGAGGGCTTCACGAGGTGCGCTACGAACTCAGCTCGACACCATCATTGTGAGTGCTTTGGATGTGTAAGCTCGTATGTTACACCCCCACCCTTCCAGGATAAGCTGGTGAAGGGGCGGCTCAAGTCAGGGATGCTAGGAGTCGCTTGTAAACATGTGCTGGAGCAAGCCAGACGTGGTACGCTAACAATGGAATCGTCAGTTGCTACCTGCCAGCAAGCCTTGCGATTTTTGGTAATGCAACCGTATTCATGAAAGGGGAGCATCGGAGAAACGCAGTTCTCGATATGAAAAAGGGCCTAGCTGACATGGCAGGCTGTATGTCATATCATTGTATACGTATAGCCTGCCATACGTGCTGCACACTGAAATATTATTTCAGTATGCAGCACACGTGAATGACTGTACGAAGAAGAAGAGAACAGAAAGCAAAGTAAGGTCTTGCTGACTTCAAAACCCACCTGCCTGAAGACACTGACGGTCGCCGACGCCTCTGTGGTAGGTGAGCATCGAGCTCACGTTGTACCTCGACTATCGTCTTAACCCGGCTTCCATCAGATGTAGAAAACAGCTTCAACCCTACGCACAAAGACAAAGCATTATTTTCAAAATCATTTTAAAATCTACACTTGTACCTGCAGCAAGACTTCAGGAATAGTACCATTTTTACCCAAGGCACCTCAGCTACAGCAACCTGTCTATTATAATAAAGTAGCAGCAGTAGCGGTGGAGTGCTCAGAACATTTAGAAACAAAGAAGTTGCCTGAAGATTGCATTGTGCAAGAAACTCGGAGTTGCTACGAACTCTGTTTAAAACCTTCTTTGTGCCGTTTGTGTGAATCAAAGAAGTCAATATCAATTTCAAACCCAATTTCAATATCAATTTCAATACCAATTTCAATACCAATTCAATATCAATACACTTACCGGTCCATTCAGATTCTGTGCTCTTGGTAGCAACGTTGGCTGCAGGAAACATACAAACCAAAGCACTGGTCAGTTTCCAGTCATGCTAACTCACTTTAGGGCATTCTAAGAGTCAGACTATCAACAGCCAGACATGATATAGAAGTTAGGCGAGCATGCACGAAATATGCTCCGCAAGTAGTCCAATGTATGGAAAGAAGCAACCCTCCTCATGCACTCAACGAAGGTAGGTGCGCAGATGGTTAGATGTACTACACACTGCTCATTGAGCAGTAGCAGGCAAGATGCACATATGACCAACTGCGTACGACACCAGGAATAAGGCTATGTTTGTCATGTTGAAGAGCCAATATGCTACCGTAAATGGAAAGGCCACCACTTTGCAAAAGCCAATTTGTTCACACTTTCAAATGAAACGATTCATGACGCAAACAGAGCTGTGGCTGCTCGTCTGGTGGGCCATTTCAATCACAGTAACGAGGCCACCAATGCCCTGTGTGAACGGCAAAAGGCAGATAGTGTACGTCAGCCACTCTGTCTGATATTGGGCGTTGCCACAAGATGGAACAGTACGCACGACATGTTGTCCAGGCAAGCTGCAAGCTGCGCCCGTTTGCGACGGCTGTGTTGCAAGACATCACCATTGCCAAAGCTGCAGGCCAGTCTCTGAATCTCACTTCAGCCCAATGGAAGTCGGTACAGTACATGGCCGATGTGTTGAGCCCTTTCGTGGTGAGATGAATGATCTGTCTTCCTCGAAGAAGGTCACGATATCCACCATCTTACCCCTGATGTTTGGCTCGCAGAATGCATGTGTTGAAGCTGATGATGATTCCGCATTCATCTCTACGCTGAAATCACGACTCGAAGTAGCATCCACCCTGACAGCTGCGAGGCCATAGCAGCTGGACTGGATCCCAGGTTTAAAGATTTAGGGTGCTTGGCTGATGAGGATTGCGAGGCTGTGCGGACCGAAGTAAAGTTGCTTGTTGAGGGCCAGCTGGAAGTGCCACTGTGGGATGATGAACTAGTGCCAGCAGCCAAGCGTATCCCAGTCCAACCACATGAGGATGCAGTGCAAGACCCTGAGATTTGCCCAGCGAGCTGTGGGCAAGGCTGTTCGGTTGGCTGAGGCGTGGATCGGCGCAATTACGGATGAAGCTGAGGCCACCCAGAAGGACGGCTCTGTCCGCTGGTAATGTATCAAGAAGTTGCGGGGAATGCACACTGGCCGGCAGTCAGTGGTGACATCCAGCGTCCGGGACGAGAATGGCAAATTGACAGACAGTCCAGAGAGTTTGGGAGCATGTTGGCATCGCCACTTTGATCGTGTCCTTAATGTTGAGAGTGTGTTTGCTGCGGAAGTCATTGAGTCCATGCCAGTGCTTGATATCAGGCAAAGTCTTGACAACCCGCCCTCTTTTGAGGAAGTGGTAGCGGCGATCCGCAAGCTACACCCAGGCACTGCGGGCGGACAGTCTGGAATTGTCCCGGAAATGATTCTTGCTGGTGGTGAGGCATTGCATGAGCGCATCCACAATGTGATCAACGAGGTATGGACCTGCGGTTCTGCCGTGTCTGACTGGCGAAGCACAGAGATTGTCCCTATCCCCAAGAAAGGTGACTTACGGCCCTGCGATAACTGGCATGGCATCAGCCTCCTGGATGTGGTCGGCAAGGTCTTTGCTCGTGTTCTTCAGGGTCGCCTGCAGGCGGTAGCGGAGGCTGCTCTGCCGGATTCCCAGTGCGGATTCCGCAGGGGCCGTGGCTGCAGTGACATGGTATTCATCGCAAGACAACTGATGGAGAAGGCAGTGGAGCACGATTCTGAGCTATATGTGCTTTTCGTCGATCTGCGCAAGGCCTATGATACGATTCCGCGGTCTGCTTTGTTGCTTGTGCTTTGCAATCTGGGGATTCCTCCGAAGCTGCTTGGCCTTGTCCAGTCGCTCCATGAAGGCATGGAGGCGTGTGTTCGGCTCCCTAACGTCGCCACCGACAACATCAGCGTCCGGAATGGCTTGTGTCAGGGCTGCACACTGGCACCTACGCTCTTTAATCTATATTTCTCTGCAGTGGTCTCTTCGTGGCATCGCCAGTCTACGTTCCGGGTGTACGGGTCCGCTACCGTGTTGGCAGGAAGCTTGTTGGGGATCGGACCGCCAAGTCTCGACTGGCCTCCACTGACATCACGGAGTCCCAGTTTGCTGATGATGCGGCTCTCTACACCACCTCTTTGAGCCACCTGGAGACGATGAAAAACGAGTTTGTGTCCTGTGCTTCGAGTTGGGGTCTAACTGTGAGCGTCCAGAAGACCAAGGCCATGGCGGTGAACTGCTCTGACCTGCCACCTTCCATTGATCTTCAGGATGGAGGAAGCGTGGAGGTTGTGGACAGCTTTACTTATCTTGGCAGTGTCTTGAGTGCAGACGGTGCTCTGGACAAGGAGCTCACCTCCCGCCTTGCCAAGGCCTCTCGTGCTTTTGGCGCTCTGCAAAAGTCAATCTTCAAGTGTAGCGGTCTATCCATCAAGTCTAAGCGTCTTGTCTACAAGGCCATTGTCCTCCCTACCCTCTTCTATGGAGCAGAGACTTGGCTCATGAAGGCCCGGCAGATGAATCGCCTGAATCTGTTTCATCGCTCATGCATCCGTTCCATCTTGGGAATCTCAAGGAGCGATCAGCACTCCCATCATCTCACTACTGCTGATCTAGCCCAGAGAGCGCGTCTTCCCGAAGACATTGGCACTCTCCTGTGTGAGTACCGTCTGCGTTGGCTGGGTTATGTTGCCCGTATGGACGTGGCCCGGATTCCTCAACAAGTGTTGTTTGGGGAGCTTGAGGCAACCAGACCACGGCATGGGCCAAACTGTCCCTTTGGAAAAACGCGGCCAAGAATTCAAAATTCTGCGGCAAATTCCGCGGGGTAAAGAGGGGTTTTCTGCGGCATTTTCTGCTGTAAAATCAAAAATCTGGGGCACTTTCTGCAAGTTTTTCACCCTCCTCGTAGAGGATATGACAACTAGTCGCATGAAGGAGCACTTTTCATACTATCCTTTGCAGTCACAAACTGAATAAGAATGAAGAATCTTGGAGAGACCTGCACTGGCAAGAGAAATGTGCTCCAACAGATCGCAAAGTAGTTTTTCTGCTGCTTTCTGAGTAATAATTTTAGTAATTTACCCTAAAAAATTCAGATTCCGCGGGCAAAAGTGTGGATTCCGTGATTTCCGCGGATGATGGCAACTTCTGCGAAATTTGCCGCGGCCGCGGAATCGCGTTTTTCCAAGGGGACAGGCCAAAGAAACGCGGGCGAGACACGATTGTCGGTGATCTGCGCTCACTACATATTCCGGAGTCTGAGTGGTACCGGCTCGCACAGGATCGCCCGGAATGGCGCAGGCGGGTCCATCAACATCGTCTTCCTCTCCCAGCACCGAAGGACTTCTACTGCGCATGCGGCAGAGCGTTTAGGAGAAAGTGGTGATTTGAAGCGTCACCTCAAGTACTGCCCAACTCAGTAGCCTATCATCTCCACTGGAGATGGGGCGTCAAAGGTCAAAGGTGTGTGTGTGTGTGTGTGTGTGTGTGTGTGTGTGTGTGTGTGTGTGTGTGTGTGTGTGTGTGTGTGTGTGCACTGTGCACTGTGCAGTGTTCTTGAATGATGTACTGAGTCGATGACTGTTATGATACTTCTCCCTTCATGGCTTCTCTTACCTTTCTCTTATCACATATGACTTGTCTTGTCATGCGATTTTTGGGTTTTGCAAATTCGCATACATTTTGAAAGTAACGCCAACAAATTTTTGGTGCGGCCAGTGCATGACGTCATTGCTCTGATATGCTAATGTCTGGTTGAAAAATGAAGAAAATGTTGAACGGTCTCTGCTGGGTTGACGACTACACCACAGCTCAGTGGTTAGAGCATCGCTGGCTACAAGCGAGGGTCCCTGGTTCGAGTCCTGGTGGTGACAGTAAATATTTTCTTCAGACTTTCCCCGTTTGTGTCTTTCCCTCAAGACCAGTGAAAAGTTAGAAATAAAATAAAAAATATTCGTTCGTTCGAAAAGTTGATATTCGAGAGAATATTCGTTCCCTAAAATGAGCCTTTCTTGCATCATTGGTTTTTACCAATTCCAGCTGTCACGGAATGTCTAGTGTGAAATTAGTTATGTGGAAGTGCTAAAAGCTATTCTCGTCCACCCCTTACTGAAGTCTCTACCTCCTGAACTGTTCTTCCTGTCCCGTGAGGACTACTGTGCTCTCTCCCTACCTCCTGAACTGTTCTTCCGGTCCCGTGAGGACTACTGTGCTCTCTCTCTCTACCTCCTGAACTGTTCTTCCTGTCCCGTGAGGACTACTGTGCTCTCTCTCTCTCTACCTCCTGAACTGTTCTTCCTGTCCCGTGAGGACTACTGTGCTCTCTCTCTCTACCTCCTGAACTGTTCTTCCTGTCCCGTGAGGACTACTGTGTTGTCTATAGACTATATTATACACTGTATATCTGTTGCTGAGGGAATATGTAGCTGAAACAACCAGATACGATGTAGCATAGAGCTAGAGACACATGAATTCTGGACACCGAATGCAGATCTGCAGGCATGCGGTGCTATGGCAGCATACTATAAAAGCCATATATAGAACGAAGTGCTAACTCTAACGAGTTAACGAGGAGAAATCTGTCGTTAAAATAGAAATCGTTATACAGAAATCGACACATATTATACTGTCCTATTGAGCGTGGAGAATGAGTGAGAATCGTTACCTTTGGTACACGCAAACTAGGCAATTTTGGGACATCGTTATGTATGCGCCTCGTTAGAATAATGGCTTTTACAGTAGCCTGTCATGGCTAGACAATGACATCTAGGTGTGGCTTTTACAGTAGCCTGTCATGGCTAGACAATGACATCTAGGTGCCAACGTACTGCAAACAAGAAGTCATGGTGGTTAGAGCAGAATCATGGTGTAGTCAGGCTCATGCCGGCGAGTCAAAGCCATGACGGCTGTTGACGAAGACACCCATGCATGGGGTATTTTAATTTCAGTTGCCGCTCTCTCCCTGCATGCATTTCCTTAGTTACTTTTTGTTAGTACTTTCTTCCCGGAAAATTTGGGAATAGAAGCTTCAAGGTGGATGGTGATTTTGAACCCTCACCAAAAAGACAATACAGTTGAACATCGATTATCCGACCACCTCTGGGCAGACAACTGTCAGGCGGTGTTCAGATAAGGCAAATGTTCCGGATAAGAAAAAACTGTCACTCACACACTTTCAGTGGTTATTACTAGCCGCACGACCTTTTTACTTTTTACTTTTCAAAATTTTCGTATTTTTTGAATGGCTCACTACATGCACAGTGCGTACTCTACGGCACGTGCGCCCAAAAAAACTGTTACGGATAATCGAATGCCCGGATAGTCGATGTGCGGATAATCGATGTTCAACTGTAGTGCATTGCACCCTACATTCTCCATCAAAGCCTACTGCACTGCTAGTACTGCGGGCTAGATATTAACAGGATAGGGTTTCTGTCAATGAGACAACACTCAACAGCACCATGCCATGGTGGACCCAGGTCCAGGAGAGGATCTGAACCAGGGAGTCGTAAAAAGTATTTTACGACTCCCTGATCTGAACCTGGCACACACGTTCATAAAACAACGACGAAAAGACTTTCGACGACCAGTCGCTCGCGCGTACGGTACGGCCCGCACGGCTGTTAGCTGCACTTGGATCGCGGCAACTTAGTTTTCTGCACGTGAACCATGAAAAATCAATGCATGCTCATGCATGTTCATGCATAACCAGTCAGCTGGCCTGCTCGCCCACGCATTTGACAGGTAACAATTCCATCAAATTTGAGTTATCGCTTCGTTCTAAGTCTCAAAACAGTTCTAAAGTCACCAAACCACGCTGGTAATCGATGGCTATTCAATGTTAACATCTTCAGGAAGACTCCAGCCGTTTCCCGAGAGTTTGGGCATCGTTGCCGTTATTTTTCACGGTGTTCTTCTTCCTCCTGTCTGGAGCTGCATCCTGGAATTATTTGAAAGGTATTTCGTGCGGGCTGTGGGGGGTTCCAACAGGCATAAACTGACATCGCTATAGGATAACTGGTAACTTTCACCCTTCAAGGAGGTAGAGCAATGAGAATTTTTTTGTGGCGGTCGTCCAATTTTTGTGGCGGTCGTGGCTGTATTTGTGCACTTCCAAGGCTTTCATTCTGCCTGATACTACTCTCTGCTGTATGGGAATCGTGTTTAGGCACATGTAGCTGTCTTATTTGGTAGATCTGCTGTTTCCAATCACTTGGGACACTTTGTCTAGCCTATTTGTCTTTCGTTCGTGCCATCTATCAGTTTTGTGGGGTGCCCTGGCCTGTATTTGTGAAGTTCTCGAGGAAAGACCCTAATTCTTGACTGGAGTCACAACTTGAATTGTATTTGCTGGGCGAGCCCTCGTTCACGCAGTTGTCCCTATCGTAATAGTCAATATCTGCTTGCTGGGCGGACTAGCGGCTAGAATAGGGATGACCAAATGGTCCAAGTGTGTACTAGTACACGATTATTGTTTTCATCATCGTGAAATGAGCGTTGTGGAATTGCAGTCGTCTGCCTTTGGCACTGAGGACACGAGGAGAGTTGATTGTTACTTCTGCTCAGCAACGAAGCGGTCATCAGCTCTCTTTGTTCTAATTATTGAGAGGACATACCGGCACCGCAATCAAGTAAAGATTAGGCAAACCTCGCCAACCTCCAAAGAGAGTCGCGATATTTTCTCCAAATGCAAAGACGATCTTTGTGAGTTTGTGACCTGCATTTGCGTGCATACATGAGCAAGTCACGGACCACGGCACGTGCGCGGTTACCATGCCATCTCGAACCGACGCCATCTTTCTAAGTTAGTTGCCGCTTCTTGACAGCCGGGCCCGGGCGCACGTGAACGAGTTTTTCGAAATATTTTTCGCAGGGATCGAGGTAAAAATGGCGATCCAAAAAATAGTTGCACCGATCAATGCAATATTCAACTGTTTTCAAAGTTCCTTTGTTTTGAGAAGAAACACGTCTTGGAGAGCTCGCGAGAGGAGTGAAGTTGTGGTGCAGCAGATTTGTTGATGGTGATCCATCATGGCGAGCCTGAAGCTGTATAACTCGCTGTCTCGAGCGAAGGATGATTTCAAACCTCTGGAGGGGCGGAAAGTCAAGTGGTACATGTGTGGGCCGACTGTCTACGATGTTGCTCATATGGGTCATGCCCGTTCCTACATGTCGTTTGATATCGTCCGACGTGTCCTGGCTGATTACTTCGGATACAACATCGTGTACGCCATGAACATCACCGACATAGACGATAAAATCATAGTGCGCGCTCGCCGTAATTTTCTCGTGGAGCAGTATGTTGAGCAGAAACCCAGCACTGCTCAGCTGATCAGCGATGTGTCCGACGCTCTCGCCCCATTCACTACGAAAGTGGAGAAGGAGACCGATAATGACAAGCGAGCTATGCTACAGCGGCTGCTTACTGAGGCTACTACTTCTCTGGAGGCGCTGAAAAAGGCTGTTGAGAATGGCAGTGCCAATGAGGCTATGTGTGATGCATTGGTAACACGAGCACGTGATCCACTCGGAGCATGGCTAGATTTTCACAAAGGTGGCAGCGTAACTGATCATAGCATTTTCGCCAAGCTGACACAGCATGTGGAGAGACTGTTCCACGCTGATATGCAAGCGCTCAACATCCTCCCGGCCGATTTCCTAACCCGAGTCAGCGAGTATGTGCCAGAGGTGGTCGAATTTATCCAGCGAATCATTGCCAACGAGTTCGCGTACGAAGCCGATGGATCTGTATATTTCGATGTCAAAAAGTTCGACGAAGACCCTAACCATACGTACGCTAAGTTAGTACCTGAGGCAGTCGGAGACCGTGCCGCTCTTGCCGAGGGTGAGGGTGAACTCAGCGCCGCAACGGGAAAGCGCTCTGATCGGGACTTCGCTTTGTGGAAATCGTCGAAGCCTGGCGAGCCCTCTTGGGACTCACCTTGGGGACAGGGACGTCCTGGCTGGCACATTGAGTGCTCCGTCATGTGCTCTGACATTCTTGGAGAGAAGGTCGACATTCACAGTGGTGGAGTTGACCTGAAATTCCCACATCATGATAACGAGATTGCACAGTCAGAGGCGTGCTTTGGCCATGATTCGTGGATCCAGTACTTCCTGCACGCTGGCCATCTCACAATCGAGGGATGCAAGATGTCCAAATCATTGAAGAACTTCATAACAATCCAGGAAGCACTGTCTCGATACTCTAGCCGTCAGCTGCGTCTTGCCTTCCTTACGCATTCTTGGCAAGCCACGCTCGACTACAGCGAGAACGTCATGAGTGAAGCCAAGCAGCTGGAGAGCTTCTTCGACAACTTCTTCCACTACGTCCGGGACTTGATGCAGCGCCAGTCTGCTGAAGTGCGCTGGTGCGTGCCCAAGCCCACGGCAGCAGAGAAGGAGTTGCACGAGAAGTTCATCGAGAAGCAGTCGGCTATTCATGACGCTCTGTGCGACTCAATCAATACTGCTGCAGCCATGCAGATCCTGCGTGAGATTGTTTCCCTTGTCAATGTGTACACTCAGAATGCCAAAGCCGCAGTCGACTCGCAACTGATCAAGAAAATCGAGACGTACGTCAGTAAGATACTCGCCACGTTTGGTTTGCCAGAGCCGAAGGACGACGTTTCGCAGGCGGGAAAAAGTGTCGTGTACGCTTTGTCCGATTTCCGCGATACTGTTCGTGCTACTGCTCGTGAAGCGAAACAAGTGGGTCTTCTTGAAGCCTGCGATGCTTTGCGCAACGATATCCTTCCTGAGCTGGGAATCAGTCTGGAAGACAGGCCTGATGGTCCTGCTCTCGTGAAGTTTGTCGACAAGGAAGTCCTTCTGGAAGAACGCCGGAAAGAGCTGGAGTTGCTGGAGGAGAAGCGACGGAAGAAAGCCGAGGCTCAGCGCAAAGCACAGGAGTTGCAAGCTGCCAAGGACGCAAAGAAGCGCATACCGCCCTCTGAGATGTTCCGCAAAGACCCGAAATTCACGCAGTTCGACGAGCAGGGCGTCCCGACACACGAGCGGGACGAAAAGGGCGAGGAGAAACCTGTGAGTGGAAAGCAGAAGAAGAAGTTGCAAAAGCTATATGATGCGCAAGCTGCGATATACCAGCCAGAAAGCTAACTACTTACGTTGCACTGGACGGTATTCCGAGACTTATTCTTATTTTCTATTCCATTTTTACCTCATCCCAATCATAATAAATAATTATTATAATGACAAAATAACCATATGCATGTTCATGAAATCAATTTGTAAATATTACTAGATAATGAAAAGCCCGTTCGATTAACTTACTTGATGGCGATGTGCTGATTTCTACAATAGACCTGCAGGGAATATCACACCAATCAGACCAAAGAAATGCTTCTGCATGGTTTTGTATGCCCAAGGCCCTGTGTACATACCACCTCTCTTCTTTTCTTCTTGTATCGCGAATATCGCGACTTCATGTCTTTGTTGACTGCATACTGGACTATCCCCATTTGGACTTCTTTTCAGAATTTGTTTTCCAATCCAAGATTTTAGTTTCACTAGATGCTACTCTGGCATGGCTGTAGTCCACCAGGCACTTCATGCTACCAGCAGATCTACATGTACTTGACTTCCAACGACTACATGGTGTGGCTGACTGTGTGTCAGGTCCACACATCTGTCTCCTTGGAAAACGCGATTCCGCAGCCGCGGCAATTTCCCCAGAAATCGCCATCATCCGCGGAAATCAAGAAATCCACATTTTTGCCCGCGGAATCTGATTTTTTGTGGGTTAATTTAATTAGTAAGGTTCCTACACAGAAAGCAGCAGAAAACTACTTTGCGATCTATTTCAGGCCATTGCTCTTGCCGGTATAGGTGAGTGCAGGTATCTCCAAGACTGTTCACTCCCGTTCAGTTTGTGATGACGAAGGATAGTGTGCAAAGTACTCCTACAGTCATGTATTAAACTTGTAAGGTTGTCATATCCGGCGGGCCAGAGGCAAGTCGCATTTTTGTCTCAGAAAAGATCAGTTGCAAATTCGTGACGTGGCCTAAGCCCCTGAACATAGACTTGAAAAGCACCTTTGCATTCGAACATGGGCGTTGCTTATACAGTCTTTATCGCCTTCTTAGTATTTGACCCCACTAATTTCCCTGATACCTAAGCGGTCAAATATATCGCGTATTTGACTGCTTAGTCAAATACACGATATATTTGACTACTTATATTTGACTCCTTAGAACTTCTTGGACTTAGAAATTTTCTCTCCAACTTAGAAAAAGAAATTTTTGAAGAAAGCAGAATTACACAAGATGGGATTTGAACCCACAACCTTGTGAATCTCAGTCACTCTTCCTTACCACCCAGCCACTGTGCTACCGATGCTGAACCTAGTTTAAACAATGACCTTGATCCTGCAATGCCGTACAATGCGGTATAGGCTATAGTGTAATACTAGAATTACAAGGATATGTCATGTATGAAGAGAAACTATTGCGTGGAGAACACGATAAATAGATTATAGACCTCATAGTTGGTCTATACAGGATATATAGACCTCGTAAAAGACCTCGGGGGACCTCGGTCTTTTACTCGGTCTATATATCCTGTATAGACCTCCTAACCGGTCTATAATCTATACTTATAGTGATACTTGTACTGGGTAAAACACGTTTTGCTTTTGATATTTCGCACCAATATCACTGTAGCCGATATATTCTTATATCCGGTCACTCTATAGCCGATACAGACTGTACATGTACATACCACATACCACCTTGTATGCAAGCTCGGTGGGGAGAGAATTTCAGAGAAATACAGCTAACTACAGTTACGCTCACTGAAATCCGACCCAAAGTGCAAAACTGGCGCCCTGGACCAGATTCGATTACATCACTGTACTTGTACAGTCAGACCTCGCTTATCCGGATCCCTCGCAATCCGGAAGAAAATCGTTGGTTCCCGATTTACAGAATATACCATGTACACATACAGTGTGCATGTCCGATTATCCGGTTCCCTTGCCTATCCGGATATTTTTCTGGAAAACGGATGTGTGCGGTTATGCGAGGTCTGACTGTACATGTGTACGTCCAACAGCATTCGTACCACTTCCAGGGTGTCAAGGGCAGTGCAAGTTGTGGGCGTCAAATATGCACTTTATTTGGGTTGGATTTCACCCGAGCACAGCTGTAGTAATACTGTAATACTACCGTACTGGCAATATATGTTGCCGCGTAACGCGTAACGCAGGGGGGTGCGGCGTAACGCGCGACCAGGCTAGTGCGACAAATTTTCGTTGCGTTCGTAACGCGCGTCCGGCGGGGTGCGACGATCTTTTCATTGCAAAAAAGGCTGAAAACTGTGAAAGCACGTGTACCGAGTGGTGAAAAGTTCAAAACTGGACGCAGCAGGAAGTCCTGCAATAGCAAAAAAAGGACTGCGGCAATATAGAAACCTGTGTAAACGGCTCCTGTGCGACTTTGCATGTAACGCCCTGCGTGCGGTAAACATGTGCCAATGTAACGCTTCATGGCCTCACTGCGACCATATATATAGCCAGTACGGTAGTACCGGCTTTCCAATACTGACAGGTTCATTGTTTCACTTTAGCCCACAGCACATCTGCCCTAGAATCATGGTATAAACTACAACACCAAAGTCCCTACTAAAAGTCTAAAACTCTTACTCATCCAAGAATGCTGAAAGCTTTTTGGACATATGGGCTTTGAAGCCGGCAGACGAAACACTATCACCACCATCATCACTGTCCTCATCTTGTTTGTGGCGAAGAGACGGCTTCGAGCTTCAAGAAAGAGGCCAGGGAGACAAAATGAGAGAGAGAGAGAGAGAGAGAGAGAGAGAGAGAGAGAGAGAGAGAGAGAGAGCGCGACTTAACATTACAGAACAGTACACACAACTAGAGAACAGTGCAAATAATACGGTAATGCTGTAACTCTGATTTCATGTACGATTAGAACACATACCCAGTACAGGGAAGTTCATTACATGCATCGTCAGGCTGCTGCAGCCCATGGATGTCAATCTCAAGCGCATGGTCGGTAGTCCGCCTTCTCATGCGTCCAGACGTTACTGGTCTTGTGGAGGCATGTGAGTGCACATGCCAACATACATGAGCAAGACCCAGCATGAAAAGGTGGCAATATTATTATTACCGTGAAGTACCGTTGATCCGCTCAATTTCCGGCCCCTGTCGAATTTCTGCCTGTGAAGCGACTTCGGTGTATACAATGAAGTATGGTGTTGAACCGACACATGCACTGCTGTGTACAATATGTGTCAGTGCAGGATTAAAGGTGTGCACAATTCAGCACACCATGTCTGACCTTTCGCGCTGTTGTACATCGTACTGCACTTGACAGTCTTGATCTAATTCCCGCACGCTGGGAAGCGACACGGCGTGGGGGATTAACAGTACGTTACGGTATTATCAGCCTTTTCGCGTTGACATCACCAATGAAGCTTGGCTAGTCTACGCTTAGGCCAAATGGAATGAAGAACGAGGCAATGCATGTGTGATAGACAAGCACAAAGCACAGCTGTTACCTTTTACGTTGAGAAGCTGGCTGCGATGCTTTCAAACCCAACTCAGATCCTACATTTGACAAATAAGATATACGCAGCAAAGACAGTAGAAAACTAATTTGGTCTCAATGTCTGCACTGTACCCTTAAAATTCGCTACATGTACCATCCAATCCGATTGCTCATTAACCATCATGTTTACTTTTGTTGGCAATTCTTTGATATTTTTTAATGGATCTCGTCTTAATTTCAGCCCTGTCTATAAAGTTGCATTGGTGATATTACCATAGATCTCTATACTAGTACATGCATGGGGATCTTGTCATGAGTTTGACAGTACGTGTAGACAAATCACAAACTACGCCAAGCTTCCCAAGAAAATCAATTTGGCTTTACTAACCCTGGACAACGTCTTGAAGGCGTTTTTGAAATTCATCGTCCTCAGAAGAGGAAGAATCCATCACATCAAATTCACTACAGGCACGTTCGTCGTAGTACTGAAATACAGTGACACACTGGTGGGCTTACTGATGGATTTGATTACAGTCGCAGATTATTGATTTCGAACAACCCCTAATTCTACAGCTCTTTGAAAAAAGTTCTTTTTGAAGTGAATGAAGGCAGATCGGGGCACGTGCGCACGTGCAACGCATCACGTGGCTCGCTTTTCTGAATTGATGTATGACGTCATTGACGAGAAGACTACATGCATGTAGCTAGCTGTACCACTCAGATACATAATTCTTACTGAGATATGCACACTGTCTGTCCGTGTGTCGAGCTCTACTGATCATGCACAGGGCTGTAGTGTAGGGTCCGGGATCTGCCTAAAAACACTGAACGACGAATCGCGAAGCCAAGCCTGATTCGTAGCAGACTGATCGTAGATCTACTACTTCGTAGGCAAGAAGGGGTGGTGTTTCGCAGTGTGTGACTGTCACTTGTCCTACTCCTACTCCTAGCATAGTGTGCATGTCCTCATTGTTTGAGCTCCCGGCAGTTGCATTGCGGTAGCTCGATTCCTCTTCACGTGCAAGAGGACGGAGCAACGGGAAACTGGATAGACAAGGAAAAGGCCATACACACAAGTTTCAGTCTTCTGCTTGAGGCATCGTCTTGGCATACGCTCGCAGGTCACCAGGATTCTGGAATGGATCTGTCCGCGACTTGAAGAAATAATTATTGCCAATATTGGGCGTATTCCTTCATTCAAAGCAGGGTCTTGTGTTGAAGGAAGGAATTGACATGGTGACAGGCAAACACATGCAGGCAGGCTTGTAACCGGTTCCCGCTACTAACGCGCTAGTTATGTCCCAAAGGTCAACCGTAACGATGGATGAAAGGTAGGTGCGCTGCCGACGTTTCCTCAGACCCTAGCACTATTTTGGTTTCACGAGTGCTACATTGTACTACATGATTGTACATGTATCTCCCGGACCTTGAGCGGAAATTTAGGAATTTGAGAACTGCGGCATCTTGCTCTTGCTCAAAAGAGGTTTGCCGTGCTAGAATGGTTGCATGTTGACTGTTGTTATCTTGTGTGCATGTAGCTGCACCTCTATGGTCCAAATTCATTCTCTGGCTAATCGGTTGTGGCATGGGATTATCCCATGATTATCCCATGCCACAACAGCATGTAGCAGCATTGCAATCGTGTTTTGCAAGTGTCAATATCTGAATGCATGGGACATACCATGCAGCACAAGCACAATCACAATGGATTCCTATTTCCAAGAGTTACTGTAACGTCACTGCATGTACATGTATTGTAAAGAACTGGGATAGATACCGTAAAATCGCGGATAAAAGCCGGGCTTATAAGCATATAAGCCGCTTTCTGCATCAGGCTTTAATGCAAACCATGTTTATGCACCGTAGATCTACCACTGACTACCGGTATGGCGGCAGTTTTACTATGCACCGTACATAGCGCATGCACTCTTGACCTACCCGATCCGCGCTTGCATAGAAGCCAGGCTTCTACGCGCGACAGACTTATATGCATTTGACCCGTTTGATTTTCAGGCTTCTATCCACGATGTGCTTGTATGCAAACCCGGCTTTTATCCGCGACTTTACGGTAACTGTTCGGTTATGGCTACAGTAGTACATATAATCGTGTGTGTACGTCCGTGGGTGCATGCATGTGCGTGCATGCCTACGTGCAAGTGTGTGTCACAGTGTGTATGTGTGGGTGTGCGTGTGCGCATGGTATGTGTGTGTGTGTGTGTGTGTGTGTGTGTGTGTGTGTGTGTGCGCGCGCACACGTGCATGCATATAAGTATGCAACGTGGCATACATGTATGGTGTGGGAGCTCGTGGGAACATGCAGTTTGCTTTTGCCGCCACAAGACGGCGTTCACACACTGTTGATGTGCCATGCTTGTTGGTGTTCCACAGTGCGCGCTTTACTGGTCTGCTGCACTCTCTCAGCATGGCGGCCGAGGCAATGGTAAGCATGCATGCGGAAACCCTGGCTTGAACCAGAGAGCCGGGCACGCCAGCACAGACCATGCTAGCCTTGATGGTGAATTGGCGCAGAGCTCAATTCACTGCATGACCCAATGCCCGCAGTGCTACTAGGGCTGCACGGGCCCGGAGCTATCATCCACTCACGAGCCTGTGGTCCAGTTGCCACCAATGTGCATGATAACTTCCTCGCCAATGAACTTATGCCGCATTTTGGTATACCAACATGATACATACCCCCGCCTAACGTGACCGTGATAAGTTTGTGTGCACTTCATGTTGGATATTCTGTGTTTGCACATTGTTTGTAGCCACCTGGCTCTGACAGATTGTTTCAGGAGACAGCACTACTAAGAGAATTCTGGTGAGTGCCTTGGTGTATGCTGCTGCCTATGCTGATTCCATTCCCAGTGATGAGCTGTATTCGGCCCGTCAGTCTGCATAGAATACACCGTGGCATGGCAAGGAAGATCCTCTTTCGAAACTATGGCAATGTTTTGATGGCTTATCATTCCAAAGCTATAAGGGCGCGTTCGAATTGTCTTCATCAACTGTTCTAACAAATTTTATAAAGAGATTAGTTGAAGTGTCCCATTAGAACGGTTTCTATCATTTTAGAGATTTTCAGTGGAATTGTCATGGCGATCAAAAATTTAATAATAATAATAATGGCGATGATGACGTCGGATCAAATCGACCATCTCCACGTACTACGTGACGTAGCTATTCCAAACTCTTCGAAACTAATCCACCTTCCCATCGGATGAGTTTCGAGGAGTTTCGTTTTTCTGAAGAGGCCAATAAGGCCACCTCTTCAGAAAAACGAAGCTCCTCGAAAAGTCAAAGAGTGACAATTCGAACGCGCCCTAATACAGTAGCCATCCGGAGTGTGCACACTAGAGGACCATGGCATACTTCGGCATACGGCACTCGGCTCGTATGGTGGGGACCTTGTACTACTCCTTTCTGTGATTATACTAGCATGAAGTTCGATAGTCTGGCAATCGTTTTCTTTAGCCGCCGCATACTTGTGATGAATTGCATTGCTGTATATGACGTCGGGGCTTATAACATGTATCATCATTGTTCTGCTATCCTCACTGGCCAACCCCAGCCATCTATACAGCAATGTGAAGGACTTCAACTCGCATCAGTTCCAGCAGCAGTTCCCGGAAGTAAGGCTACGATTGCAAAAGCTGTACATGTATGCATGCATATTGATGCATTCATGCATTGTAGTGACTGGTGAGCACCTTTGCAGCAATACCTTGCATGTTGGTAATTGGCGTTTTGAATACTTAGTGTCCTGGATGAACGAAGACATCAGGAACAGAGCTGTTGTAAGGCAGTAACAGGTATAGTAGAAAACATGGGAATGCAGAAGGACAATGGAATACTGTAACACCTTCAGCAATAGACATAGTTTCGTTAGGGAGTAGGTGGTTAGCAACCGCTCATGGTTAAACACGTCTCCAGGCTGTATTATAATTATATACTCGAAAGTGTGTAGTTTGCTAACCATCTTTTCTTCCTCTGTTAACCGATATTGTCTGTGTGGTATCAGCTGAATGGAATATGTTTCTTTCTAGGAAGTGTACAACAATAATAGCGGGCCCATTATGTTCCAGCTTAATGTGAAGGTAGACCTCTGAGATTTTATAGCAAACATAGCAAGCATTGAAGCCTGTGTTTGTTCATTGCTTATCCCTGTCTTTTCCTCTGTGTGCATGTGCATGTGTGTGTGTGTGTGTGTGTGTGTGTGTGTGTGTGTGTGTGTGTGTGTGTGTGTGTGTGTTCCATGCAGGTTCTCCGCATGCTTACCATCAACCGCTTGCTAAAGGCGTAGGTAGTCCTAGTCCTTGCTCCTGATTCATTGCCCCGCTCCACAAGCTTTGCACATGCTGAGTGTATTATGAACTTACTACCTTGCTACCCTGCCGCCGAGCAGTGTTGTCACACAGGGGGGGGGGGGGGGGGGATGCAATCACGTGTCGCAGAGAACCACTAGAGCTAGTACTAACATGTGCCATTCCCAGTTGAACTTGGATAGAGAAACCACCTGTGAATGGGGATCACGTTTCCATTCCTAGCTTTGACAGGATTCACTGTACATATACCATCGTGGACAGGTATTTCTAGAACCGGGCACATCACAATTTGGCGAAGTTACCATGAATATCCGAAATGTATGCAAAACTAACTTTAACACTTGAATGGACGTGCGTTCACGGATCTGCTTGATCTTTTGCAGGCCTCGGTGCGGCACCCGGTGGTCCGTCTGCAAGATATTGGTGCCATTGGCATTGGTGCATAGAGCTGTGCATGACAAATTCCTGTAGAATTCTGGTAGTGATAAGATGTGTACCCATGGCATGGGCAACAGGGAAGTGCACTTAGCAATAGTATCCGAGTTGCTTCTTTCTTAACCTAACATGACACTTCAGTGTGGATCCGCAATGCACACGTCACGCTCCGGCGGAGGTCTATATTAAGTGAGAGTGCATCTCTTCAGAGTAGGTACTGAGTGAGTTCCGGTGTACATGTACATCTCTTGATCTGTCATTTATCTTTGCAGGGAATGGGTCACCGGCGTGGATCATGAATATCTGGTACCATACCTACAGGTGCTGCGCATCTTGCTGCGAGACAAGTCGCTAAAGGTATGCCACATAAATACATGTATTACAGTGTAGCAGTAGAGTTGAAGCAGGTAATTGGTACCACATGGTCTGTATCTTAGTCCTTTGGTCATTGTGATCATGATTGATATCACCGTCATTTTTATCATCGGTGAATGTCTCCACTATGCAGCTATCAGTTGCCTCGAGCAAAACCGATCCATTTTGTTGCGAACATCTGCGCACTGTGAATGGGATTTGCTCGTCACCATCTGTGTGTGTGTGTGTGTGTGTGTGTGTGTGTGTGTGTGTGTGTGTGTGTGTGTGTGTGTGTGTGGTGTGTGTGCGTGTGTGTGTGTGTGTGTGTGTGTGTGTTGGCAGAAAGTCTTCACTAATGCATCTGGTGTTGCCGCGCTGTGCATGGTAAGGCAGGGGTGTCGGAACCGGTGCGGCAGGTCCGGCCAAAGCCGCACCAATGATTTCATCTTGTGACTTTTGAAGCAATGAAATATGGGCTCTTTGGATCCAATTTCCCTAAAATGTTCCCGCGGGGATCCCCGGACCCCAACCTACTCATGCAGCCGCACCAATGTTGAATACCGTCTGACGCCTCTGTAAGGCATCCCCACTGCACTGCACTGTGCATGGTAAAGTCTCCCTGCTCCATTCATGCAGTGACAATCAAACGCGTGACTGAACTTTTTCAGTGCGCTTGCATTAAGTGAACGATGTGTGGGGATTAGGTTTGCAGACCCAATTGTATTGTAGACTTCGTGCGGGAAGATGTATCAGTGTGTAAGTTAGATGGTATGAGCAGTGAACCCGTCCGTGTAGGTTCCCTGCTAGCCTGGATTCATTGACCCTATGTGGTGCATAGCACACTTCCTATGGGACTGGTCTGCTCCATACTTTGAGTAACTGCTGGGCACACCTTTGGTATAGCATTCAGTCCTCTCCGTTCTTGCTTTCTTTACCGTCAAAGCAGGTTTAGACGGTTCTGAAAACTGTCCGGCGACTAAAGCCTGACCGGTGGCTAAGTCCTTGAATTGTGTGTGTCAATGTTTGGTGCATGTATAGATCATGAACGAGCTAACACAGATCTACATGGAAGGACGGGAAGGTGCACCGACAGCCCTGGCAATATTCGAAGCTGGCAGTAAGTTTGTACCGCGTATACCATAACGCACTCTTTAGGAGCAACAGCGTGGGGCTTTGACCTACAAAGGCACCCCGCGTTACGTGTTGATAGGGTCATCGTGCCATCTTCATGGGCGATCGTTGTGGTTTGGTTAATTGTCATCGTCGTTTTCTTCATTATATCATTGTCGCTGTTGTTGATATTGCCGGTGTCGTTTTGCACTAAGGTGGCTTTATGAAGCTTGTCAGCGAGCCAGCTGCTTACAAGGTTCTGACCCAGAACAAGTACCCACAGGTAGGCATTCTTGGTTGGTTTCCTGCCAGCAATCCTTGCTTCATACATGCACGGTACTCAATCTGCAGACAGAACTGTTTCGTCCTTGGTGGACTCGTCAGCGCAGCACAGAGAAAATGAAGCCGAACCTGATACATAGGAATGAAAAATAAACACAGTACTTGCATGCAGGGTATTCACTAGTGGCCCGAGGATGAGGTGTTGCTTGCTACATTTTCAATTTCCCGGGTTCAGGCTGCACGAAACCTACGTCACAATATGATTTACGGTACGTCTGATCTGTTCCATTCCCTAAAGGAGCAATCCGGCCATCACACTCGCATCACACTCAATCAGTCCCTGTCTCTGCCTGCCATTTTGTTTTCAATGTCCTGTACACTCTCCTCTCTAGATCATCTCTCGTCTCCTGCGGGTGGATGAGGAACGAATGCAGCGTGTTGGCCTGAAGTGTATATGTGCTTTTCTGACCATGTAAGAGTGAAAGAAAGGTCTGTACCTTGCATGCTTAATGATATGGAGACTTCACTCGGATAGATGTGTCCATGTTCTTAAGTGGGTACCTGAGGTAGCGCCTGATAAAGTAATGACTGTTAATTGGGTGTCCCCCCCCCCCCCCAACACATACACACGCACTCGAACGCATGTGCTTGCACACTTCTGCCACCACACTCGTTAGAGGTGTACAGAAGCCTTTTAAAAGGCAACTGCAAACCTCTAAAAATTATGGTCCATGCTACCATCGAGAGCATTTGGTGGGTCTCTGGGCCTTGCTGGGCCTAGCTGCAGTGTTGCACTGTACCATCAGGCCAAGTAACAGCCTACACGTGAGATGCATATCCGATCATGGACTGATCGATGTGCTATTGGTTCACACCTGTTTCAGGAAACGTGCTATCCTTCATTTCATCGGGCTAGACTGTGTGGTGGACCTGCTGAACATTCTGGAGCGCTGTCCCAATCAAGAATCCAAGCGGTAGGTCTGAACAATTTAGAAAAGGTTTAAAAACCATACATTTGATCGTAGAGATGGAGGCATGATTTCAAGCACCAGACACAACATGAGGAGGGCGCTATGAACAGCACCGCACACATAAAGCTAGCACCTTTACACCCATCATCACTGATGCATTAATTCTCTCCATACAGCTAACCCTTATCAATGGTCGTATACGTGAGCGAAGTTATGTTCATTCGTGATAGGCGTCCCAGGCACTGTAATAGGGACTGTGGCTAGAGACTGCTGAGGACAATGTGAAGTGTGTTGGTGTGATAAATAGACTTTGACCGAGTTGGTCATGATACGACACACTTGATGGCACAAAAGTCATGTGTTTCATATGTACGTGTTAGCTTGTTGCATGGCGCTTCGCACTGAGCAATGACGGTGTCTTCAACTTGGTTATTACACTTGCCGCTCCAGCTCCACACGACCATGTATTTCACGCTGATAACCACACACAGACACAGCGCTGCACTTCTCCCCCTCTCGCCCTCTTCACCAGCCCTCTTACGCTCCACGCCTCAGTACATTACATCCTACTTGAAGAAGTAGCTGACACTTTTCTCTGTCACCATTCATTGCTCCATTAGTCTTCCGCCATAGTTTATCTTTTACATCTCTTGTTTGATTGCACGCTGCCGTAATGGTAGGGTAGGCCCGAAAATTGGTGCCAGGAGAAAAGAGTACCGTATTTTTTGGAGTATAGTGCGCACCTTTGTATAACGCGCACCCCCAATCTTCATTGGGGTGCGCACTTCAATCTTCATTGAAGTACATGCATTTCATATTCGGAGCATAGTGCGCACCTGCGATTTAGGGCCTAAAATAGCACATCTAAAGTGCGCACTATACTCCGGAAAATACGGTATATTCACAGCAAAGAGACCATTGACCGTGTGTTCAGCCCGATTACTGACCAATGAGTAAATGGCTGTGGTGGAGTGTGCGAGTTCATCAAGCATTGATGCGGTATTTGTGTTCACACAACTGGCAGACTAGATTAAAGAGCATGCCTGAGTGTGGTAGAAATAGTTGTCGGGGTAATCCATTCTGCTTGTTTGTTGAGCGGGATGCTTTCTTGTCCTTCCTCCTCTTTTTGTGTTTAGACTTGCGGCCCAGGTTGTGTTACACTTTGCTGGAAATGACGGCGGTCGTCAAGATCTTCTTGAAAGTGATGCCCTGTCCATCATTGCGCCGTGAGTTCAAGAGGAGCCTACAGACTAGATTAGAGTCTTGCTAAGTCATGATCAGATTCTGTGCCTTGAAGGTACAATTCAGGATTGTGGGTAACTGTGTGGATGTCGTATTTTAACATGTCCAGAGAGTGCTCGCCGAATGCACAGTATACTTTTGAATGACCTTACGTTATAAATATGCATTGAAGCGTTCTCCAGGAGTCCCAGGTTGAGATTCGCCTCTTGTCTCTCTGTGTCGCGTGATCTTTGACTTTTTTCAACAGGGAGCTGGACTGCAAAGATGCCAAAACCTTGCAGTGCTTGGTAAGGAAAGCAAGATGTATAATTGGAATACCATGCTTCAGTCTCAGGCTGCTGGCCGCTATGTATAGTCCGAGACTGGGGTACAGCACACACTTCTGCTTGCTAGTAGGAGCTGTAAGTGCAGCCGCTTACCTTTGGAATACTCATTGTGACAGCATACATGTCCCACTTTGTTCCATTCCCATCCAGGTCTACACCATTCACAAGCTGGCAAGTTGTGACAAAGCTGTTCTGGACGAGTTCCGTATGATTGGCGGCATCCAGACTCTTGTGGACTGTCTCAGGTCAGAGCTCTGTAGAATATTTATGAAGCAGTTTAGAATTGCATTGTGTACCCCGTGTAGCTCTTCCAGCAGTCACCATCTTCTCACGCATCCCAGCTCAAAGTGAATTATTGCTGGCTCCTGTGCAGTTTGAGGTTCCTGATTGCAACTAACTTTGATGTATGCTTTAACTTAGCCCTCTCTTATTCGGGCATTTTTGGAGTCGTGGAATGTTCAAGAGTGACAATAACTCTCCGGACCTTCCCTGTCACAGTAAATGTGCATATCATTCAAGTTTTCTGGTCCTGGGGGTTCGTCTTACCCGAGTTTCACCTTAGTATTTAACACTTGAAATTAACAGTAATGCTGACGGCTCCCAGAAAGGTGCCCGGAACAGGGAGGTTACCGGATGTGGGAGGGTTGAGTGTGCTGGCAGTTTCTATTGGTAAGCATGCTGTCATAAGTAGTTGTTAGATTCACTAGGAAAACTGCTCAGTCTCTGCTCCTCCCGGGTCCTTCATCTACAGAGTGCTTAACGGTGGTGAGCCCCGCTGTACTGGCAGCAGGGATGAATCACCTACAGGAGCGAGTGCACCCATGACAGCCTCTCCAACTGATAACCCATATCCTCCTGCAGCCAGTGTCCCCGGCTATGGTGCAAGCCGTCCAAACTCAGCAGAAACTGAGAAACCCAAAGCAATTCCGTTCAAGGCAAGTTTCTCCTATGGCCAAGTTATGCCTCCTGTCTTTGTACCTACCTGTACATAATGCTGTCCTAACAAGGGCATCCATCATACGGAAATGCTACAGATTATAATTGCGCTGTGTGTGTGTGTGTGTGTGTGTGCGCGCGCGCGCGCGCGCGTGCGTGCGTGCGTGTGTGTGTGTGTGGGGGGGGGGGGGGGTCAGCAGGCTGTGTGAATTTGTGATCACGGTTTGATCCCGTAGCCTGTTCTCCTTTGCCTGTCGCAGTGCACATTCTGTGCGGAGGAGATCGTGGATTGCCAACGCTACATCTGTTCCCTCTGCATTGTGCTGACACGCGATGACCATAACTCTCGTGTACTCATTGATGTAAGTGGCACAGGACATCATACGGTAGTGGAGCCAAGGATTCCTTTGCACCGTGCATCATCCAGCTAGTGCTCTGCTCGACAGGAATTGCATGCACAACCTTACACTAGTGATACCCTTGCACTACTGTAATAAGAATTCCAACGGTCAGCTTAGCAGTAGTGGAGTGGATGTGAAAACAATTCACGGTTTGCTTGAGACGCGGCTGGAGGCCGAGTTTTCTGCATACGCAGGAACGCCAGCACCCTCTGTGGATGTGAAAGATGCCGCGGTATTTGTAAATGAATACTGGAGTCATGTTCCTTATGATCATATGAGTTCTTCTTCTTGCTGGTATTGCTTACTGGGAGGGTACCGCACCCTGTGCCGGAGTGTGTGGATGAAGTATGTGTGCCGGCTGTTTGATTGCCAATGTTTGCCTCCTAGGAAGGTGCTGTGTTCCGTTTAGCACAGCTGGTAATACCACCTGGTGATGCATCGCCTGATCTGCAGCGGAACTTTGAGGATCGGCAGGTGTGTAATCTGTCTTCCCCGGAAGTATACCCATATCTGTACAATGCATGATATTACAAGTAGTTTAGTTGCAGTGCTGCAGTTGTTGGTTCAAAGTGCACCGAGTTCTGAAAAGAGCCTACTGTCCCAATGCGGCTCGCTGTAGACTCAGTTGAAAGTATGTTCTCCGCATAAGCAGCGGTCTGTTTCTTGAGATGTTGGTATGACTCTGAATTCCATGTCTGTTATCCAATGGTACAGGCTTCTTATGAGGCGTGCTGTCCTTGTGAGTCTTTCATGTTCCGACTGTGAAGTGTACTAATTTCTCACTATTTTTTTGCCAATTTGGTTTGTTGACTGCAGTATGTGTCACTCGCGGTCTTGAGGTATGTATTTCTAAAAAAAGATTGCAGGAGCTTTCCAAGCGAGATGAGGATGATGTGGAATGTCCTCTTCTTCCTTGGGTTCTTCTAACATAATATTATTGTATGTAATCTCTGACACTCAGATCAAGGATGTGGGGGAGGACTCCTCCCTCCTGATAAGGGACTACTCTCTCCTGATATGGGACTCCTCCCTCCTGATAAGGGACTCCTCTATCCTCATAAGGGACTCATCCCTCCTGATATGGGACTCCTCCCCCTGACGAGAGTACTTGAAGTACAAGACTCGGGCTTGAATAAATGTGATTTGTGAGTGGGTTCGAGAATGACACATCAACACACACCTTGGCAAGATAAGACAATTGGCTCCGTGTAAAAGTGTGTTAATACAGTGAAACCTGTGTAAGACGACCGCTTAAGGGACCTTCAAAACGTGGTCTCTGTTACCAGGTGGTCTGCTTAACCAGGCGTCGTTTGACTGGAAATAGCATCCATTGGTCCTGATTTCAGTAGTCTTTAGGAAAGGTGGTCGCCTTATCCGAGTGATCGCATTGGCATGTTTTACTGTGTGTGATATTGGCGTGTTTCCCTTCCTATAGGCTGCTGTACTCGGTGGACTATCACAGGAAGAGTTTTATGAGGTGAGTAGAGCCCTGTGTGGGATGACAACTGCACGATTATGCGATGCGTGGGTGCAGCCCTGCTGGATGCATACACACACACACACACAACCAAAGACCGAAACATGCGATGCAGCATTGGCAACAACAGCACTTGAAAGAGTACCCGGGGTGGTCATTCATGTTTGGCTTAAAGCTCCAGTACGGCCCTGTATACACTTGAACGGGTAGGTATGAAAATTACTGAAATCAGACTGCTCATACATGTAGTCAGCATCTCTCCTACTTACTTGCAGTACACCTATACACCGGGCGGTAGCACCCGGTCCTGCCAGTGCGGCTACCGCTGGATCTTATTCCGAAAACGTTGACCCACCCAAATCGTACAAGACGGTGTTTTTCGCCTATACTGTTTTTTCCAGTTTTCTAGTATCCCATTAAGCCAGACCACCTGGAATTTGGGTCACTATAGCCCTGATGTACTTCCGGGACACTGTACATCTAGCAATGAGATAGGCTTGGCTACCCACTATGTTAGTACAGATGTGATAAGATTCTACTGCACTGCTGATATTCAGGCCAGCAGCACCCATCTGTACGGTACGTTCCTTTGCAGCAAATGTGCCGACTGATTTAAATCTGGCCGGAGTCGGATAAATTGCTTTTGCCCTGGCTTGCTTTTGGTCTAGGTTGTTTGGCAATGTTCTATTCGAGTGGTTTGTGGATGTTGGGAATTTCAAGCGCGAGTCCAAATACTACAAGCCTCTGCTGGAGAATCTCCGGAAACTGCCAGTAAGTGCATAATGATGTTGAATGTGACTTAATGAACCGGCAAAGGTGATCTTGAAAGTACATGTACTATTGAAAAATGGGAAAAGAGGAGAGGCTATTTCTCACTGTGCATCTCTTTTTGATGATAGAGGCTGCTGCGCTAAATCCTCTCGGTGACATATTCTAATCATGTACATGTATACCTTCCAGCCGTGTGCTCTTCTTCGTCTACTGTCTACTGTGCGTGTGTCAGGTGGCAGAATTGGCTGCATTGAGACAGCAGATGGCAGCTGAGGGCGACGTCAAGGAGCGCCACATTGCCGAGTATAAGGTCCTGGACGAGTTAGGAGCGGGTTCATTCGGAACGGTCATGCGCGTCCAGGACACAAACACTGGGAAATTTTATGCTTTAAAGGAGGTGAGTATAGCCGGCAATTCATAACTTTCACATGCACATTTGCCGGTCCTGCTTCTATAGGGCACAGTTGCTTTATGACAATCACTACGTTGTACTCATGCATACTTGCACACCCTTTGATGCCAATCACTGCAATGTTCTCATATGTGCTTGCTACACAACCTTTATGCCAATCACTGCAATGTTCTCATATGTGCTTGCTCCGCTACAGCTTCACTTTTCCCGTAACGTGGGTAAGTTTGGCAGCTCAGATGAGGAGAAACGCAAGGTGGTGAAGGAGTACATTGCCGAAGTCGGTGTTGTCAGTGCTGAGGTATGTGGAGTCACAACTATTGCACGTACAAGTGAATATTAATCAAGCACATGCCAAATAGTGAGGGAAGCAGATAGCAATTGGGTGCACTCATTAAAGCCATCAGTGCATGGATCCTAGTGGAACGGTGTTGGCACGGGTCTTTGGTCAAGCGCTTGCCCTTTAGTCGCCGTATCTTGTTCAAAGAGGAGGTTTGTTTACAGCCTGTCCCACGCATTGCCGCTACCAGCCGCAATCTGTCATTGAGGCTAGATAGCTCTGCTAACATTGTTTGCGAAGCTTCTAGCAACTGCAATTCTGTGATACTGCTATTGTATTTCGACAGCTCTCCCACAAGAATGTGGTCCGCTACTATAAAGCCTTTCAGAAAGGTAAGCCGGACATCTACACAATTTATATTGTCATCATCATCATCTGCGTTGCCGAAAAAATAATAAAAGTAAAATTTTAAAAATAATAATAAACGGCATTATGCAGCTGTGTAAGCAGTAGATGCACAATTTATATTGTAGCTATGCATATTTACATGTACAGTCAACTCCGCGTATAACGACACTCGGCGGGGCATCAGAAAAGTGTCCTTATTCGCGAAGTGTCGTTATACCCGAAGTCTCATTATATGTATTACAGTTGGAAGGGACTTTGCTCTGGGCATGGAAATGCTGTCGTTATTCACGTTATATCCGCAGTCGTTATCGGCGAAGTTGACTGTATGCGTCGTACGAGTATGTACACTTCACAGTTAGTTCCATTTCGAGAGAAACCTCAGTAAGCTATTGCACTGGATATCGTTGCCTGATGATTGCGAAAGCATTGCACTTTAAGTAGCGACAAACACGCCTTGATTGCCCTTGTTGTCCTGTGTATTACGCTCTGCCTCCGCCGTGGTGTTGAGCACTGTCAGCACACTGGGTGCATCCTCCGGGGTGCTATTTACAAAACGAGATGTGCGATTCTTCCATGCTTTGCGGACTTCTATGCTTTGCGGCTCTCCATAGTTTATGGTCTTTCATTCTTTTTTTGTGGTATTCACGCTTTGCGGTCTTCATTGCTCTGCGGTCTTCTAGGCGAACACCTTTTCGTCGTAATGAAGCTGATTGACGGCCCCACTCTAGGAAAGGCCATTGGTCAGATGAAGGAGAAGTGTGAGAAGTTTGGTGACGATCGGATAACGAACATCACACTTCAAGTAATGGCTGTGTGTGTGTGTATGTGTGTGTGTGTGTGTGTGTGTGTGTGTGTGTGTGTGTGTGTGTGTGTGTGTGTGTGCGTGCGTGTGTGTGTGTTTGCATGCGTACATGTGTACATGTGTGCGTGCACGCATGCGAGCATGTATGTATCACTTATCAGTAATGCATTTATGGATGACTGTGCTGCTGCTGCCGCTGGAATCATGCTGTGGTATGCTGAGAAGATGCAGTCATTCATGTGCAGAGTCCAAGTGTGAACTCAGCCTCCGTGCTGTTTGGTTGGTCATTATATTCTCTCCACCACCACAGCTCGTATCTGCACTTTACTATGTGCACAAGACGAAACGGATGATTCATCGCGATATCAAACCAGCCAATGTCATGCTTGGGCAGAATGATCACATCACACTCAGTAAGCCTCAGTTGTAATGTCATTTCGATATACACCGTACTGTAGGTTACTTGACATATTCAGTCCAATCTCCTATAAGCCTATCTAATATAGCATCATTTCACCATATTTCCAAATGTATAATGTGTTAGCGTCGCGTCTGTTGCAATCCGCACACGGGTAATCATGACCTACATGCGATGTCAGTTGTTTATTCATCACTTAATGCCGCCCTTGCTTTCCTCTGTGAAACCTATTTTTTGCGTATGTGGAGGCTAGGTGGCAGCGTTACTGCCGCTGGTGCAAACACGGAAGAATTTCGTACTTATTCTACTGTGTACTGCGATGCATTGTTCTGTCTGTCTCCTCGGACGTACAGCTGACTTTGGACTGGCCCAGTGCAAGCCAAGCGACTCCAGCATACTGTCAACGGCAGTGGGAACACTTATGTATCAAAGGTCAGTTCATCAGTACACTATGGTGTGTTGGTGAAGCAGTTAGTGTTCCGCTCAATTGCCGCTCTGAGATTGTTTTCCAGTGTACGTGAATACTAAAAGAATGTCTGCTGATGTTCGGAGATTTAAGCAGGATTCACAGAAGCATTTTTGCGATGCGAAGCGTGATGCGACATCGGTGAAACCGGGAAATCCCCGAATCGCATCCACCGCATAGCTCACACAACCGTCGCAACTGGCCCATCGCAGAAGTTGAGATACATGTGAGCAATGCAATGCGATATACGATTTTGACCTTTTTGCAGCAAGATTGTACAGGCGAACAATGCAATGCGATATACGTTTTTGACCTTTTTTTTGCAGCAAGATTGTACAGAAGGTTTAAGAGTTGCTTGTAGATTTGTAAACGTACCAGGCCACGTGAATACCATGGTAAGGAACTCAACTGCATTGCACTTCGCTCTGAATCAGCAAGACGTCACATCGCGGACTTCTTCTGGAAATGGTATTTCGCAAGTTTGCATCGCACGCTGCCGTCGCAAATCGCATCGCATCGCGCATCGCATCGTAGAAAGCCTCTGTGAATCCCGCTTTATAGTGGTCCAACGGCGTTAAAACAACCATGTTAGCAATGTTGTCGAGAGGTTGAAGCCTCATCTAACAATTTCTATAATGTTAGTCACCAGGTTCCTCCTTACACTCAACGTTAAGCCGGGGAGTTCTTGTGTTTTGTCTTTATGTATAAATCGAACTGAATGATTTCAGATCATTTCTTTGTACGGCCTGAAAGTCGAATCACGTAAAAATTGCTTGCCGCTGGAGGGGTGGAGAGTGCAGGGTGTAATACACCCCCAGCATGCCGGTATTGCATTGCTTGTTGTGATCCCCGCCGGCCGGGAAGAGACCACACAGTTTGGTTGTTGAATTGGGAGATTGTTCTAGTTGCTATCCATTCACGGCTTACGACCGTGCAGTCGCCTTGTCAGACATGTTGACGTGTTTGTGGCTAGTTGATCCTTGGATGCGTGGCTGATGATCTGGTTTCGGTCCTGTGCTGATCCTGTGCTGATCCTGTACAGTCCGGAAGTCATGAAGAGCGAGCGGTACACAGATAAGACGGACATCTGGGCGGTCGGCTGCCTGATCTATCAGATGGTGACTCTGGAGCCTCCATTTCATCACGAAAACAACTTTGTCCTGATGCAGAAGGTCAGCGCAGGGCAGTGTGGGCTCACAACATGATGATTGTTGAAAACTGAACTGCACTGATTCAAGCATGCTTTTTAGTGTACAGAACTTGAATCTAACTCAGACAAGCCTGAATACATCCTAGTGCTAACCCTGGGGCATAGGTGCCGGCACACTGATGAGATAATAATCTGGAATATACTTCAAAGTAGCACTCTATGAATTAGTTCCACCTCCAGCACATTGCTTACCCATCAAGTACAATCAGGGAGTCACTCCCTGAGACTGAGTACAATGTTCAAGTAGCACTCTGTGCAGTTATAATGATGTTGACCTTTGACCTCTGACCTTTGACCTTTCTCTCTGACCCCATGACCTATGATCTGTGACCTCTGAACCTTTGTACAGATTGAAGCTGCTGACTATAAGTCAATACCCAAAAGTGCTTGTTCACCAGCCATAACTGATCTTGTGAAGAGGTAGGGACATGGCATAGCTGTACTTGAAGCAAGTCTGGTAAATGTGCACTTGGTTTGGTTTGGAAAGCTCCTTCATTCGCAGGGAGAAGAGAAGAATTTTCAAGTGTGCGGCTTGCCTTGGAATGATCAATGTGTCAAGCCTACAATAACTTTAAGTCCATAACGCTATAGAAGTCGCATTTGCGTGTTATGTACTTTCCGCCATCGAAGTAGTATATGCACGGCTGCTTTGATTGCTGCACTCTGGCTAGGTCACATGTGAGCACAGTTTCATTCCTATCCCTACATGACCTATCCAGTTTTTTCCCGTCCGTTTCCTGGCAAGCTTGAAGGAAGCTAGACCTACAGTCCATTTCAAAACTATAGACGCGTACCTAGGCAAAAACCGTTATGCCAGCATCTATACCACATAAAATCTGTGATCACTTTGTGCATAAATTTTTCCAAATTGGGCGTCTGTTATCCAATCCTTTAGAAACTATATGAGAGTAATTGTGGAGCGATCCTGAGCAATATTCCGAAAACTATTCTCAAAAAGTTCCAGCCAAATTTGAAATATTTCAAAAACCCTACGCGTCTATAGTTTTGAAATGCACTGTAATGGCTGTTGGTCAACCATGTAATTTGCTTCTTGCCTGTGCAGGTGTCTCCAGACTGACCAAGACTTGCGTATAGATGTTGTTGAGGTAAAGGAGACTCTGCTAATGCTGCATGCTGTATGTGACTCTGAAGCAGTTGTGGGTTTCCTAGGTAGATCTACTCGCTGTGTACATATTTCTATTTCAAGCAACACAAACGCATTGTATGTAGCATGCAGTCTACTGGAGTACCGGTTGTGTAATGAGCATATACTAGTACTAGAACATGATTGTAGATGCTGTGCAGAAAGAGTCATGATCATCAGCTCTCAGCACAGGTAGACTGTTTTGAACTGAAAAGCCTGTCCTGCTACGGTCGTATATCTTATACCAGGTTCCTGGCTATTCTGCCTTCCGCTGAACCTGGTAGTGAAAGTCGCTTTGAACTGTGTAAGTCCGTGGAGACCCCTAGTCCAGCTGAATGTGTGCCTGTTGTGTGCCTGTTCTACTATTCATAGTTCTACTCTTGCATCAATAGCGATAGTCATAGAATTTCTTCCATACTTGCATGTGTGCCCGGAAATGTTAAAACCAATACATGCACGAGTCACAGTATGCTGTTGATATCACATCAGCGGTGCAGTTGGTGTTCCGGGTGGCCATCATCGATATTCTTGGTGCCTCTTTTGTTATCTGCAGCTTGGAAGTTTGATAATGGACCCGTTCTTGCAGTGGCACAATGAAACGACTGCACAGATTGACAAGCTGGAGAAACGCCTGGAGAGAGAAACAGAGCTAAGGCACTCGTAAGCATCATTATCCCTATCAAAGTAGTGGCTGCGGCATTGTCGTGAGGCTACAGATTATGATGGGTGCACTTTTGCATTTGTACCTTGTTTGATTCCAACACTTAAATGATGGGCATGGGTGCACACAGTGTGCGAATCTACAGTGCTGCTCACTGAAATCCAGTCGCGTCCCTCAAGTACACGACGGGCGTTGCGCAGCCCCAGACCTGCGAACACTGAGCTGCGAAAAGGTGCAAGGCGCAAACTTGAGTGCCACGACTGGATTTATTGAGCAGGACTGTAGTTGATCGTAAGTTCTGCCGTGATGTACAATTGTACGTGTACAGTGGTAACAACTGAAATCCGACCCCTGATCTGGTTTTCGTACTCGACTCGAGTGCAGCATTGATTCTAGTGATCTCATTTTGCTTGTGTACGAGAAGCGTGTGCCGCTGGGGTTTGGAATGTGAGCGCACCGAGCTGAGGTCGGATTTCAGTTGCCATCACTTGTACGATCACGTGATGGTAGACTTGTTGTAATTACAGCGAATTTGTTGGGAAACGAATGACCTTGGCAACCTGGCTTGCACATCAGACAATCGCTGCCTTGTTCTCGCAAACAGGCTATGATTTGGATGCCAACACACACTAATATCTGCTGTACTGCACGATGGAAGGTACTGGACTATGTGTTCACTGTGTCTGGTGTGCTACTCTATGGCAGTCTTACACAAAGCAAGGCTGAACAGGCTGTCCAGCTTAAGTGGTGGTCGTCGGAGTTCAAGCAGCTGCACTCCCTGAAGGAGTTCTATCAGAAGAAGTCTGAAAGCCTTGAGGAGGTGGTGGCCAGCGTGCCGCACGCCCTGCGGACACAGATTTCAAATCGCACTCCCACCCCTCCCATCAGTGATATGGAGTTTGGACCGTCGCCCGTGAGCCATTCTCGCACGCCGTCAGGTGGCTCCATTGACAGCGTCTTCTCACCAGTCAAGGCTCTAGTTGCTGGGGTAAGCTGATGGTGCTTTCTACTTTATCATCACTCCTGTCAGGCAGCAGCTTGCCGGGTCCCATGTCAGGGAAACAATGATTGCAAGTGTGTAGCCGGGGGCGGGTAGGGTGTAAGCACCCCCTTGAAAGCCATTGGGTGTCTGGAAATTACAGCCGTATTGAACGGTCAGCCTGGAACTTGTGACACTGCCACTGAGCTATGTGTCTAGATTCTACTAGTACACATAACATACTATAGAGAACTTTGAAGCTCCATTGTAGCCTTGTCATCTTCCTCCGACCCGTAGCACACGGACAGTCATCGACTTCCAAATTTTCACCCAGGAAGGCATTGTCATCCATGATGATGCCTTTGTCGGTGAAACTTTGGAAACAATCGTTGTGTGTCGTGATATACTAGTAGTCGAGGACTGCCGGTTCATGTGGACGGTGCGGGTTGGAGGTTAGTGGAGAAGAAACATATAGTATAGATCTTCATAGGTTGAGCATCATAGGTTGAGAGAATGGAAAAGGGTTGAAGATAAAATTGACTGTCACCGCTATAGATCATGTCAATACTAGGTACAACCCAGTCCGGTGATCATGTCAATACTAGGTACAAGCCAGTCCGGTGATCATGTCAATACTAGGTACAACCCAGTCCGGTGATCATGACTGTCAATATACGGTATTGGACAAAGGCTCTACCAGGCCTCACCTCTAATAGCGTGACTGTGTAAGCGGAGATCATCAAGTGTTGTTGGATCGTTTTAAAGACGTTATGCCCTGCCATCCACAGGACGTTCATATCCAGTGCATTGCCACGGCACACAGTTATTCTTACTGCTGTTGACTGGAAGTTGTATCATCGGGCACATGTTAGAGAGTCAGTACATGTACTTATTGATCCTCGGATGCAACTCTTAACTCGTATCTATACATCTTTTCCTTTCTACACTTATTGATCCGTTGTCTTACGGTCATAGTCAACCTCGTTTGTGCAACTCGTTATGCTGTATTTGTGTGTGTGTGTGTGTGTATGTATGTGTGTGTGTATGTGTGTGTGTGTGTGTGTGTGTGTGTGTGTGTGTGTGTGTGTGTGTGTGTGTGTGTGTTGTTATATCTCTCTGTTGAGTGCAGCGTGCAACTACACCACTTTACGGACTATCCTCCTCGCATGTTGAAGGTAAATACTTTAAGTACCGCTCAAGATGCTTCTGAAGATTGATAATATGATTAATATCCATTCCCAGAGACAGATTAGCTGTGTACTCTGAATAGAAAGTTAACCTTTTGTCGAATCTACTATATAGACTACACATATATATCCTCAGAGTACACCCAATGCTGTAGACAGCTAGCTGTTTCGGCCATCTTGGCCTCATCCGTACAGCTACGGACTTTAAGTAAGCCGAACTACCACCGGGAAAAGTGATTTTCTCAAGGCACATGTAGGAATGGGCCCACATCCAGTATTTACAGTGCATATCTGCTGCTATTCCCAACGCGCACACTTGCCTCTTTGTGCCTGTTTGTCGAACTGCTCCGCGTTGTTGTTGTTGTTGTTGTTGTCTTAGCACCGCGTGGTCCATCTCTTCACCGGCGTCCGTCGGGAATAACAACACGAAGTCCATCCGTGTAAGACAGCCGTGTGTGTGTGTGGTGTCAATCGGTTGTGTGTAAATAGACTAGTTTTTTTACCTGTATTACAGGTGCCAGTCCGATTGGAACCTACGTGTAGTATTCAACCTTGCACTGGCTTTCCCATACTGTAGCAGGCAACACACAGCGCGGATAAAACGGCTTGTGTTGCCTCAGTGTATTTGTAAACATTGCCATGCAAAGAGCTGAGATTGGATGCTTTGCATGTGGTGTGCAGTGCGTCGGCCGCAAGTTTGTCTAACGGCCACTACCAGTCTCCAGTATCGGATCATCACAGGCCAAGTGAGTGCACATCCGTATGATAATACTAATAGGGTTATAACCTGGTGGAGGGACAAGCTAAAGAGATGTAGTTCAAACACAACTGTCGGCCTGTTTGACCACTTTTTTCGGTGCTGGATGCATTGAACTTACAAGGCTTTTCCTGCCTACAGAGACTACAAGCAGGCTCTACCTGCATTGCAAAGCCATGATAGGGAAGTACGGCATGAGTGGTTGCTGATACCCGACATGTATGGCTGGAAAAGCAAGACATGAAGACGACCTGTGAATCATATGTAGTGGTTAGCCTGTTTGGAGAAGTGACCAGTAAGGATACATGACGTTGATGTTTGTTGGGAGTTGGGTGGGTGGTGGGGCTGTAGCTCTCTCGTTTGGCTCATAATGTGATTCCAGATGATTGACTGCGCTCCATTGGTATGAAGCAAAGGCAGTATCGGCGAGTGAATCATGTGTACTTCAGGCTTCTCTGACTGTGGTGGCTATTGCGACTGAAGGAGCTGACCTTTAAGGGATTCTGTGTGTGCCAGTACACAGCCATATAATATGTACATAGAGAACTCAGAGTAGAACAATTCAGTTGTTAATGCTCGGTGCTTTTTTGGCAATGGTTTTATAGTGCATGCATGCTGGTGTATAACGTGCTTGCCGCCGGTGAACTTGTATCCATCTGTGTAGAGTCTGGTGGCCTGAATCATTCCGCGAGTGTTGTCTACATTCCACGTGAGCGGCCATTGCAGGGAGCAGATCATGGCTTGGACGTGCTAGAAGTGTTTCAGAGGATGGGAAGAATCCGTGAAGTAAGTACATTATCCGCTCTTCACAGCCGGTGCCCTTTTAAGAACTTTTGTTTCCAATACTTGGGATGTGGCTACATGGTCAGCCCATGGTAACTACTTGCTCATAATGTTCTCGTGTCCCATTTGTCGGGCATATAGTACTGCTACTATACCATACTATTACATTTTTGTTTTTGAGATGATGGAAAAATGGTCCCCATCTGGATGTTACTTGTGCAGCTGCCTCCATCGCCAGGTCTGAATGTACCGCGACGTGTAGTGCATCGTTGCCACCAGGCTTTGCTGCAGCCAATGCCGGCGGTTATGCTACGCGAGGAATTGGAGAAGGTAAGGTCGAGTGAGGCCGAATGGCCCCAGTGACAATTGATATTAAGATCACAAACCATGCCTGTGCTTGGTGTTGTAAAGGGATTCTAAAAAAAATCTAATACCGTATTATCTCTAATATAAGCACAGTCTCCAATAATAGCACGTCTCCAATAATAGAACACCTTGGGGCGGCATTCAAAAAATAAAGTGCTCAGTCTCCATTATAAGCACACTGTGTAAATTCATTATCTTTACCGGCAAAAAAAACCCTGAAATGTGTGTCATACATGAATTTGGCATGGCAACATGCCTCTGAAATGAGGTTGGAATAATAATGGAACAGTCTCCAATAAAGGAACGTCTCCATTAATAGCACGGGGCGGAGGTACATTGAAAAAATAAAGGACCGTGCTTATATTAGAGATAATACGGTAGTATAATCAACATTCATGTGAAGTCTTGGCCAGTGAAATTCAACTTCGCGAATCAAATAGTGCCGGGTGCTTCACAGCCCGAGCCCTACACACACTATTCGGTGCACTCGGATGCAGCACTACTTTATTCATGAGGTGGAATTTCTCTCGCCGGAACTGTACATTCATTCGGATCAGTGTAGCGCTCCATGACCCCGTAATGCCTAGAAACCCGGTCAGCTTCATGAACAGATGGGTGGTCTTTGCAGACAGATTCAAATGCATTTCAAAACATGGTTTACTGCCTGAGGTGGCTACTGGTTTTTGTAGCAATGGGCGAGTATTCAGATCATTGTGGTAGATTGCCGTTCTTGCGTGCATTTCATCTGCAGCTGGCCTATGGCTCCCCGGACGTCCTGGATCTGAATACACTGGCAGAGCACAGTCTCAAACACAAGATGCGAGCACAATCAATGCCAGGTCAGGGTGGTGGGCACGTTGTGTGCATTTGTTTGTCTTGTGAGGGCCGGAGTGGTCACTGTTTGGTGTGTTTGCTATCGGGGAATTCTCCTTCATTCCGTGTGTCCGGCAATGCCAGCATATGTGCAGTGCTAATACAGGGATGCAAACGATGCTCTTTGTAGCTTTCTTGTTTCGTTCAGCCTGGTTTTAACTGCCTGCGTGGCGTTGTGTGAGCAAAATTTAGCACTGCGGTGCCTCAGACAGTTTACCTCTGGTGCTCTGTGATTGTCGACTAATTTCAGAAAACGAGGGTAGAGACGCGGCAGCGACGCCAAACCAAGTGACGTACGGTGATGTACAGGTAGGCCAGCACTGAGTGTTGTGTGCAAGCATGATGTAGTCTTACCACAGAGCACGTGCCCTGTATTGTATGGACCATTCATAGGACACTTTTGTTCGTGGATGGCAGCTGATGACCTACGTGTACATGTAGTTCAATTAACTTGTTCCACCTCTCCCCCTTCCGTCCACGTGTGCTCAGAAAATGATTGATGACCTGCTGCCTCAGGCTATCACAGCCGGGTAAGTACTGTTACTCAGTGGCACGGGCAAGTGTGACTACATGTGCAATGAATGTGTATTCATGTGCGGTGTGTGTGTGTGTGTGTGCCTTGTCCTTACTTCAAAAACGAAATTGAGATGTGAACTTGCTGCTTTTCTCGTGTCGGGATGGCGATGCGCGTTGGAACCGATTGTTCACGTACGCGTAGATTGCCGATGATTAGATGTGCTTTGCACGTGTACATGTAGAACTGTTAACTGTTTGTCTTAGTGTATAGTTTATTATTCCTGGCTTGTACTCATCATGTGTTTTGTCAAGAGCGCAGTGTACGTAGGGCTTGAAAGTTGCGGTTGAAAGTGACGGCGTCAGAAGTCCACTAATAACAACTTCTGGGCTAAATTGGATCCACTCTGCCAATAGTGCAATGCAGCAATTGGTGGGTAGGCCCTCGTATCTCACGCAGGTGTGATTTTTCCCCGTATCAGGAGTGGATCCCCGACCGGGCAAGGGCCTTTTTTATATGCTATGTGCACATCCCTACAAAGTAATAGGGCCTGGCTGCTATCTGATGATGGGTCACCCTACAGTGAAGGAACCCCCGCCCCAATGTGTGTGTGAATGATGACACTGGTTGCAAGAGTCAGCATTGCCATGACTGGGCTGGCTGTGACGTAGCACCTTCTACTTCCAGCACCTTCCACCGGGAGCTTTACTAGTTTTGGTTTATAGTAGCCCCAGGTCATCATGATTAATTCATAGGTTAGTTAGCCCATGATACAGTCGGTTCGGGGCCAAATCGCCATGGGCTTATTCCCCGGGGGAGTTGAACACTCATGTTTATGTCCTCTTGCTTTTGTGTCAGGTCTGTACCGCCGCCAAATCTACCCCAGGCCACCATGAGCAGGCGACTGGAGAAGGAGCCTCTCGTCATGCGACTTGGAAAGCACCCCCTGCCGCCGATAAACGACGAGGAGCCACCTTCTGCTCGCGAGGAGAACCAATGAAGCGAACAAGAAATGTTCCACTCAGGCATGCAACTTTCCTGCTGTTTTTAATCGTGGTCTTTGGTGCCAATCTTGAGGCAAACACGCCTGTATTTTGACCTTGATTGGGGATCACACGAGCACACGAACTGGCATAGTTGTGCTTTTTTTTAAATGACACACATTGAACTAAGTTACTTGATTGAAGGTAACACAATAGTTTCACAAATAATTGCAACAAAGCACAATTACCGTTGCAAAACTTGGTTCCAATCAAGATGAGTCCAGGTCCGTGCAACATTTCCAGCGGGCATTTTCACAAATCCAGTTTGTCATATTTTATTTATTCACAACCGGACAACTCAGTATTTTATACACTTGAATTTTTGAGCAGCTTTCTATTTCTACCCCCCGCCCCAATAACATTCACCGAATAGTACATTATCTTGACTAATATTATAATTACTAGCTTGATGGACAGCCATTTTTCTTCTTCTACAGCACTGGCAGGTGTGCCGAAGAACGAGCAGGCTACCAGGTGCATGATACCCTTATGTAAACAATGGCTCAACTCTTAGAGATAGTTGTTGTACATAAAAAAAGAACGGCGTAGGCTACATAACTCCGAACCCCCAGTTCTTTGCCACCACACAGTAGTAGTAGTAGTAGTAGTGTGTTGCTTGCCAATGAGAACACCGTGTCTAGTTTGATTGAACCAATTATTGTATTTCATGACTGTGGCCAAATGAAATTAACCACTGGTAGCGGCAAGGCGTATAGTATGTTAGTATAAATTGATGTAGAACGTTTGAAAAAGGATGAAACTGATTCCGCCGATGAGGTATGAGAAGGATGCGAATCATGAATGGCTGACGTAGGGAACCAACCCTAAACCTAAGCAAGCGAGTGAAAACAGGAAAACAGGAAGCAGAATGCTGACATACCACAGATGGTGGTGGTGAAACAAAGACAAAAAAAAGGACAACAGCTAAAAAAAGACAACAGGCAGAGGCCATCAAAATCATTCTAAAAGCTGGCCATTTGCTGGGGCAGGCAAAGCAACTAGCTAGTGTGCTGCAAAGAGGCATGAATACACCACAAAAGAAGAAGAAGAAGAAGAAGAAAGCAAGTATATGTGGTAAAAAGGCATGCGTTTGCTTTCCACAGTTGGCACCCTAGAATAATGAGAGCGAGGTCAAACAAATATAGCTCAAAATAAACACCAAAAATAAGAGTTTACCTACTATAGTCTTTGCGATAGCAAAAAATGAGGGAGGGAGAGAGAGGGATAGAGAGAGGGATAGAGAGGGAAAGAGAGAGGGAAAGAGAGAGAGAGAGAGAGAGAGAGAGAGAGAGAGAGAGAGAGAGAGAGAGAGAGAGAGAGAGAGAGAGAGAGAGAGAGAGAGAGAGAGAGAGAGAGGAAAGAGAGATCACCTTCCAGGATCCAAAGCTTGTTGAGAAAACACGTCCAGAGGAGAGGTGGAGACACGTAACGGTATAGTACACAAAGAAGTTTCAGCTAGGATCATGCCAGGGATGAAGTGGTCTGAAGGAGTTAAATGTCGGTACAGCCTTCGTTATCACTTGTTGCTGGCTGTGGTTCACCACTTGTTGGTGGCTCACTACTGGATGGTGGCTCGCTGCTAGATGGGGGTGAAAGAATGGTGAAGTCACTGCCAGTGCCCTCACGGGTATCGGTCATTGGCTCCAAAGCGGGCAAGCTGCCATCCTCATCGGTGTCTGTGACCTTGCTGGTATCAGTGTCTGTATCCATATTCACACATGTGCTAGCAACCGCGTCAGCAGGCGACGACACTTTCTCCACTGTAGGCTCAGGTACAGGCAAAGTAGCATCCGCTGCGCTTTCTTGATCAGCCGCAGGTACAGGCAAAGTAGCATCCGCTATGTTTTCTTGATCAGCCGCAGCAGCTGGTGCTGCTGCACTTTGGCCAGCGGCATGATCATCAGATGGGGCAGTTGGTTGCTGCTGCTGCTGCTCTTGTTCTTCGTTCTCCTGCTGAGTGGATCCATCCGTTGCTGCGTTGCCCTCACCCCACCATGCTTGCTTGTCATCTGCTACTGCTGCAGCTGCTGGTGCAGTAGTGGATTCCGGGGCAGTCACGGCTGTGCTGACGGGGTGAATCATCTCATCCGACGGGATAGCCTCCAGCGGGGGCTCGCTGGAAGTTGAGGTGAGTCGGCCGTCTGCCGTTGTGCTACTTTTGACAGCTGCCGCCGGCTTCTCTTCAGGCCGGTTTGCAAGTAACGTCTTCAGCGTACTGGCATCAAAGTTCACGACGAATTGACAATGCGATGGTAAAAAGCTTGCCCAGAAATGCGCTTGGTCATCATGACGCTGGACACAAGCCAAGAACAACCGATGGAACAGTTTAGATAGGGAAGCATAAAGAACGTGAAAAATGAAAAATATGGTCCATGACCAAGCAGAAAGTAGGGGTGGCATCGAGTAGTAGGGTACCCATGCTACCCGTAATTAGAGCGGGTATTCGGGTAGTAGTTTGCTCCTGAGAATCCGATAGGGTAGTTGAGTACAGTATATTCACAACGGTGCATGTAAAACGCACGGCAATGTGCTTACTGTACACTTTCTATGTAGCACAATTGCACACTCGCTGTACAAACTATGTCCAAAATACCCGATAGGGTACCCGTGCTACCCGAATAGAAATACCCGAACGCGATACCCGACCAAGCCCCTGCCCATTGCAACCCTAAAAAGAAGTGTGAGAAGTGGTTAGCGTACTTTTCTTTCTTTCTTTTTCTATTCGTTAGAAAATATATCCTTACCGATTCAGCAGTGAACAGATTGCCAGAGGATGTCACAAGCTGGTGAGACTTGAACAGCACCTCGTTGGACACTGGAGCCAGACTCTTCTGCAGCAGCACAGACGGTGTCACCTGAGCGCAAAGAAGAGAGGCAGCGCCAATACAAATATAGCAACACACAAGCGGGTTGGTTATCCGGAGTGCCAGGACAGAGTGCTTATGGCCACAGTAAGATTCGTTCATTTAATTTTACAGTATGCACATAACAGACAGACAGACAGACAGACAGACAGACAGACAGACAGACAGACAGACAGGCACACGAAAGCAAGAGGACAATCCCTCCCAACCTTTTCTGGTACGTGCTGGAAGAAAGAGCACTGCAGGGTTTGCTTGGCAGAGCGTCGATTGCTGGGCTTGGCATGCAGCAAGAAGCGAAGTATAGCGACTAAGTGGGATAGGTCATTTCCAGACGGCAGGTTGCTGGGACTGCCATTGGCGCGGTGATTAACATCTCCAGTCTTGGTGCTATACGCTCTGCACAATGAAGAGAGAACAGGAGAGATGAATATTGGCTGCATGCTTACGCAGATAGGTGTATTTGATCGAACGGCACAAAAAGATACACGAGTGAATACTAAGACCTGCAGATACTAGCCGTCTATTTCTAAAGCGAAGAAGCATAACAGGTACAAGACAGGTGATGGTTGTAGAAAGGTCACAGTTTCCGAACACGGTGCCCTCCACCTTGTTACATGCTGTCAACCAATAACATGACATTGTTTAAGACAGGTACTGTACATCTACATATTTTCGGCCTGCTTAAATTTCGGCCTCCCAGGGCTAAAACACATTTCGGCTACATTAAATTTTCGGCCTCTACTGGTACCCGCTGTCTGTATACAGTGTCACACTGAAGCTTGCAAAAAAAATTTCGGCCAAAGATGCCCAGGCCGAAAATAGCCGAAAATAATAACGCGCTGAATACGAAATTTCGTTGACTACAGTCCATTCATAAAAAGATGGGCCCTGGCTTTGGCGAGCTCCCGTATTTGGCGATTTTTCGTGATTTCATCGTACACAGTGCAGTGCTGCGAACTTTGAAATTTGAAAGAGGGTCCAAAAAGGTACCTGAACTGGGGTTCGAACCGCACAACGCACTGTTGCAGGCGAGGTCAAACGGCCTGGATTTTGATGGTTTTCCCGATTCAGTGCTTTTGGGGGGAAACCTGGCCGAAATCCTATTCTTGCTATGGCTTACGTTTTGGACAAAAAAACTTCAGAAACATAATAATGGAAGAGGATTCCCTACGGGATGGCAGAAAAAAATTCTAAAAAAACTCAAAGTTTGACCCGTTTATGGCCAAAAGCTAGAAGTCCATCTTTTTCTGAATGGACTGTAACAGTACTTTTTGAAGTACAAGACTAACTATGAGGTTGAACTCACTCACCTGAGCAGCAGTAGACCATACTCGTACATATCGCTAGCAGCGGATGGTGGTTTGCCATTGGCCACCTCTACAGCATGCGACGATGCTGGCCGACTAGGAGCTTGGACTGAGCTGCTGAAGTCAACAGGCTACATGGCACATAAACACATAAACACATGTACACCCACACCCACACCCACACCCACACAAAGGCACTCAATAGAGAGCAGCCACAAACCCCAGTCTCTCCAAAACCGAGTGCACCCATCTTCAAGCTGATCCAGGCAGACAACGGAACGAATTCCAGCGTGCTATCACAGCTGCAAACACCCTAGCACATACGCATGCGCGTGTCCTATGCAGGATCGTGGATGGCGAAAGTGTTGCTCACTCACTCAAACACACGGACTCCCAGTACCGCGGGGTACTCGCCACGAGTGTGACATTGTCACAAACGACCGGCTTCTGTGTGATGCAATGGAAAAACCATACACCACTGTGTGGAGTGGAGCATCAAACAAGTGGACAAACCTATGGAAAGCAAGTCACTACAGTCAGTGTATTTGTGATCACAGCGCCTTACTGTGGAGAATGGCCAATGTGCGTACATGTATCGCTTAGACAGAACAACACAAAAGCATCCAATGCCGATGACACTCACCATAAGGATAGGATGCGGATGATCTTTGTCAGTAATTGCCAGTCGGATGTAATCAGGTGTCACAGAGCCATGGAACTGGTTTTGCTCATGAAGAGCTGCCAATGCAGCACCAATGCCCAGGAACACGCCAAACTTCTCGTACGGCGAGGGCTTGGCGCCAAGCCAGTCGGCAAACGAGACGAAAGAGTAGTGCGGAAACTGAGCATAGACCCGGGGGGAAACGGTGAACACGGCCTCCGGCTGCATGAGGCATGGATGAGCGGCCGCTGCGTAGTCGAAGATGCGCTGCTGGGTAGTGTCCGCTGAACAGGTGCCGCTGACATACTCGTGGATAACACAGCTTCGACCGGCAAAACTGGTGGAGTATGTCGGCACACTGGTGAGCTCGTTTGACGTAGGCTGAAGCTGGTAGTGGTCGAGAGTGCGCTGTGCCTTGATCAGGCCATAGCTCTTCTGGAACGTCAGCAGCTCAGCTTTCGGGTGGAGAGCAGGCAGCTCGGGAAATTCCGCAGTCAGAGATACCAGCCTGCTGAGCTGCACGTCCTGCTGTAAGCAGGCTGAGTGCAGCTGTGAGAGGATGGCCAATCGCTCCTCATCCAGACTGGATGTATCCTCGCCATCCTCCCTAGCATCATCCAGGGCAGTGAGATTGTGACGCAGTTGCTTGCGCAGGGCACGCGACAACGTCCAAACCTCATCGAGTTGTGCTGTGTCCGGCGAGCTGGTCTCCAGCCATGGCTCTAGCTTGGAGCAAAGTGAAGAGTAGTGTTCCTGGGCACAGGGGACACAATGATCAAGGCGACAGCGACAATGAACACATCAGCAGCAGCCACAGGGGTAAGTACAACCTCAGAGTAGTATAGGGCAAGCGAGGGTGAGCAACTGCAGTATGCTACAGTAGAACATGCACGCTACATGCATATGTCATTGATTCGGCCTGGGTAGTGCTGTCAGTAATTCTGCGGGAAGGAGCTCAAACCGTCAGAAGTAGTCGTCAGCTCAAGAGTAAAGACAAGTATGAAGCAATGTACATGATTGTATTCAAGACTTTCTGTCAAGTGCCTACCTGCTGAGATTGAAGGTGCTCAACAGCTTGAAGGTCGCCTTTCAGCTTCTTCAAAACTGCCTGCAAGGGAACATGCAAATCAACAAGTACAAAAACAAAGTCAGTAAATGGCAACAGCAAAAGCCAGAGTAAGAGCACGCACAGAAGAACTATAAAAAATAATTTTTTTTAAAGGCAACAAATGAACGTGCACTGATTGGGCTAGAAGAGAACCAAACCATTGCCTTACCGCTGTTACATCTTCCATTGCACTCCCAGGCTGCGATGTCTCCCTCTCTGACTTCTTGGTATGGTCCATTTCCAGTCCAATGGTGCTCTCCACAGATGCAATGAGCTTCTCAAAACCACTTGGCGCAGTGCCCGTCGCCATGGGCAAGGAGTTGAGATCCAGGTGACTTTGCAGGCTTTCTAGCTGCTGGCTGAGCGCTGAACAGCATTCATTCGTGGACTTCTGCACGGCCTCGACCTGCTGCAGGCGTTCATCTTTCCACTGTTGGTAAGTCTTCACGAGGTCCTCTAGCTTGCCGGAAGACTCGAGCTTCTTGGTGGGAGCGTCTCGTCTGCGCCGGAACTGTGCTTGACTAGACAAGGAGTCGATTGTTTGCCGCAGCAATTGGGTGTGTGCTGGGATTGGCAGCTTGCTAACTTCAGTGATGAACTCACGAGCTGCTGCATGGTACTCCTGTCGGGCTGTGTTTCGCTTGGTCACAACATCAGCACATTCCGAAGCAGATGCCATGCTGCGCAGAGTCGACTGCAGTGCTTCATAGGTCTTCTCAGCATCGACCAGTGCACTCCAAGTGGATGGCAGGCAAGGATTGTCTAGCAAGGCCAGCTGAATTGCTTTCTCCAGCACATCATTGGTAGACGAAGATGACGGTACTGTTGAGCGAATCCGACGCACCTCTTCCACACGCGCCAAGAGCTGTGCTGTACGCCAATCAAATGCTGATCCCTCCAGCTCCCTCAGCCTCTTCTCAGTTTCCTTATAGCGCTGTTGCTCATTGTCCAGAGACTCTGTCAATCGGCGCACCTTATCCTGGAGATCTTGGTCTCGCCTGAAGGCTGATGCGTTCTGTACTGGTGCCACCTGCCCAGTAGCAGTCCCCTTCGCAGCATCTCGTACTGACTTAAACTTGGAGTTTCTGGCAGCAGATTGGCCAGGTTCAGGTGATGACCGCTCTGGTGCCTGAGGGGATTTTCCATCTGCCACAGTAGTTGTGAACGCCGAACTGTTGTCAGCATCTCTGGTGTGTGCAGTGGCTGCTGCTGGTCTGGGCACTATCTCCTTGACTTGAGCAATAATATCGGTTTTGTCCAGGAGCTGCAGGTCAATGACCGGTGGTTGTTGTTTGCCCCTGGCCGGCTCAACGATGACCGCATTCATGTCTTGCTCCTGCACCAGCACGCGCACTTTTTCCAGACTGGCCGAAGACAGGTGCTGCTGGCGCTGCACGCCTTTCATCAGGAATGGCCTGGCCATGACCGCCTGCGCTGCCAGCTCTGACGGCAGCTTTCTCAGCTGCTTCTCCTGCATCATCTCACAGTTGCCAAAGTCCACGTAGCGCACCATGATGTGATTCTTCTTGATGTCCAACACCTGGCAACGGTACCACAAGCCATCGCCTTGATACAAGCCGGCATACATGCCATCCACTTCAATCTCGCCGGCCGGGTCAGCGGTGCTGCAGAAGTTCTGCATGTCCGTGACCATCTTATCTAGCCGCTCCGCTGCACCGTACTCGTGGACCTGTGCCCACAGTAGCAGATCTTCATCCACGTGCACCACCATAAGCTGGAAAGGCTTGCTGCTACTGGCACTTGAAACAGATCCTGTGCCCGCCTCGCTGTCGACCTGGGAGGTAGAAGGCACTGCGGCACACGCACTCTGTTCCGCTTCACCATGTCCACCCTCAAACTGATTTGTTGGTTTGTTCTGAAACCTGGGTGGCCTCTCCATGGGTCTCCGAGGAGGCTGCGTTCTGGACCGGTTGCGATCAGGGAAAGGACCGGATCCTCCATTCCTGGCCCTTACGGCAGCACGGGACACAGATATGCGACCTCCAAAAAACTCGGTGTCGTGAAGTTTTTCAACAGCTGCGTTGGCTTCGCTCTCGATGAAATACCTGACATACGCGATAGGAGTAGGTCTCCTCTCATTGGCAGGTAAAATCAAGACGTCCGCCACCTGACCAGCTTCTGAGAAAGTCCTTTTAAATTCAGGATTCCCAGCACTTGGCGGGAAATGTCTCACCTGGACATCGTGGGTTTGGTTAGGATAGGCCATGGTAAGAGGGTAAGGGAGAACTGAGCAAATAAAACACCTGACCAGGGCCTTACTTCACGTTCTACCAGGACGACCATGGAAACTCGTCAAGGTAGTTGCACCCGCACTACAAGGAAATGTTGGTTCCCGAGATGTTTTCCAAGATCGAAAGTTGAAACGCAAAGCAAACAAACCATCCACCCAACAGGCAACACAAACTCATAACAATGATAACATCCAAACTAAAGATCAGTTCGGCTTCCGCGAGTGATGTGTGACAAAACAACAAAAAAAAATGCATGAATCCGTTCGAAAGACCACGCGATGCTAACGCCATTATTTCTGCTCACTCGTCTCCAGGGAAACTGCCGCAACGACTTGTTACGTGACATCGACATTTTTACATGATCACTTGATCAGTCTGCTACATGACTACAAATAAATTACAATGTAGTGTCGACTGGATGATGTCGACTGATGTCAGCTCAGAGATCGTGGATTCGGGGGCCCATGGGTGGGTCTTGTCTTGTACTTGTACTTTGTCTTTGTAGCTAGCAGCAAGAGTACAATGGTTATGTACTCTTGCTAGCAGGGATCTGTATTATTAATTTTTGTCTTGCACTTTGTAAGGAGTAGTGAGTAGCAAACAAAGTACAGTATGTATCAGACCCTGGAGTGGTACACTCGGACTCAGTGGTAGTCACGGATCACTTGTTTAACCCATACTGATAATGATGATATTCGTAAGTCAGTAATTATCATACAGTAGTTAGTTAGTTACATTGTACTAGTACAGTAGTTCACTGAGCCGGAGGGTCAAAACATGACTCTGCTGATTGTCACTCTCAGTGATCCCAGGGCCGGTGGAAGGTGTTTCAGGATGGTACGGCAAGCCCGGTTATTGTAGGTGTCGTTCGGGCCCCGCGGCCGCGAATCCTGAAATTTCAAAATTTAGAGCCAATACTGAATCATAGCGGCTCTGGCTTCATCAGGTCCTCCGCAAAAGTGGTACGGTTAACTAATACCGTCACCGTGGCGTGTCCGATGCCGGCCTGGCCCAGTTAGGAAAAAGTAAAAGCAGGTGCGGCTCTTGATGTCCATGATGACCAGAACTGCATCCGGGCCGGCCGAGTAGCTGAGTTTATTTGCTGATGTTCATTGCACGGTAAACTGTGATTTGACCCTGACAATGACCCTGAGGCTATAATGTGGTCGCCTTTAGATTATTATAATATGAAGCCGCAGTGAATGCAAATCACCTGTGACCTGGCTGCGGAACCTCAGAACCTGCCGGAATGCCTATTGCATAGACTCGATCACAATGATGCGCTGATGTTTTCCTCAGGCTGAATCAAGTCTCCGTCTGCAATATGATGCATGCCGTTTGAGGTTTCCAGGACGCCGGAACACTTGATCGCACTGACTCTTGCAATGAGACACAGGCACAGAGGAGGTGCAACCGTCGGAATATAGAAACAAAAGAGAAGAAAAAGAAACTTTGGGAAGGGTATACACACATGAACACACATACCTGTCCTGTCCTGTCCTGTTGAGCCACTGCCCGATGATGAAGGTTACGTGGGCCCCGGATGGGGTAGCTGAGAGAGAGGAGGAGCACACAGCCCTCTGACGATCCAGGTGATGCGGTAAGCGAAATCAGCGGGAGCAGGCACAAACACATGTGAAACCCTGACGGTCCTGAACGGTCGGACGACTACAAGTCCGTGAGCAGCGATGACGGGCGCGGCCACGTGTAGACGCAAAGCAGCGGTCACAAGCCTGGCAGTGAGTGACGCAGCACAGCGGAGAAGCAGGCAGCGGCGCACCGACTGCCACACACACATCTCAGACCTCAGACCTGCCCATCGCAGAAGCGATGATAGCGAACAGCTATGTTAGACATAGCAACTTGTAATATCAAAAAGTATTCTTTCTAGACCAAAGAGTGGTATATTTGATAACATTTAATAACGATAGAAATTTTTACGATACTTCTCCAGACGTTTCGTTGTTCTGAACAACATCGTCAGTGGATAAAGAAACTTTCTTTATCCACTGACGATGTTGTTCAGAACAACGAAACGTCTGGAGAAGTATCGTAAAAATTTCTATCGTTATTAAATGTTATCAAATATACCACTCTTTGGTCTAGAAAGAATACTTTTTGATATTACAATGAGAGTGAATAATCAACGGCTTGTCCACCAACTCTTATAGCAACTTGTGCTGGGATTACACCATTCAACAGCTTGCAAGGCTGATGAATTGACCGCCACTAATTTTAGCCTGGTATTCACCACACAGCTGATTGAAGTGGCTTTTTCTGGCCAGTGAATCCCTATTTTTCATTTTTTTTCATTTTTTTTACACACACACACCACACCACATACTCCGGCATACACACACACACACACACACACACACACACACACACACACACACACACACACACACACACACACACCATTGACCATTGACCATTGGACGCCCATCGCCGGAGGCGATGATAGCGATGCTACAGCAGAAGCCATAGCAGCTTGTGCACACACACACACACACACACACACACACACACACACACACACACATACACACACACACACACACACACACACACACACACCATTGACCATTGACCATTGGACGCCCATCGCCGGAGGCGATGATAGCGATGCTACAGCAGAAGCCATAGCAGCTTGTGCAAACACACACACACACACACACACACACACACACACACACACACACACACACACACACACACCACCACCACCACCACCACCACCACCACCACCACCACCACCCACCACACACATATGCCCCCCCCCCCCCCCCCTGGAGCACTGTACAAGTGGTGTTCTTCAGGCACAATCTTCCTCAGCATACTCAAGCTCAACTGATGAGAGGTGAATTCCCCCGAAACACTGTGTATTGAGCAGAGAGTGGTGCTTTCTTGCAGGTTTGCTGAGTCGAAGGTTCGATGAACTTCTCCGCGTGTGCTCTGGATGGCAGTCGTGAGTCAGTCAAGTGTCAAATCAAGTTGGCGGAAAAGCGTGAGCTTCGGTGTGGGGAGCAACCGTCTTTCCTATGTCTTGGACTTGTAATATCCTGGTTCGCGTAAGATCTAGTCAGACTAGAGAGGTTCTGCTATACTAGTAGTAGTACATGAAACGTAGAGAAAGCACGTAGAGAGCAGGTGTCTGGGTTAGAGTACATGAAACGTAGAGAAAGCACGTAGAGAGCAGGTGTCTGGGTTAGAGTACATGAAACGTAGAGAAAGCACGTAGAGAGCAGGTGTCTGGGTTAGAGTACATGAAACGTAGAGAAAGCACGTAGAGAGCAGGTGTCTGGGTTAGAGTACATGAAACGTAGAGAAAGCACGTAGAGAGCAGGTGTCTGGGTTAGAGTCTACGGCTTCGCGTGTTTTAGGGTCCAGATTTCCACGCGTAGATGAGCTTCTCTACGTTGTGGCACACGTAAAGAAAATGCGTACGGATTAGCGAGTGCAGGCAGAAAACTGCCAAATATGGAAGGGGAGATTCCCAGTACACATTCCACGTGACTTCTCTACGTGAAACGCAGAGGAGAACAGGATTTCTTTACGTTACGGGAACGCGAAGAGAGTTCGCGTGATTCTTTGCATCGCGTTCCCGAAACGTAGAGCGGAGAACCTCACTACTGACTCGTACTGAGTCACGTTCCACAACCGTAGGAACACCACCACCCGCAAGCCGGATCAAAGCGCAGACGGAGCTCCTAAAGCGGTGGACCCGGGTCCCGGGGTCAAGAGAGTAGTCTGCAATCTAGCACACGGATCAGTGACGGTGCAATAATAACTGTGCCCCCCCCCCCCTTACTCGGTATGTAAACATGGTAAAAATTCACCTAGGCCAGGGTTACCAGTAAAAAGGCAACGCCTGTTGGGACTCCCCTAGTAAAATAATAAAATCTACTACTACTACTACTACTACTACTACTACTACTACTACTACTACTACTACTACTACTACTACTACTACTACTACTACTACTACTACTACTACTACTACTACTACTACTACTACTACTACTACAGTCAACTTCGCCAATAACGACATTCGGCGGGGCAACAGGAAAGTGCCCTTATTCGCGAAGTGTCCTTATAACCGAAGTCCCATTTGAATGTATGTGAACCCATATTTTTGTATAGTATGACATGCATATCAAAATCAAGCTCTTTTCTTGCTCTATGTCAATGTGTACTTTATTTTCATATTGCAGTTGAAAGGAACTAAAAATTCAATATGCAAGGAAATCAATTGAAAAATATGCCTTTTTGAGCCATCTACAGGGCCAGAGACATGTACATGTATGATGATTACTGTACAATCATGTACAACTACATGTACATTGTATACATAATATTATAGGTGTGCTGGTAAATCCAACAATTTTGAAGCCAACATAAAAAAGGAAGAAAAAGCCCCCCCCCCCCCGCCCCCCTCCCTTTGGCTGCATTTTCTTGCATGTACATGTGTGCCTTTATAATAATATCCATCACCATAGGTTCTGGTACTTCTGCATGACAGGTACTAGGTACATGTACTTGACTGACAGGTACTTGAAAGAGCTGTCAAAAGCCCAGAAAGTCGTTATTCAAGCAGTGAATATGACCTCGGGGCACTAAAAGCATGTCGCTATACGCGAATTGTCGTTATTCAGATAGTCGTTATATCCGAAGTTAAATGTATACAGTTAGATGGGACTTTGCTCTGGGCATGGAAATTCGGTCGTTATTCGCGAATTGTCGTTATATCCGCAGTCGTTATTAGCGAAGTTGACTGTACTACTACTACTACTACTACTACTACCCCCCCCCCCCCCCCCCCCCCTCCCTTCGACCATCAGTGCACCGTGCATGGCCACAGTACTCAGTAAAGTAAGCTGTCCCTGTATACTAGACACATGTATGACCATGACATTGTACTATACATGCACTACCGGTAACTTACTTCCGGACAGTGCCGTCGACGTCACGGCTTGTGGCTAGCTGTGGCAAGTCGTGCTGTCGTGGCAGCAGTGAACCGTCACATTGTCAGGGATGATACTGCTCTTCTCACTGTGTTGTTGACCAAGAACATTATAGAAGGGAACCCGCTTTGATTACGATTAGGACCAGCACCGGGCCTCCGAATGCTTGCCAGTCCGGGGCGTAGTCTGGTCGGCAGCCGGCATAGCCGGCAATTTGACAAGTCAACGAACAACGAGTAAAAAGAACTTGAAAGAAGCCTACTTTTGTGTTCTGACCGGTGTTCCAGAGCAGGAAAGGAGAGATACAATGAGGTACATGTACATGTACCTGTACGGGCAGTATGCGGCCATTAGTCCATAGCCGGAGTTTCTCCTAGTAAATATTCCGTTGACACCTGCCAACTCCCGAGGCCATTCAGTGTGTCATCCCCGGAGCACGCTATTGCCCTAGCGCAGTATACAGTATCCGCGGGGTTTGTTTGGTCGCATGGCCAGATCCGCTGTCACAAGCTTCCGCCCATAACGGCTACATAACCATTGGCGCTAACAGTCACTACAGGATACTCAGTATCAGTATATCACTCGCAGAATGGCAGTACACCGAGAGTTCTAGTCCTAGAGCTTCAATGACACTAGTATTATGTAGCTGCTGACAGAAACTGCCCTGTGACTGGCTCAGTGGCTGTGGCAGGGCATAGGACAAGCAAGTGGAACACCGACGCAGGGCTTGTCAGTCTGAAACTCAGGACAGACAGTGAGGGAGCCGCTCAGCGCTGCAGCGAAACTCGTGTCTGAGAGCATCCCGACCAGAATTCGGCACACCGCCATGATCTGACTGTAATGCCATGGCGCGGGCACTAGGTGGAGCTAGCCTCGATGTAGATCATACTAGATGATGCTCTTAGACAGGCTAGAGGAGAGGTTGGTAAACTGCATAAGTATTAGTTGGGCTAGTTAGCAATGGCCAGTGTCTGGCTGGCTGAGCGGGCATGTGTCCTGTGACTAGCGTACATGACTGTACTGCACAACCGTCAATGCCAATAAGGCAATATGCACCAACAGCAGCTGTCAACTAAATGTACTTGAAGTGTCATTTCCCGTTCCAACATGTCGCTCCAAATACTGTAGTAGCAAATGGTTGCCATTGGCATTGGTTCTCGGGCATGCACAGTCGACAGGTCGAGTAGCGCTAGCTCATGCAGCAGCTCTACATTCCCTGCCTAAACTCTCTCAGAACTATTTTCTATTTTGACACGAGACTGTACGGACAAGAAGTCAAGAATGATTTGCCCTGCCTTTCATTCTGCGCTCAGTGTAAAAAGCGGTTGTTCGTCGTCGCAACTACTTGTGTTCATCGCTAACGTAACGTTGTGAAACTACTTGCCCCTGCTTGTGTAGGCTTGTTGCAGTAACAGTGGGCTCTTTAGGCTAGCTAGGTCAGTCTACAAGACTGCTGGTTCGAGTAGGCGGTTGTTTCTCGTCGACAGCTAGTGCTTCCCACCCCCGACTGATAAGACCCTGAAATGCACTACATGTAACCGTGAGTTGGGAGCTGATCGATTTCTCACTCTCACCGGCCAGAGCAAGATTCTGTACATGCCCTGGATCTGGAACGCAATCGTCACTCTACAGCTTATGTAGCTATATCGCGGTGACTGAGTTGCACAATACAAAGTCGCAAACCACAGTCGATGTGAACCGTGACAGTAGCATTATTTTTTTGAATCGGATCAGGAGCAAAGTGCCGGGTGGTGAAGGCGAGAAGACGGCGAAGCCTCCGCAAGAGCTAGGCGATACAGCGAGAGCAGGAGATCATGCACGACGACGAATCCGTAAGATAGTGACACAGGAGGCCATGGTCGCGAGAGACACTCATATGAGCTCCGGCCGTGCTCCTGCAACCAATTCAAAGACGAAACCCGACTTGGGTGGAAGATACGATCGTCTACATTCATTCCCTGCAAGTAATCGCTACCACCATGTTATCAACGTTGCAATCATGCTTGCAACATTGTTCTTGCTACTGCTCATAGCAGCCGCGCCCGGTGAAGTCTCCGGAGAGACAGTGAGCGATGGCTCAGGTAAGTCTGGACAGGAGGCCATTATCTGTCACGAATTGCGGTGATCGTGGGGTACAAACTATAAAGTCTGTCTGGGGTAGTTCAAAGGCGACTACTCTTCCATTGCACCTTCGTAAGGCCTCGCTCGCCCTTTCCATCGTGTCTCTCTTGTGCAGGTGCGGAGGACTGCAACTGCACGCAATGCATAGAGTCTTTGGTCAACTGCACAGCAGGGACGTTCTGGAATGGCTCAGTTTGCAGCGTTTGTCCAGCTGGCTATTTGTAAGTACCGCTAACCGCGAACAGTCAGTGTTCCTCGCCATTCTATTATTCTATTCCTGCCTCTGAGCTGAAGGCACACACTCATGTAACAGTAACGCCGAGACACGATTTAGAAAAGCGATCCAGTCAGCTTTTCTGTGGTTATGGAGTGTGTCAGTGCAGTGTGACACACTTCCTCGAGAATCATGCACATGGCCGCAACACGCTCTGTAGACCTACTACAAAAAGTACTAGGTCTAGCTGTGCTCTTTGGTAACGCTGTTCACGGTTACCACGGAGCGCGGAGATGGGCCCGGCCCGAGTACGGAGTAGTACTAGAACGCACATGTGAGCATGCAAGTGGTTGGAGAATTTTTCTGACCGCTTCCGTCTTTGGTGATATGTTGGCCCCTTGTTCTGCAGCTGCCCTGGAGGAGGTTCTGGGAACTCAACTGCCTGTCCTGCTGGCTATTTCAGTTTCCAGGAAGGAGCTTCAAGCCCCGAGTCCTGCAAGGTATGGGATGTAACATCCTTTGCATGGCCGGCTACAATTTTTGTAGTGTTTTTTTATTCAATTTCCGGTATCACATTAATTTTTTGACAATTTTGCAGCGCGAAAGATTTTTGAATTTTGGATGGGTGTCGGCGCCGCGCTAAGACTTAGTGCATGTACACGCTACAAGACGCTGTGCTAGAAAGGATGACAGTTCCGCACTTACACATTGTAGCCATGTTGCTCAGTGCACTGTGTGAACCAGGGAGTAGTACAATTATTATTGTACTACTCCCTGGTGTGAACAGTTCAAGCAGGGAGTTCAAGTAGAAAACTTCAGTGTACAAAATCATGAGGAGATATGACCATGAGGAGATATGACCATGAGGAGATTATGACCATGGCGCCATCATCTGTCCCTCCAGGAAATCGCGATTCCACGGATGCAACAAATTTTGCGATTTTGGCCCAAACCCGCGATTTTCAGCAAGATCTGCGATTTCCCGCGTTTTTTGTTGTTTTCTGCACTATATCTCACATTTTTATGCACTTTTCACGCAGTTCTTTCCATGATCCTGTCGTGATTTGGCCCAAATCCGCAATTTTCTGCAAATAATTCCGCGAATTCCTGGCAAGTTCTGCATCATTCCGCACTTTTCGTCGCATTTTTCGTTACTTTCTGCCGCAATTTCTTGCGCAAGTTTTCGAGAGTTTTTTCCGCAAATTCCCGCAGGGACAGCATCATGTTTATATCGGCTCTATTGAGTATTGTGAGCTGATTCGCCAAAAAAAACTATGCAGCCAACATGGAAACATGATTTGCTTTATGACTTTATCCTGTGGTTTTCGTTCTAACTAAAGCTGCGTTCACACCATGGTGAAGGTACCACAAGAGCGTCCCACCACCACCGCATCGCACCCCACACTCGTGATGGTGTTTTGGTGGTGTTTTGGTGGTGTTTTGGTGGTGTTTTGGTGGTGTTTTGGTGGTGTTTTGGTGGTGTTTTGGTGGTGTTTTGGTGGTGTTTTGGTGGTGTTTTGGTGGTGTTTTGGTGGTGTTTTGATGGTGTTTTGGTGGTGTTTTGGTGGTGTTTTGGTGGTGTTTTGGTGGTGTTTTGGTGGTGTTTTGGTGGTGTTTTGGTGGTGTTTTGGTGGTGTTTTGGTGGTGTTTTGGTGGTGTTTTGGTGGTGTTTTGGTGGTGTTTTGGTGGTGTTTTGGTGGTGTTTTGATGGTGTTTTGGTGGTGTTTTGGTGGTGTTTTGGTGGTGTTTTGGTGGTGTTTTGGTGGTGTTTTGGTGGTGTTTTGGTGGTGTTTTGGTGGTGTTTTGGTGGTGTTTTGGTGGTGTTTTGGTGGTGTTTTGGTGGTGTTTTGGTGGTGTTTTGGTGGTGTTTTGGTGGTGTTTTGGTGGTGTTTTGGTGGTGTTTTGGTGGTGTTTTGGTGGTGTTTTGGTGGTGTTTTGGTGGTGTTTTGGTGGTGTTTTGGTGGTGGGGTCACCTGTCCGCAGGGCACTACAGTCATGTACTAGTATGTCGATTGCGGCCCGGATCTTTCACATGATACTCCACCTCCCACACCGGTCGATTTCTGCCCGTCCAGTCGGACTGCCGGTCTGTCGATGCATGGCAGACAGAGTATGCAAGCACGCGACATGCAAGGTCGGCCAAGTTCAGTTGTCGGCTAAAAATCGACAAGTCGGCCGACAAGATAGTCACCCAAGTACGCCTGTGTTCACATAGGGGTACTTGTACCGGTGTTTTGTGTGACCTGGCATGACCTCTGGGTTTCTCTTCTCGACTGATATGAATTTTAATTTGTCGGCTTCTGAACTGGTATGTAGGTAACACCATCGGAACTTGTCTCTGCTATTGTGTGTATTATTTCACTGCATTCCAGGCCTGTAGCAATGGAACCTACTCACCATTGCTCGCTGCAAGTCAATGCACACCGTGTCCGCCCGGCTCCTACTGTGACGTCGACGGTCAGACGTCACCGCTGGTGTGCGCGGCAGGCTCCTACTCCAATGAATCCGCATCGGTGTCGTGTCGCCCGTGCCCCGCTGATCACTTCTGCCTGAGCGTCAGCAATACGCCGGCACCATGCCCACCGGGACAGTTTAGCGCCGTCGGCACTGATGCGTGCTCGATATGTCCAGCACAGTATGCCTGTACTGCTGCAGACAATAAGGTTAGTCACTCGGTTGCATACTAGTGGCAGGAAGGAATTGTCAAAAAACCTGTTCGCTGTGTTCGTATCAAGTTTTTGTTCGTGCCGTTGTATTACTGGTGTGATGCAGCACTGGCAGTAGAATTCAATGTGAGAGAAAGGCGCCCTGACCAAAGGTGCCGCTTGGATATCTGGACTCAATAAGTTGGTATTCTTTGTTTTGTGTGTGTGTGTGTGTGTGTGTGTGTGTGTGTGTGTGTGTGCGCGCGCGCGCACGCTTGCATGTACGTGTTTGCATATGTATACATGTTTGTGTGTGTTGTGCGTGCGTGCGTGTGCGCGCGCGCGTGTGTGTGTGTGTGTGTGTGTGTGTGTGTGTGTGTGTGTGTGTGTGTGTGCGTATTGTTGTGCAGACATTATGTGATGTCGGCACGTACTCCGTAGAGGGCAGCACCGAGTGCAGCGCATGCCCGAAAGGCACGGAGTGTCCGGTAGTGGGCCTGTCAGCGCCAGCGCCATGCACAAACGGAACATACGCCAACACCACTGGCAGCAGTCAGTGTTCACAATGTCCTGCAGGGCATGAGTGCAGCGATGCAGCATCCAATCCAGTACCATGCATGGCTGGCACCTACAGCTCTGCAGGCACTGGTTGGTGTAGTGCGTGTAGTGCGGGATCTTTCAGCAGTAGTACCGGGTCTGATGCCTGCCAGCTTTGTCCTCAAGGTACTTATTTACCAACTGTAGGTGAAGCTCAGTGTTTGAACTGCAGCGCAGGGTTCCAGTGTCCTACCGCCGGTCTCTCCCTGCAACAGAGCTGCAGCAATGCAACCTATGCGGACACATCGGCGACGGTCACCTGCCTACTCTGTCCAGCTGGCCACGCATGCTCTGATCCTGCAGCAACGCCGGTTCCCTGCCTGGCTGGTCTCTACAGCCCAAGTCAGGATGTGGGCTGCTATCGCTGTCCGCAAGGATTCTACAGCCAGAACGCCGGCTCCTCTAACTGCACTGCTTGTCCCGCCGGATCGGCATGTCCGCAAACTGACCAAGCGCCGATAGGATGTGTGGAGGGTGAATACAGTGTTGCACAGTCGACGGCCTGCTCTCCCTGCCCTGCTGGTCACCAGTGCGCGAGGCCACGGGACCTGCCCGTACAGTGCACTTCAGGCAATTATGCCGGCGCTGGAGAAACCAGCTGTTTGCCGTGTCGCCTGGGAGCGTACTGTCCGAATGATCAGATGTCCGAGTCCATTGCCTGCCCACCTGGACTGTATGCGGCGTCTACCGGTAGCCGTACATGCTCGCCATGTCCCAGTGGATACTCGTGCAGCAATGCCGCACGTCTGCCCGAGCCTTGTTCACCGGGTACATTCAGTGCTGCTAACTCTACCAATTGCTCACGCTGTGAAGCTGGATCGTTTGCAAACAGTTCCCTGTCTTCATCTTGTGAACTCTGCCCGGGTGGCTATGAATGTGGCTATGGCACAGTGACACCAGTTGCCTGTGCTGCTGGGTTTTACAGTGAGCTGGGAATATTGTCATGTACACGCTGTGCCAGTGGTCAGTATAGTACTGCTGGTGCAGATCAGTGTATGAACTGTCCCAGTGGACATGCCTGTCAAAACTCATCGCTGTCGCCCGTACCCTGCCAGAGTGGCACGTTCAGTCCGGCTCTTAGCATTGCGTGTACACCATGCGCTGCTGGAGACTATCAGGACGGCGTTGGAAACTCCTCGTGCATGCCCTGTCCGTCTGGGTACAGCTGCCAGAACGCATCGGCTGCGCCGCAAATCTGCCCGGCCGGTTCTTCCAGTGCTGCGCGTTCAACATCGTGTACATCCTGTGCCGTGGGCTACTACAGCTCTACACCCGGTGCTAGTCAGTGCAATCCATGCCCGGCGGGGTCGGCGTGTGCAAATACCGACCAAGACCCTGAGGCATGTGGCGAGGGTCACTACAGCCCTCCGCTTAGCACACACTGTGCACTGTGCACCGGCGGGTATGAATGCAACACCACCCATCGCGTGGGTCCGTGCTCTGCCGGATCCTACTCACCGCCAACCACCTTTCCGTGTTTGCCGTGTGAGCTTGGCTTTCAGTGCCCCAGTGATGGACTGGCGGAGCAGGTCCCTTGCCCGAATGGCACGTTTGCAAACACAACTAGTACGGTGTCTTGTACCGTGTGTCCTGCAGGTTACATGTGCCCGACGGCCACTACTGGTCCGCTTCGCTGTTCCGCTGGTAGCATTGGTCTCGGTGCGTCCACTAGCTGCATAGCCTGTGCACTGGGACAGTACTCGACGGTCGACGGCAGTCAGTGTGTGGTGTGTCCGCGTGGCAAGTACTGCCCGACACCGAGTGCACTGCCGCTGGACTGTGAGAGAGGCATGTACAGCAGTGTGATTGGTTTGCCTGTGTGTGTCGCCTGCCCTGCGGGCTACCAGTGTGCCAATGCCTCTGCAGAGCCGGTCATATGCCAAGCGGGGTACTATGCGGGCAATTCAAGTGCTCAGTGTGACCCATGTCCCCCGGGAACGTTTTGCCCCGGTACAGGAGTGAGCATCCCTCTGGTCTGCTCGAATGGCTACTATTCCAACACAACTGCTGCGTCACAATGCTTGCAGTGCCCGGCTGGTTATCAGTGTAGTGATGTCACAGCATTACCTGCACCATGCCTGGAAGGCTTCTTCTCATCTGTAGCCGCGACCAGCTGCAGTGCCTGTGCGACTGGTATGTACACAGCCGAGACGGCCAGTGCAAATTGCTCAACATGTCCGGCGGGTAATTCGTGTGGTCGCGCTGATCAGCCGCCCACACCGTGCGATGCAGGCAAGTACAGTCTAGCTGGTTGGACGTCATGTGTGCTATGCCCGGCAGGCTACGAGTGCTCACTCGCCGGTAGTCCAACCATCTGTACGGCGGGTACCTATGCTGGAAATGGCAGCATAGCTTGCGATCCTTGCCCGCTGGGAAGTTTCTGTCCGGGCGATGGTTCTACCAGTCCACGTCCATGTGCGTCGGGTCACTACTCGGCCGACTTAGGCTCAACAAGCTGCACCGCGTGTCCGCAAGGCCATGAGTGTTCCAACAGAGCTTCTGCTCCGCGCGCATGCCCGGCCGGTCAGTATCAGAACACGACGGCCGCCACAGTGTGTCTGGTGTGTCCGCAAGGCTTCGAGTGCGGCAACGCAACCGTCTCACCGCAAGCGTGTGTGCCAGGGTTCTATGCCGGGGGCAACAGCGCCACGTGCACACCGTGCCTCAGCGGCACTCACTGTCCTTACACGTCCACGGTGCAGCCTGCCCCGTGTGCAACGGGTACGTACACGCCCAGTACTGGCATGCAGCAGTGCATCAGCTGCCCTGCAGGACACACATGTCTGGATAGGATATCGGCACAGGCCTGCTCGCCTGGCTTCTACAGTAACTCATCATCAACGGACTGTACCGCATGCCCTGCCGGCTACAAGTGCTCAAACGCATCCATGTTACCCGTCGAGTGCACAGCAGGCACATACTCCGTTGGAACTGCAGTGGATTGCTCGAGCTGCCCACTTGGCACGGAGTGCCCAGCACGACGTCTCTCGACGCCGCAGTCATGTGCAAGCGGCTACTATTCAGCCAGTGTTTCGCAGAGCTCTTGCACGCTGTGCCCGCCCGGCTCTGCCTGTTCCAACGCTAGCTCCACTCCGGTGGTGTGTGGTGCGGGCGAGGCGAGCACAAGCGGCCAAACAGCATGCCATCAGTGTGCCTTTGGCCAGTACACTGCTACACCGGGACAGAGTAATTGTACTGAATGCCCAGCTGGGTCCGAGTGTCCCAGAACTGACCAGTATCCACTTGCCTGCCTGCAAGGATCTTATAGGTGAGTGAAGATACACTGTTTTGTTTGTTTTGTTTATCTGTGCAGTGTAGGTAGAGACATGACATGTACAGTCCTGCTCAATGAAATTCAGTCGCGTCACTCAAGTTTGCGCCTTGCATCTTTTCGCAGCCCAGTGTTCGCAGGTCTGGGGCTGCGCAACGCCCGGCGCGTACTTAAGGGACGCGGCTGGATTTTGTTGAGCAGCACTGCATAATCATGATCAATCAGTGTACATGTGTAGTTGGATAATGGACGGGCTTGGGTTCCTACAGGCCTGAAAGGCCATGCAGTCAGGTACCGTAGCTAGGGTAATTGAAATAAAGTAGAACCTTGGGATTCCGACCGTCTTTCGGACCGGGCAAAATGGCCCGATTTCCGAGGCGATCTGATTTGCGAAAGTACCCATCCTGTATGCGCGCTTATTGAGGAAATTCGGGACCGAGCAAAAGTGGTCGGATTGGCGAGATGGTCGGAAAGTGAGGTTTCACTGTAATAGCCTGCTGAAATGACAGGTTTGTGTGGGCACAGCATGCTGTAATCACGGTACACGTATTGGTGAAAAGGTGCAACAGCAATGGTCATTCCATGTTCTGTGTGTTTTTCCTTTACCCTTGCGTAATTGTCTGACAGCTCATCTGGCTCAACTCAGTGCAGTACTTGTCCGCCCGGTCACGAGTGTCCTGCTCCTGAGCTGTCGCCACGGCCCTGCGCCGGAGGATACTTTGCAGTGGGCAATGCCACCGCATGCACCGTGTGTGGCCGCGGGTCTTACTGTCCCACAAGCCATCTGAACGGCTCGTTCCCGTGTCCAGTTGGATACTATGCAAACACGACAGGTGTCACTGAGTGCACTGTGTGCCCAGCAGGTAATGCTGTATTCTTGTCTCTCAATTTCTGCAGTGTTGGCTTTGGTGCCTGTTTTATACTGTAACTTAGGATGATGCCGACTGATGTGGCATGGATTTTTACTGCTGGATCATTCATTCGAATCAATGCGACCGGCATCTCACCTGTGTGTGTGTGTGTGTGTGTATGTGTGTGTGCACGTGCACATGTGTGTATGTGTGTGTGCACGTGTGTGTGTGTGTGTGTGTGTGTGTGTGCACGTGTGTGTGTGTGTGTGTGTGTGTTTGTGTATATATGTGTGTGTATTCACATGTGTGTATGTTTACACACACGTGTGTTTGTGTGTGAATGTGTGCATGTGCCCGCTTGTCTCCGTGTGTGTACATTCACACATACGTACATGTGCATGCAGGATACCAGTGTGCGGCACGGCACACCAGTCCGATAGCCTGCATGCCGGGCTCCGCTAGCAGCACCGGCTCTGACCGCTGCACTGCCTGCACCACCGGCTACTATGCCAGCAGTAGTCGTCAGCCATCCTGCTCACCATGTCCCGGTGGCTACCAGTGTTCTAATGCCACTATCAATCCACTAATATGTGCAGCAGGCACATACAGGTACACTAACTCTGCATGTACACTTCATTGAATTGATGTTCTCCCATCTCTCAACCTACATGTACCAACGTTGTCTTGGTCTTTTGACGGCTGAGCTGAGCAAATAAGTTGGGCATCCTCAGCTAAGAACAAGAGTACCTCCAAATCTTCCTTTTTGTTCATGTCCAGTTTCTGCAGCAGATCACAGTTAGCTCTGCATATTCACAGCTTCAGCAGGTGTTGATAACTTAGATATCTGTTGACAATTTACGATTTTGTTCCTTCCTCGCTCTTTGCTAGTGCAGATTACAGTTTTAGGTTTTAAGCACATGCACAATTACGGTGTGTGTGTATGTGTGTGTGTGTGTGTTTGTGTGTGTGTGTGTATGTGTGTGTGTGCGTGTGTGTTTGTTGGCTAGTGTGGCTGCATCAGTTCGTTGCATAGCCTGCCCGGCAAACACTTACTCATCAGCTGGAGCAGACCAGTGCACCACATGCCCATCTGGATCGTCCTGCCGGGACTCCTCGCAGCCGCCGATGACATGTGGCAACGGGACATTCATTGACACGCGCTTCAACAGCTCGTCGTGTGCGCCGTGTCCTGGCGGCAGCTACTGTGCGTCTCCGGGCACTTTGCCGCAAGTCTGTCCTGCCGGTCTGTACTCGCCGATTGGGGCAACATCCTGTTTCAGATGTCAACCGGGCTTCTACTGCCCTGCGCCCAGCACTGTGGAACAGATACGGTAGGTTTTCGGCACGCTTATTGCTTCAGTTCACTCTGTTCAATGTCATTTTTTGTTCTGTACGATTGTGCTGTTTAGCCGGTATTATTATTTTGCTAGTTTTGTAAACTTCTATCATACCCATGTGATTTTCAATTGTCTGTGCTTGTAAATTTGTTATATGGTAGGTGATGGTGAGGTACTTATTATTGTCTTGAAAAATGTCAGAGCTTTGAGTCCTGTCTCTCCTTTCTGCTCACACTATCTTGCACTCTGTTTGTGTGGATGCACTGCAGGTGCCCAAGTGGCTACTATGTGACGGAGTACAACTCTACATCATGTACACCTTGCCCGGCTGGTAGCCAGTGTGTAGACCCAGCCGCTCCGCCATCGTTGTGTACTCTGGGTTACTACAGCCTACAGAACTCAACACAGTGCTGGCCTTGTCCAGTTGGAATGAGGTATGTGTGTGTGTGTGTGTGTGTATGTGTGTGTGTGTGTGTGTGTGTGTGTGTGTGTGTGTGTGTGTGTGTGTGTGTGTGTGTGTGTGTGCGAGGAGAGAAAATCGATTCTGAGCTCTTGCCTGCTTCATGCTTCTCCAGTTTTCTAAGGCTACCCAAATCCATATACATGTACAAAACTTTTTCTAAAGTGTTTAATGAGTTTGGAGCAGTCATTGGATAGCTTTGTGTGCTCAGACGTCTTCAGTTGTCTATATAATCACTAGCACTCTATATCGATGATTAACTCAGCCAGCCGGTACGACTTCTGTTCCTATTTGAATCGGCCTAATTGATGACTGCGGTTAAAACAACTGTGTGTGTACGTGTGTTTATGCTTTGCCTGTACAGTTGCCATAGAACAGACGCCATGCCTGTGGACTGCTCAGATGGAGAGTATTCTGCGGCCGCGGTGGCCAACTGTTCACGCTGCGAAGTGGGCAATCATTGTCCCGTGGGTCTTAACGCCGCGCCGTTGGACTGCGCTGAAGGCTACTATGCCAACCAGACTGGACAGACATCGTGTCATGTGTGCCCAAAAGGTGCGTCCATCATTGCTTGTATGCACATGTGCCTTTGTACTTACCGGTAATGAATGAATACTTGTTCATTGGTTTGTTCGTTGATCTAAAGGTTTTGGTAACCAAAATTTGGGGTTTGTTCTATTCCTAGTGCTTTTTACCTGAACTGCATTGCGTAGTAAACTGGGATACTTTATATGACAGAGTGATCTACGTATGGACCTTCGTAACAGGTACGAGTTGGGTTTTTAGTTAATGGCTTCAATTCGGTGACTCTATTGTTTTGTGATTGTCTTCATGCTGCACAGGTCACTACTGCGCAGATCGAGTCAGCAACCCTCGCCCTTGCCCCTTGGGTGCATTCAGCGAGCGGACGGGTCGTTCGGTGTGCATAACGTGCGCCCAGGGCTACTTCACAAATGCCACCGGCAGTGTAGCTTGCCTGCAGTGTCCAAGTGGTTCGTATTGTCCACTGCCACAGGATCTGCCTATTGCGTGTGAAGCAGGAGAGGTAGGGATCTACGTATACTATCGGTATGCAGCTGTGCTATTTCACTGATCGTTTGGACTCACCATACAGCAGAGATTACACTCTAGATTTTCATTTTCAAACATGATCAAATAAGGGTGCTTGTCCATGTTTGCACCATCCTCCACTTCTCCAGTATTTGATTATCCTGCCTGTTTTTCAATTCCGTCTCTTTCTATTTGCGATGGTTTTTAATAATGATGTTAGACCAATGCCGTGTGTGTGTGTATGCGTGTGTGTGCGCACGTGTGTGTGTATGTGGTGTGTGCGTGGGTGCATGCATGCGCGTGCGCGTGTGTGTGTGTCAACAATTCCCTATTGTTTGTTTCTAGTATTCCCCGGCTGGTTCCATAACATGCTATTCTTGTCCTCAAGGTCAGATATGTGCAGATCCCGCCGTGGCACCTGTAGCCTGCCCAGTAAGTCTCACATTCTTTTTCATGGCTTTCAGGCTTTGCCTCAAATCTCTAGAGCCGCGCCAATCAATCAGCCAATACTTTTTGCAAATGGATCCAGGGCGAAGGACAATTCGATGATCGAAAACCGTGCCTTATGATGCGTAGTTCTTAGAGAAATCAAGGCTAGGGCAGCTTTGGAAAGTTTGAAACTCTCTCTGTCTCTAATATTATTAGTAGTACTTCTGCCCTGATGTGCGATGACAAACAACCTGACCCCTGTTCTCTTGATTTGTGTGTTTAGTCTGGCACTTATTCGAATCGTAGCCACTGTATTCCATGCGAGGCAGGCTTCTACTGCCCACAGTCCGTGTCCCAGAAGCTGCTCTGTCCAGCCGGCACCTACAGCAATAGCACGGGCAGTGTGCAGTGTCAGGCGTGTCCGCCGAATCACGACTGCCAGGACCGCGCCGGCGCACCGCTGCCCTGCCGGCAGGGTTACTACAGCTTGGCTGGCACTCTGGCGTGTGATGTGAGTACGGTAGTGCATGCACTCGCACTCTGAGTACACTGTACTAGTACCCAGGTATTAACGTTACTTACGGAACTGGTGGTATTCGACAGCGCTGCTTTGCGGAGCTTGGGTTGCTGTTCATGCTGCTCAGTGCGTCAATTTCTTCATCTTTGTTACCATTCATGCAGCTTGTGTTTGCCTTCTGATGTAGCAGCAGTTCCCTGTCTCCTTTGTTGCACTGCTGCGCTGTCCATTGAGTGTATTAAAGTTTTGCTTTTTATATCCTGCTTTCCTGTCCGCTAGCCGTGCCCTGTTGGTACGTACAGCACTGGAACGTCTGGTTGCATGGCGTGTCCGGCCGGCTTTGAGTGCTACGAGGGCAACGCTACTCGCATTGCACCGCGCGGCTGTAGCCCTGGCTATCACAGTCCGGCCGGAGCAGGTCGCTGCTCACCGTGCCTTGCAGGTCAGACATACATGTAGCTTGTTAGCTCCTGAGCAAACTAGATCATAGTGGATGATCCCCATTGGGGCTTGTTTGCTGAAGGCGTTGGCCTTGATAGCCGACCTACATACAGTCATATTGACTACCTGACAGCCTTGATCATAATGGGTATGCCTCGAGCGTTTTGCATGCTCCATTTAGAACTTAGTGGACCACCACTTCGCCCATGGCAACTATTCGGTATTGTGCTGGAAAGGTACACACCCAATGTAGACGGTCATTGTCGAGTTCTTCTTTTTTGGGGTACCATGGTTTGATATACAATATTAAAGGGGAAGTATACCCTAAAATGAAATTTTCACCAGTTGTAGTCTTCTGGGTGCTGAGTCGAATGGTCTTGGTTCGAGGAAGCTGCGACGCTCCCTTCCTTCTTTTTTTCCCAATCGAACCCGCGCACTTCCACCGAAACTGGGTGACTGCGCCCTACTAGATGGGGATTTGTATGCAAAATCTCACTAAAAGTGCTATGTCGTTCTTATAAAAGCACGGATGACCGCGATTGGCCCATATGTTGTAGTCTTTTGGACACTGAGTCGACCGGTTTTGGTCCGAAAAGGCTGCGATGCAGCGTTCCTCCTTTATTCCCAATCGAACATGGTTGAACAAGCGGTCACGTGCTCCTGGGTGCCCAAATCACCTGGTCACCGCGCCAGCAGGCGACAACTTTCACACCAAGGTTCAACTCGAGTTCAACTCGAGTGACAGGACTGCACCCAAAAAAGGTCAAACAGGCTAGTAAGTTGTACCCTGCAGGCACGGTGACCAGGTGACTGGTGTACGCAGGAGCACGTGACCGCTTCTTCAACCATGTTCGATTGGGAATAAAGGAGGAACGCTGCATCGCAGCCTTTTCGGACCAAAACCAGTCGACTCAGCGTCCAAAAGACTACAACATATGGGCCAATCGCGGTCATCCGTGCTTTTATAAGAACGAAATGGCGCTTTTAGTGACATTTTGCATACAAATCCCCATCTAGTAGGGCGCAGTCACCCAGTTTCGGTGGAAGTGCGCGAGTTCGATTGGGATTCAAGTAGGAAGGGAGCGTCTCAGCTTCCTCGGACCAAGACCATTCGACTCAGCAACGCGAAGACTACAACTGGTGAAAATTTGATTTTAGGGTATACTTCCCCTTTAACATTGCTGTACTGGTGATGTGTTTGCCACACGCAGGAACGTACAGTGAAGCCAACTCATCCTCCTGCTTGCCTTGTCCACCTGGTTATGTGTGTCCGAACGCCACCGAACGGCAAGCGTGTCCGAATGGGACGTATAGCCTGGGTGGTTACACCACCGTTTGCAGAGCATGCCCGGCTGGCCACTATTGCCAAACGCCGTCGTCTGTACCTCAGTCTTGTCGTCGGGGCCAGTATGCACTGGAAGCCAGTTTGAAGGTATCTATTGGTGCAAGGTCATTGTGCATGGCATAGATCCGTGCTGGATCTTGTTTTTTAGTGATTCTACAAGTTGGCGTGCCGATGCGTGTGTGCTGTGTGTGTGTGTGTGTGTGTGTGTGTGTGTGTGTGTGTGTGCGTGCGTGCGTGTGCGTGTGCGTGTGTGTGTGTGTGTGCGTGTGTGTGCGTGTGTGTGCGTGTGCGTGTGTGTGTGTCCTACTGTGACTGTATGTATAATAGGGGAGGGAATATCAATAGTTCCATACGGGGATGTTGATAAAGTAACTGTTTCATTGCGTTGTGTGCTTTCTAACCTCCAGTGCTTGGAATGCCCTGGCGGCATGTCCTGTCTCAGTCCGACGCGAGCACCATCGCCGTGTCCTGTCGCCTTTTACAGTCTACAGGTACGACCTGAAGGATATCAGCTCACACACTTGTGCACACATACACACACGCACACACACACACGCACGCACACACGCACACACATACATACAAACACAGACACACACGCATCCACCCACCCATGCACCCACCCGTGCGCACGATAAAGACTGTTTTGAGGCAAATGCAGCACCGGTCAGTGAAATGAGGAACTGGCCTCGGGTAGTGTGCCACAGCTTTCATGCTATCATGGCAAACATGGGCTAGGCTGCAGGACGTACGGTGCTGTTATAGTTTACAAGTCTGGATTTCTTCGGCCAATGATGCAGCTCTTGTTCCTGTGTACGTGCTTTGCTTGCTGCTGTCAATGTTTTTGTTGACTACTGTAATTTCACAAATTTTCGGTGTACTTTTATTTTCAGTACTTTCCGTGCGTCTGTTTCATACCTAAAATTTCAATACACCGAACAAACACTAACGCACATAATCCAATAGGGAACTGCTTCTCTGTACCGAAAATGTCTGTTCACCTAACCTAGCCTGTTGCCCTCATACCGAAAATATTGAGCACCGAAAATTTCTGAAATTAGAGTATAATGTTAAAACATGCTTCAAAGTATTGAGATGTTTGAGGGAGTTGAAACGGAGGAAGGGGGCAGGTACTTCGAAGTAGTCAACGAAAATAAGTATTGCTGTTGCCAGATTCAGTAGTAAATGCATGTTTTCGTGTTACGTCAGCAGGGAGAAGTGGAGGCCATCCTAGTTTTTCTTCTTTCACTTTTCAAGAGAATGTTCCACACGCTCTTTTTGCCTAGGGTGATCCGCTCTGTCGGCCATGCCCGGCTGGAGCAAGCTGTGCTGATCAAACAACGCCGCCACTGAACTGCACTGCCGGTTACTATTCCCTGTTGGCCTCGTCACTCGGCTGTCAGCCATGTCCCGCGGGCAGCGCCTGTCCACTAGCTAACATGCGCCCAGTGGAGTGCTCGGCCGGACAGCACACCCATGGCAAGCAGCTGGCCACTGAATGCTCGGACTGCTTGCCTGGATTTTCATGTCCATCCACAAGGTATTTATTGGAGCATACAATGTACGCTATGACAGAAAGAAATAATATAAAGAGTAACGAAAAGAAATTGCACTTGAAGCCCTTGGTACTAGCTCACCTGCTGTCTGTGACTATGAGGGAGAGCTGGTTGCTTAACTCATTGATAGCAGTGCAAGCCTTGATATGAGATGGCAGATAAGAACAAAGCGAAAGCCAGCACTTTCTAGTTTCAACTTGCCCTGCAGTATTGCATTTGACCCGTTGTCTGATCTTTGAATTGTCTTATGTTTCGTTTCAGCCTTGCACCAGTGGAATGCCAAGCTGGAACCTATAGTCTAGGTCTCTATACATCATGCCTGCCCTGCCCGGCCGGGAGCCGCTGTGAAAGCAATGCGGTAAGATCATCAGTTTTGCCGTTTCAGCACTGTATGGGATAGGTAGAGACTGACATGGTACAGTGCCGTGCGATGAATTCCGATCAAGCTGGTCAATGCCACGCCGGGTGCTGTGCAGCCCTAGGCCTGCTTAGGCCGCGGTCACACCGAGCTCGATTCAGCCGTTCAGCCGAAACAAGCGCTTGTTTACGTCACTATTACCATGGAAATGGCTGAAACATGTCCTACAAGCGACTTTCAGCCGTGGCTGACTCTCAGCCGTTTTTTCCGGCTTGTTTCAGCCACAGCTTGTACAAGCGGCTGAAAGCCAAAATTCAAAAAATAATTTGAGTGCGCTTGGAGCTCCGGAGCACACCATGTAGCTAGTTGACATGATGAACTGATATTGATGTTCTTTCTTGTGTCCGTGGAACCGTGCTATCCCTGTGCCTTTGGTTTTGACCGTGAGTCTGTCTACCCCAACTACACTGTATTCAGTTTGATTTGGATTTTGTCCGATGACCATGGATTTCTGCCGCTGTGCCTCTAGACTGCTGCGTAGATTGTTGGAGCTGTGGTTTGAGGCCAAGACAAGGCACCACACTCACGACCGAATTCATGAAGAAAGCCGGGTACGAAGAAGAGAGTGGATTGCAACTGAGTTCAATAACGGCAACCGGCGGGGCAGAAAGCTCGACATCAGGAAACACCACCCGAACCATCGCGTCCATGCACACCGAACAAATAAAAAGAGCACGACTTCGCAATTCAGAATCCGGGCTTCCTTTGCTTCTTCATCAAAACTGAATACTAGAACAAGTACAGTTTTAGATCGCGAACGTTCTGCTCTCCAGTTTCTTGCAAACATTGGTGTGTTTCGAGATATTCAAAATTTGGTGGGTAAGAAAAACAAGCCACTCAAGCTTTGCACTCAAGGTCTGGTGTGACCGCGTCACAGGGATCACGCAAGCCAGCTGAGCGCCAGCGATAACAAGCCCAAAGTGGCTTGTCTCGGTGTGACCGGGGCCTAACACTGGGATGCGAACTGGTGCAGGATGCCAACTTGATGCACGCGATCGAATTTCATTGAGCAGCAGTACACTTGAAATATTAACTGTCCTTTTCTTGATTGCTGTCTTTAGGATGAAAGGCAATGTTGGTGTACACGCACACTGTAAGACACGTTATCATTGCTTGTGTTGTTTCTAGTCTCTTCCCATCAAGTGCGTGCCTGGTGAGGTGAGCTACACTGGCAGTAGGAACTGCACAAGATGTGATCCGGGATATGCCTGCCCGTCACCCGCTGACCCTGGTCTGGTTTTCGCATGCGCGTCAGGTAACCACTGCGGCTGAGTGCTAGCGCTTGCAATGATGACCAGCTCTGCAATGGCCATGCGCTGTCTATGTTTGCGATAGTGTTTTCAGATCCCAACCAGCTCGCTGTAGTCGTTTTCTTCAGATTTGTCTTCGCTGTAGAAGCTCAACCTTGATCAGTTGTTTTACATCCAGTCTAGTAGTGACACTTGGTTCACTGTGAGTGGGGTTATGCAAGAAGGCTGGAACACATTCATTCGTGTCATGCTTTGTGTTGAGGATTGCATAATATGCAGCACATCACATATGTTCTGGTAATCGCAGATGCTCTGATAGTCCTACAAAAATTGCCTTTACCCTGATGTCTTATTCTCTGTACTATCAATCACTGTCGACTCAGGGACATACTCTCTTGGTGGCCAGACGTCGTGTACACACTGTCCACCTGGGTTTGAGTGCCCCAGCACTAGAACAAACGCCACCGGGCCGTGTGCAGGTGGCTACTTCTCACTTGGATCTGCGGCTCAGTGTCAACTGTGTCCAGCAGGTTGGGAGTGTCCGGACACCAAAGGAGAAAGGAACTTCCCTTGTCCAGCAGTGAGTGCTTATTTCTGTGCTCATGTTTGTTTCTGATAGTGGTACGAGTCCACCGGCATGCTGTCTGAAAACCGCTCAGTGGTTAAATGTACTGATCCACTTTGACCGCATGTGCATGTATTTGTGCACCTACAATGCTCAACCGAGAAAACACTGCAGCCAGTCTCATAGCCTGCTAAGCATACCAAACTAAACTGCAAAACTTCTTTCTATGTGTTCCGGTCCCAGTAGTGCATTTGTAAGGACATGAAGGATAGCATTGGTAGGGTGTTTGGTGTTTGAAATAGCTCTTCTAACTGATCGTTGTGCAGGGAACCTACAGCAATACCAGCATGTGCATTCCGTGTGAACCTGGCCATTACTGCCCTCGCACTGACGCTGAAGTAGTCTTGTCCTGCGCTAATGGAACATACTCGATCGGGCTTCAAACGGTGAGTACGGAGAGTCTGTTGTGTGTTGTGAGTCTGTTGCCTGTTGTGAGTCTAAGCCGATCGGTATGCATGTACATGAACGCAAGTGAGCTGTATCGTAAGGAAAGGGTACGGTACACTGCATCGTAAGGAAAGGGTACGGTACACTGCATCGTAAGGAAAGGGTACGGTACACATTCAGCAAAACTGGAGTGCACAGTACTCAGTACTCACCATGTTGATGTTGGTATGATTGATTCTACAGTGGTGAATGCGAAACCCGGATGCCAAAAAAGGTTTTTCTCCCTAGAATTGAATCCAACGAAGCTGGGAAACTCAGCTGCTGCCTAGTTCTGCCTGTGAGAGACTGTAAACTGATTTGGTTAAGATGGCAGTTCTCGATTCCTCTCCAACAGTGCCAATTTAACCGTATGGGAACACGTCCTCCACTTTTGTTTTCGTGTTTTGCTGAGTTTTGACTATCGTGTCATAAGTCCCCTTTTGTTGTGGCGTGGCTCAAATGAATAGAGATGCATGTTTGACTGTTCGTGCGTACAAATATGTGTTTCAAACTTGATGGTTGCACATTTCATCACCTTTTAATATTGTGGTATTCTTTTGGTGGAGCTGTGAAGCACTGAATACTTTTCATTATCTATGCAACAGTCTGAGCAACAGGAGATGTGCTCTTCTGTGTATAGGCTTGCACACCCTGTCCGCCAGCGTTCGCCTGTCCGTCGGTGAAGGCCGCACCAACCGAAGCCGACCGCTGCCGTCCTGGTTCGTACTCGCCCGGCAAGCAAACTACCTGCACCGTCTGTCCACCTGCACACCGCTGTCCTCTCACGGATGGTAGTGTGGTGGCTGGCTGTCCGCTTGGAAACTATTCTCTTGGCAATCAAACAGTAAGCGGCGACCAGCAAGTACATGCAGTCTGCAATCCGTCATAAGAACCTATATAGACATGTACCTAGTTTGCTACCTTGTCTGCAAGCAGCTGCAACCATTCAGTTGCCTGTGCAACAAGTGTCTGGTCTTTCTTGGGCCAGGTATAGAACATATTCTGTGACTGTGGCCTCGTTAATTGATAAGCATTTTTCTAGGGAGCAGACCAGGATTTGATGTTCCTTCCATTCCAATCGTTCGTAGGTCCTAGTCATTTGTGATGCTGCTGCTGCTGCTGTGGAGTGCTCGTACTCACTGATACATTGTTGTTCATACTTGATTTGCTATGTGCCATGTGGCGGTGTAGGAATGCCTGGCATGTCCGTTGGGCTCATCGTGCGAGAACCCCGGTGAAGCACCAGTGGAGTGCGGTCAGGGTTATTACTCCGCACTATTCCAGGTGACATGCAAGCCGTGCCCGGCTGGTCATTACTGTCGGCAGGTGTCCGATGATGGCGATGTCCTGCCCAGTGATCCCAGGCTATGCCCTCAAGGTGAGGAGGACGGGGCCAGTTTGATTCCACCATTGCTATCTTCACTTAGTATGCACCCATTCATGAGTCAGTTAGTTTGCAAGACCATGCGTCGTTTGGAGAAATATATATATATACAAAAGTTTACCGGCAACACAGATAGCAAATTGCTGCTGCCAAGGCTGATTCCCCTCTGATGAGTTCCCGTTGTCTACTGGACGAAGACAAGCATTGTCCGGAGTTTTGCTGTTGGTGAACTTTTTGTGCTGATGTCTGTTAGTATTGTGTGATCTTGTTGGGTACGAATAAGCACCTTTACCAATCCACTTTGCTTTGCAAGGTAGGGAGCACTTTGGGAGTGGTGACACAAATGTTGAGTTTGCTCCCCCCCCCCCTCCCTTCAGCCAATGTTGATGGCAATTCCCACAATGTACATGTAGCTTGAATTGCAGACCGTAGGCTGTTACAAAATACCCTTCAAGCACTTAACCAATGCGGGGGGAATACCTGACACTCAGGTTTGCTAAGCTATTGTCGACATGTTGAGGACCTTGCCCCTTGTGGATTGATGGGCGGGTTAGTTGATAACTGGTCAACATCTGCAATAGGTTAAGAAACAAAGTGAAAGTTGCTGATGCCCTGATGGCACAGACAGTGTTCATAGTTCATACGGTGGCTGGTTATTCTTGTTTTCACATTCCAGGTACATTTAGTCGGGTCGGGAACAATGGTACCGAGTGTACTCGCTGTACGGATGGAATTAACTGCCCACAAGGTGCAACGACCAACAATGATTCAACCTTTGCCTGTCCAATTGGCTACTACTGCACCAACAGTGGACGGTTCACCATCACGACGTCGTCCGTTGTTGTTCAGCAGCCGTGCCCAGCTGGAACATATGGCAATGTGCGAGGTCAGGACGTATTCCTTTTTGGTTTGTTAGTCTAATGGTCCACTGCTGTCTGCCCTGTGACTTGCCTTTGGGTTTTGGTTTGGTCATTCAGCAGACTTTCCACGCCTGGTGTGGGTTTTCTCCCCGCAATGTGACTTTGTAAGTCAGTTCAGTGTCTGTGTGTTTGTTGTGTTGCTTATTTTCGGATAAAGGTGGTTACAATGAGTCGGCCTGTGAGATCTGTCCACCGACGTTCTCTTGTCCCGAAGGCTTGGCTGCCTATCCCAGATCAGTGCACCGCTGCCGGGCCGGGTTCTACTGCCCTGCCGGTACAGGCCCCGGGTCTGAAGTCCCCTGCCCTGCGGGTACATACTCTCGGGACGTGGGAAATCACGAGCTAGCACAGTGTCGCTACTGTCCACCGGGTCGCTACTGTCTTCAGGTAAGGAAGCACTTGATATACCCAAGGGAGAGATGGATGGGATTGCGAAGGAGAGTACATGATTGCATATACTCCAGTTGTCTATCTGTGTCCAGTTATTACTGTTGTCTGATGATTTCCCTTTGACGTGAAACTCAGGAGTTACAGTAAATAACTTATTCCACTTTTCCCCACTGTGTGTTAGTAAGAGAGCCTAGAGACCTTTGGACAAAGATGTAGCAGAATCAGAATGTTTTAGGTACGGACCAAAGAGAGCAGGAAAGGAGAAGTAATTCAAGCTGTCTGACCACATGTATTTGGCTTATTAGGCAGCTTGCTTATGGCTTTATTAGGTTAAGGGTGATGTAGAGTAAGCTGTAATCAGGAGTCTATTACAATTGTTTCCAACATCCATCCTACTCCGACCCATGACCTCATGTTTTTTGTACAGAAACGTTCAGCTCATTCATGTAGCCTTCTCACACACATTTTTTGGTATTGTATTTTATTATTTTACTTGGGCATTCCCAACAGCCCCTAAGGTCTCCTTACAGGGTGCTCAACTTTGACCATGGACCCTTCTTGTGCATACCCCAATGCAGGGTGATGATACAGGTGGCATACTGTGTCCACGCGGGCACCACTGTCCTTTCAACACCAGTCGTGCGCTGCAGTACGCCTGTTCTGCTGGCTACTTCACAGCAGAGCTTGGCAGCGTGTCGGCCGACGAGTGCAAGCTCTGCCCTGCCGGTCACTACTGTGCGAGTGGGACTGACTACCCGCGGCCCTGCCCGGCAGGTAAGCTGGTCATCTGATCTTCACACCCTTGTGTGTGTCTTTGGTAAAGATTTTGAAAGTGCCTTGTGACTGGTTATGTAAATGTAAAGTGGGCAAATGCATGTGACCCTGCATTTTGTCTAGCTGAGGCTTGGTGTCAATATTGACATTGATACTACTGTTGAGTACGAAAAGGACGACGACATATTCTCCAGACATTACAACGGACAACGGGAACAGGTTAGGTCGAACAACATTTATTGGGGAGACAAAGACGAACGAAACGACGACATTGTGAAAGAGAGAGACAAGAGAGATCTAGTGTGAACGGCAAGATAAAGGGCCTGGGTAGCTATGGCGATTATGGGCGCGCAAGTAGCTACCCAGGCCAATGGAACAAAAGGAGACAAAAAAGGTGAGTACGAGAGTGCATGCAGGCCAGCTTGGATAAGGTTGTAGAACGTACGGGAAGAGGTACCTAACACTACCATGAAAACACTAGACACGACTGTATGAATTGAATTTTGTATTGCTTTTTGTTGTAGTATTTTATAATGTCTTTCACAAGAAAATCCAGTTAGTATGTGTACGTTGTCACTTGTGTTTGTTATCCGGCTTTCTAGTTTCCTCAAGATGCTTGTTTTATTGTAACTCGTTATGAAGGGAATGTTGGAATACATGTAGACCAATTTCTTTTGAGTTTTGACAAGTTATCAGGTTGTATTGTGGCAATTTGTGCGTGTTTGTTTGTTCCTGTGTTTGTTTCTTTTGCCCCCAGGAACCTTCAATCCAAACAGAGCGCAGAGCAGCTTGGACTCCTGTTTGCCATGCCGTGCGGGCTATGCATGTCCCAAGCCAGGGTCCACTGAGCCCACCGTGCACTGCGAGGCCGGGTATTTCTGTCCCAACGGCTCTTCGAGCAGCAACGATCCCCGCTACAAGTGCCTTGCTGGGACATACACCAACTTCAACAACTTGACAGCTGCGTCTCAGTGTGACGTATGCCCAGCTGGTCAGTGCTTGTTCGTTCTTTTTACTCTTTAAAAAAATTGACTTGACAGCTAGAATGGATTGATGTTTCAGCTATCAATCATTTTCACAACGAAACTCTCCTCAACCCACCCACCCATAAACGATAGTTTTCTCTTCGTGAAAAGATCGATAATTACGGACGGCCCCAAATTGTGTGTCTAATTGATATGACGCCCAAGTACGCACGCAAATTATGCTTCATGGGCATGTGAATCCTTCTCTGAATCGAATGGGCTTGAGTACTAGAAACGTGACATGGATGCAAAGTGGTTCAATTGCCGGTTGTAAAGTGACAAAGATGCAAAAGTCAGTTCATCTTCAGTTGTGAGTTGTTGGTGGATGGAAATTTGTATTTTGATATTGCTGATCATGTGTCTTCCCCTGTTCAGGTATTGCTTGTCCGGCTGGTACGGGCGGGAAGAATCGACCACCGGTGCCCTGCGCTGTTGGACACTATTGCCCTCCTGGCACGGGACGTGCTGAGCAATTTCCTTGTGCTGCCGGTTCCTACACAAACCTGACGAATCTAGAGAGCCAGGAAAACTGCACAGTGTGCCCCAAGGGCTACTTCTGTATTGGGGGTCAGGCTGCCCCGTCCGATGTCTGCCCGAAAGGCCACTTCTGCCCAGAAGGTAAGATGTGCCGATTGCCCTAGTTCCCCTGATCAGCCCTGTGTTGTGTGCGTTCGTGCGTGTGTGGCCAAGTGGGCTTGATTCCGTGCATTCATGTTGCTGGTGTGCTTACTGGGTATCTGCTTGTTTGTATCCATGTATCCGACTCTGTCTGTGTATCCCGGCGAGTTCTGTTGTCGTGTGTGTGTGTGTCACACTGTGCATATAATTATGTGTGTGTGTGTGTGTGTGTGTGTGTGTGTGTGTGTGTGTGTGTGTGTGTGTGTGTGTGCACAATCACACATGTGCATTATGCGTGTGTGGTGTGTTTGTTTGTGCTTGTGTGTGTTTCTTTGGACGTGGTGTTTCTTTCTCAGGCACTCGCTACAGCACTGATCACCCGTGTGCAGCAGGGACTTACTACAATGCTACGGGCAATCAGCGTTTCCAGGACTGTGTTCTCTGCACACCCGGTAGCTACTGTCTTGCTGGTTCTGCAGTGCCAACTGCCTGTCCTCGTGCAACATACAGCAACTCTGAGGGAGCTGTGGTGAGCTGATTGGTGATTTTTGCAAATAAAAATTATGAGAAAGAATGTGTCCCTTTTCTACACCCTCAACTAATGAATAGGAGAGAAGGTCATTTTGGTAGTGTTGCTTGGTACTTCGAATCAAGATTTGGACTGGTTTGATTGTTCAGCATTCCTTGCAGCATGCATTGCCGTATGTGTGGTAACTGGTTGTGCAGATGTGTTGTTATGCCGCCAATGTTGTCTATGTGACCATTGTCCCTTCCCTGTGCCTCCATCCATTGTCTCCCCTGTGCTACAGAACATATCAACATGTCTGGTATGCCCTGGCGGCAGTTACTGCCCAACGCCAGCAACCACCGAGCCTCTACCATGCGGACTGGGTTCCTATTCGGTATGCTGCTGGGTGATACAGTTTTCTTTCTCAGACCTTCTCTTAGTGTAACATTCCTGTGCCTGTATTTGGTAAGGTTAGTTGCACCACCTTGCAAATTGTAGTTTTATCTAAGACTTGTGCAATGCTACCAACAGAAGAGGCATGGTTGAGAGAGGAACGAGTAAAAATTACACGCGAAAAATGCCAATAACAATTCTCGACCAGATATCTTCAAAGGACATTCCCATTGCTCTCAGTCGCCTATTGAAACCTTTGTATGAGAGCACAACTGCTTCTAGCCTCAATCAAGCTGATGTGAAATGCTGCCGGGATCCTCCATCGTTCATTTGGCCTACCCTACCGTTAATTGCTTGGGAATGGTCATGAGATTGAGCATGGGTTTGATGAAAATCTCATTTCAGTTTTGCTGTGTACATTACTAGTTAGCACTGTTCTACTTAACACCAAACTTCAACCAGTGTGCTTTGTGTGGTGTGGCAACATTGTTGAGATTATACTTTTTCTGTTGTTTGTCTTGTGTGTCAGGACGATCGTGCCTACGCCTGCACAACCTGTTCACCCGGCTACTACTGCTCAAGCAGAACAACACACCGTACAGCTATGCACCGTGATATGATCTGTGCGGCTGGTACCACGTGTCTTGCCGGACGCCAGCATCCGCCGGACCTGCTCTCCGATGCCTGTGTGGCCGGTCACTACTGCCTGCCCGGGGATCTGGACCCGAATCCACGTCCCTGCCTCGAGGGGACTTTCAGCCCTCTGACTGGGCTGAAGGCCCTCAACGAGTGTCAGCCCTGCCCCGCCGGTTCATATTGCAGCCCGGTCGGCAGAACAGAGCCAGTAAGCTGCATTGCAATGCATATACACATACAAACATGCATGTAAAATGAATGGCTTGCTTGCACCAATGACGTCTCCATTGTCATATAAAACACATTTGATTCATAATGCCTTGGCAACTTTTTTCTGTGTAGACTTTGGTGATGAGCGGTGTAGTATTGGACCCAACATATACAGTAATGATGCAGCAATGAATGATCCTGATCATGTCAGGGCGTATGCAAATACCTTTCTCTTTCTTTCTTTCTTTCTTTTTGTTTGCTGCAGAGTGGACCATGTGCACCGGGCCACTACTGCCCGAACGGAACACGGAGTGCCACGCAGTTCCCTTGCCTTACTGGCTTCTTTCTCAATGCGTCGGCAGCAGAAAGCGACCAGTCGTGCTCGGTCTGCCCATCTGGATTTTACTGCAACCAGCCCGGTCTTGGAGACCCCATTGTCTGTCCGAGGGTAGGGATGATATAGCAGAAATGGCATTTTACTATCCACTGCAATTACTCGTATTTCTGTATCAAAGTATGTAACGAACTCGGGTGGATTTTCCCTCTAAGTGGCGCTAAACTGTATCGTTGTTGCCACTATGATCTGAGTTTGTCCTAACACGTTCATGCACTACACATGTACATAGGGTAGGTCTAGCATTGTGTATGTTATTCACCTCTTCGGGTATTCTTGTAGCTCTGTTAGATCCAGTAAGTTCGAAAAATTGAGTATTCATTACAGCCCTAAAATACATGTTATACTTGTAAAATGAGCTCTCTCGGTGTGAAGAAGAAATACTAAACTTCAACTCTTTCTTTCTGATTGTTTCCTACGTTGTGTGTGTGGCAGGGATTCTTCTGTCGGACTTCATCCCGTGCACCACAGCCTTGCCCCCTGGGCACGTATGGTAACAGCACGCTTCTCCGTCGCTCCACCGAGTGTGTGCCTTGTCCTGGTGGCAAGTATTGTGATGGCCTGGGTCTGCCCGAACCAAGCGGTGACTGTGATCCTGGCTTCTATTGCCGTGAACGAGCCTTCACTTCTGTAAGTCATTGCTTGCTGTGTACTGGTCCAGGTAATGTTATTTTATCAGTTGTGTTCTGCGCACCACACCCCTGCGTGCCATTGGAGTGCAGGACGCATTCAGTTGTTTATATAACTGACCGGTAAGTTCCGCATGAAAGGCCACGAAACGATTAGGAAGTAGACGGAGGAGAATCATGCTCAGTACAGCTCATGGATGTGTGCCCTGAGTATGGCAGCTACTGCTGCTATTAGTAGTGCCTGAAGCAACAGTAGCGGCAGCAATTAGTTCCTCGTCAATCACTTATCCTCCTCATCATGGCAGTGCAGAATTTCTTGTTCATTCCTTCATTCTTGCACAAGCGAGCTACAATGCATAGCCACTCTAACCTGATGAAAGCAAAGTGTGTGTATGTCATAGCATCATCCATGTCTAGGCTGCGTGCCACGGCTCCTTGGAGCATACAACAAACTTTTGATAGCGTTCTTGGCGCAGGCATGCTTTGCATCCCATTTGTTCGGCTCCACTGTGCTTTAAGGACTTTGCGTGGTGTCGCACACTTCTAGACTAAATCATGAACGATTTTGAATACAAGCCATGTCGAAGAAGGGTTTAAGATAGACTCCTGATATTCTTTGATTACTTTACCCTTGCATTCTAGTTCTAGGAGCGAAATTCACACCGGCGTACAGAGGCGAAGAACGCATGGGTAGATATCTACACACTCTAATAGACCTATGTACTGAGTTGCTGCTGCTGATCGGTTGACCTCTTCCTGTTGCTGCTCTACTGTTCCTGCTCTGCTGTTGCCACTGCCGTTGTCATTGCCACCGCCGCTGCTACTGCCTTCTCCTGTGTCTGTGTTCAGGCTCCTCCGGATGGCAGTCCGACTGGTGGTGTGTGCCCACGAGGTGGATATTGTCCTGCTGGTGTGGCTGTTGCCAGTAACTGTAACAACGGAACATACGGTAACAGTACTGGCAACAAGTCACCGGAGGACTGTACACCATGTCCAGGCGGGTAAGAGCACACGCTCACACACTCACACACTCACACACTTCCCTGGCTAGCGTGGTGTCTTGATGTGGAGCCTGTTTGGTAGCTGTGCATGATCTTGGATTTTGCTTGTCGTGCACCTGGGTTTGCTGCTGCTTAAGTAAGCCATTGACGCAATGTGGCCGCTTCTCAAACTTGTCTCTTGCTGCTGCTGCTGCTGCTGCTGCGGCTTCTGTTTTTGTGATGTCCAGTTTCTACTGCCAGGGTGACAACAACCCAACACCCAGCGGCCCGTGTGCACCGGGCTTCTATTGCCCAACAGGGTCCCAGACTCCGTACAGTGTGTCTGTACCAGCTGGGTACTTCACCAAGGAAGGTGCCGCTACGCCATCGCCGTGTCCCATTGGACACTACCAATCCGTAAGACGTTTGGGAACTTGACCAGCCATGCACCTGGCAATACGGAACCATGCGGTGACTGCTGAAGACATGTGGAGCACTGGTGTACTCCCCATGTGGTAGACATTCTCCATGACACAGCAGCAGAGTTCTTCATTTGACCATTTCTACTTTCCCCACAATTGCATGGGTCCCTCCACTAGTGTTTATCTTTGTGTAGTTGGTAAGAATCGTTTATAGAAGTTCTTCAGCGATCATGCCAAATACCAGCCGTTCGTAAAAAAAAAAAAAACATCCCCACTCTGTCTTGCTACATGTATGTTTTCTTTGGCTGTGCGCTGTACCTTTCAAGGCCAAAGAACAATCATTGTGCATCGTGTGTGACGCTGGCCGTTACTGTCCTGTTCAAGCAATGGTGGAAGGTCTGGTGTGTCCTACGGGCGGCTACTGTCCCGTGGGGTCATCATTGCCATCGCTGTGCCCTGCTGTAAGTGATCCATGTTAACTGCAGCATGGTTTGCGCTGTTGTGCATGAAGTGCCGCAGCTAGACATGCAGTCTCTTGTGAGACTGATTGAACTTTTGGTGGCTCTTCAAAGAATTCCAGTCCGATGTGAAACATGTGACCTTAGTATTGTTTGCATCTGAATGATGTGCTTACTGTTGGTGGATGCTGTTAGTATTACTAGTCTTGAATCTAGTTTCAATGCATTGCTTGGGTTTGTTGAACTTTCAGAGACAGTACTAGGGGATGCCAGTAGCTACAGTATGTGTGGTGTTCCCTCGTGTCAGGGAGAGCACGCCACACTACCAACAGCACACGGTGACGTCTTGAGCCACCGAGCCCTTCCCGGTTGGAGTAAATGTGGTAGTAACGAGACATGGCACAGCAGGGTAGTAGAACATACTACGCCATATACCCAGTAGAATCAGTATACAGTAGAAAGTAGCCTAAAAGCACTGACGCGTAACACATGCACTGGTAGAGGAATGGCATAATGGTTATCTAGACTACGGACTGACTAGTACAGAGATGGTGAAGTACATGTACAGAGCAACAGGCAGCATTGCAGTGCACACAAAGAACATGCAAGTGATATGAAAAGGATACCATACTCCAATACAACTACAGGGGCGTCGGACACGGTATGGTCACTACGGTATTGACCGTACCACTATTTGCCCCAAGTACCCTGTGAATCAATAAAATGCATTGATTTGGGCTCTAATTTCCCAAATATTTCGGCTCAGCCATCCCTCCCACACGAGTGAATTGTACTTCAGATGGCTGACCTTACCACACTAAATAACCTTCCGACGCCCCTGAACTACTTGTAGGCCTAAATATGATCCTACAGTATGTTTCAGTTGTCCCTGACAGTAACACCCGTTTGCACACTGTTCCATGTCCAGGGAACCTTCAACCCATCTGCTAACCAAGCTAACTCATCGGCGTGCGAACCGTGCACTCAGGGCACCTATTGTCGGACGGAGGGCTTGATAGCGCCAACCGGACCATGCAATGCTGGCTTCTACTGTACTGGTGGTGCTGTTGAACCAGCACCCAATAATGTTAGTATTCATTGCATAGTGATGTCCGGATTTTCTTGAGGAGCATGACAAGTTGGGTTGGATTTCCCACAATACCAACCTGTACAGTGTGGTAGTGGCTGATGTGCATTAGTGGATGCATTGCCTATTCTTTGCACTAACTGTTTGCTTGTCTGTAGAAGTGATCTGGGTAACTACTGGGAGTTGTGAGGAATTCAGAGAAATTGCGTTGTCCTCTATGCGCATGATACACGTTTTGCCTGTATTCCACCTGATGAGAAGGTGATGAGAGTGCTAGTGGAAGGGCTTTGAGGATGTTGATTGTGAGGAGTCTGAAGCTTGTTCTTTTCTCGAGTTTCATTCTATTACCACTGTTCATTCAGTGATGGGTCGACATGTCATTGTGATATGCTTGCTACATCTGCATGCAGAGTATTGCTGCTCAAGCCCGGTACGGTGGTGCATGCCCTACAGGGCACTACTGTCCGCAGGGAACAGCCGTTCCGGCCAAGTGCCCGTCGGGAACGTACACGGAGGCCGTTGGTCTGGCAATGGCGGAGAACTGCACGAACTGTCGAGGTGGCTTCGCGTGCACAGAGTAAGATTGCGAATCAGCACTCGCTTAGCGGGGTGCTATGAAGTAATGTCGTGTTCCCATCACTTTTGGGGTGCTGCATCGCAATACTGCGTGTTGTATCTACATGATGTATGTGTTGACAGTATTCTGTTTTGATTCCTGTCTGCACGGTTACTGGCATGCTAAACTCTGCATGGTATAGGAGGATTCTAGAAGTCTTCAATGTTGGTAGTGGGAAGGACAGTGTATGTAGGCCCAATACTCACATGTACACAGAAAATGTCCCGGTCCCTTCACATGTGCGCAGTATTGATGGGAAGCCAAGTACAGAGCAATTTTCACTGACATGTGGAAGTTACAGACTTTAACAGTAGTAAAACAGTTAACAGGACTGTAAACGGCAGCAGACAGTAGGAGAACACACCGTTGACTTCTGGAGTTGCATTCTGTGTGCATGGCTATAGGAGATGGAGTGATAGATATGCAATAAAATATGAATTGCTGACTTCTCCTCTTCTGTTCCCTTTCCTGACAACTATCGTGTTCTGTACAGACCTGGTCTCACCATTCCTAATGAGAATTGCTCGGAAGGATATTACTGTGTGAACGGTGCCAGCACAATCACTCCCGTGGACGGCATCACGGGCAATTTCTGTCCCAAGTTCCACTACTGCCCCAGTGGTAGTGCGTTCCCTATCGCCTGTCCCAATGGCATGTTCTACAATGCAACGCACGGAGTCGTGTGTGACTTTTGCCCACCCGGCCGCTACTGCAGTGGAAAAGGTCTTCCTCTGGTGAGTCACGCGTGAGAAGTGGTTGCGTTCTTCTCTACCATCACCCGCAATATGTCTCTGTGAGTTTCACTCTACCCGAGGCAGCAGCCCAGATTCAGCACCATGCCGAAGCATGACACCCATACATAATGGCTTCAAAAGGAATTATCTGCCTCATAATGATACATCTTCACCAAGCTAGTGCTCTAGTACCATGCGGGATGAGCCCGCTTGGAGCGGGACGATGGGACAGCTTGGTACTTTCTTTGTTGCAATATTCTCTGATGTGAGTTGTAGAATTTGAACTGCAAAACGATTGCTTTATGTGTTGTTTTTGCTGCTGTTAGGTGTGCCCACAAGGCAGCTACTGCCCCAATGCCACTGGCTCACCGCCATTCCTGTGCCCCAGCGGACGCTTTGGCAACTCCAGTGGTCTGCAGAGCGTGGAAGAGTGCATTCCCTGCCAGGGCGGACGCTACTGTCAGGGTGCCGGCGTGAACAGCTCCACAGCGCGTGATTGCAGCGCCGGCTACTGGTGTGCTAAAGGTGTGGATACCGCTACGCCAGGTGTGGCCGGTAGCACGTTCAATGGTGACGGTGGCCCGTGTCCTGCGGGGTACTGGTGTCCGGCAGGAAGTGCTGATGGCTATGCTAACCCGTGTCCCCTGGGCACCTTCTCATCGCGTACACATCTCACCACCGCCAGCGAGTGCACGGCGTGCTCCGATGGCACGTTCTGCAACGAAACCGGCCTGACGTCACCGACCGGTGCATGTGATCCGGGATTCTACTGCCTGCGTGGGTCCAACACTGCTACACCGGGCTTAGGCGTGACAGGTGGCCCGTGTCCGAAAGGCAAGAAGTGCGGCTCGGGGACTCATGTTCCCTTGAACTGTGATCCCGGCACGTACAACCCCAGCGAAGGTCAGTTCGAGTGCTTGATCTGCCCGGCTGGCTACTACTGCCTGAGTGGCTCAGTGACTTTCAACACAACTGTTTGCCCCAGTGGTCACTACTGTCCCAACGGCACGCAGACCAGTACAGATTACCCTTGTCCACGTGGCACCTATAGTCCACACGCCGGTCGTCAGTCGTTGTCCGATTGTCAGCAATGCTTACCAGGGCAATACTGTGCCAGTGCAGGCAGTTCTAGCATCAGCGGTTACTGCCAGGCTGGTTACTTCTGTCGACTGGGCGCATCCAGTCCGCGCCCGACCGACATAGTCAGCAACACCACGCTGGCACAGTGTGACTGTACGAGCGGCGTGTCCGGCGGATTGTGCCCGGTCGGCTACTACTGCCCGTTCGGCTCGGGCGAGCCAAGACCGTGCGATGCAGGCCGCTACTGTGCCAACGCAGGCCTAGGCTCCAGTCAAGGTGACTGCCATCCAGGCTACTATTGTGTATCCGCAGCCGCTTCACCCACTCCAACGGATGGTGTCACCGGCAATGTGTGTCCACCCGGTGCGTTCTGCCCGGCATCTAGCTCTGTTCCTTCACCATGCCAGCCAGGCACGTTCTCTAACCAGTCTGGTCTGGCTAACATCACGCAGTGTCAGCAGTGCACAGCTGGTTTGTATTGTGCCTCTGTCAGTCTCACTGCACCAACTGGTTTCTGCTCGGCGGGCTACTATTGCCCAGGCGGTCAGGCTGTATCAACGCCATCGGAGTACATCTGTCCGCGTGGTCACTTCTGTCCCACTGGATCACCTGCACCCAGTACCTGTCGCAGTGGTACTTACCAGAGCAGCTTAGGGCAGGTGGAATGCTTGCCCTGTCCGGCTGGGTATTATTGTTCGAATGTCACAGACCTAAGCTCTCCCACTGGATTCTGCCCGCTGGGGTATTTCTGCCCAGTGGGGACGGCAGTGCCGCAGCCATGCCCACCTGGTCGCTACGGTGCTACCGATGGTCTGTCGTCCGCTGAGAACTGTACCCTGTGCCGTCATGGTGGCTATTGTGCTGGACCGGCTGCAGTGCGCTCCGAGGCGTGTGCCAGTGGACACTATTGCATTGCTGGAGCGTCGGTGTCCAACCCAACGGACGGTGTAACCGGTGATGAATGCACGGTCGGTCATTACTGTCCATCGAATAGCTCTGCACCGCTGGCATGTCCGATTGCAACGTTCAATCCCAACCGTGGTCTGGGTGCGGAGCATCAGTGTGTGCCATGCACTGCCGGATGGTTCTGTAATGAAACCGGGTTATCCCAGGTCTCTGGCCCGTGCACCGCCGGTTACTATTGCCCGCAGCGAAGCCCTGGTGCACGCACGGTCGGGTGTCCACGCGGCAGTCACTGTCCTACGGGTAGTGGCACACCGGTTGTGTGTCCTGATGGCAGTGTGACCACCGCTTCTCATGCCGTGTCCTGTGATGTGTGCCCGGCTGGTCAGTACTGTGTCATGACAGTGCCTGGCGAGTACATCGACTGCCCGCCGGGGTTCTACTGCCCCTCCGGAACTGGGTACGACTGGTCGCAGTGCCCTCCCGGTACATTCAGCACAAGCAGTGGTCTTGCTAATGCATCTCAATGTGAACCGTGCACTGGCGGTGATTATTGTGCTCAGTACAATGCTACGCAAACCACTGGACAGTGCGACCCAGGATTCTTCTGTGGGATAGGTGCTCCATCTGCCCAGCCCACCGTCGATGCGCAGGGTCGCTACGGACCTTGCCCCACCGGGTTCTATTGCCCACTGGGCACCAGTGTCCCGGTTCCCTGCCCGGCCGGACGATACTCCAACCGCACACATCTAACACATGTGGGTGAGTGCACGGCGTGTCCAAGTGGTTACAGCTGCGATGCTACTAACCTCACCCAGCCAAGCTCACAGTGCGATGCTGGGTTCTACTGTACGGCCGCTTCCCCAACTCCGCGCCCGACAGCCTCTGCCGTGGGTGGACCATGTCCGGTCGGTCATTACTGCCCCACGGGAACTGGCACGCCGCTGAGATGCCCTGCAGGTACGTATAATGATCTGATCCAGCAGGCCGAATGTATCACCTGCCCGGCCGGTTACTATTGCCTGGCCAACACGACTGTGTTTAGCTTGGCATGCCCCGCTGGCCACTACTGCCCGAATGGAACGGAGCATGCGTATCAGTATCCCTGCCCGTCAGGTTCGTTCAACAATCAGACTCAGCGTCAGGGCCTGGACGATTGCCAAGCCTGTTCGCCGGGCATGGCGTGTGTGGGTGCAGGCCTGTCGCAGCCCTCGCATGCCTGCTCGGCAGGTTACTTCTGCAGCGTTGGCGCGTGCTCAGTTACACCCACCGCTGCTATGCTCTGTGGAAATCAACTTTCGGGCACCGGAGATCTCTGTCCTGTGGGCAAGTTCTGTCCTGAAGGCTCATCCGCACCACTGGCATGCTTGTCGGGATACTATTGCAATGCTACAGGTCTTAGTAGTGTAAGTGGTGCATGCAGTGCGGGTTACTACTGTCTATCCAGTGCCTCGCACCCAACACCCACTGACAACACGACGGGTAACATATGCCCATCAGGACACTACTGCCCAGTTGCCTCACCCGAACAGGTGCCCTGCCCGCCCGGTCGCTATTCCCCGAGTATGGGCAACACGATGCTGAGCGACTGCTTGCTGTGTCAGCGGGGTATGAGCTGCCCAACCAGCGGTCTCTCTGCCGCCACAGTGCAATGTCAACCAGGTTATTACTGCCCAGAGGGTCAGGTATCCGATAGCCCTGCACGCTATACTTGCCCAGCAGGTCACTATTGCCCCGGAGGCTCACCGGAACCTGTGCCATGTCAAGATGGAACGTACCAGAGCATTGTCGGCGAGCCAGCGTGCTTGGACTGCCCCGCAGGATTTTTCTGCAGTCTAAACGTCACCGTGTCCAATGCCACGCAGTGCGCACGCGGAATCAGCTTGCCATCCGCATGTCCGCCTGGTCACTATTGTCCGAACGGCACTCGCTTTGCCAACCAGTACCCCTGTCCTGCTGGCACATTCAACCCGTCCACGGGACTCGAATCCGAGGCGGAGTGTCAGGCTTGCTCTGCTGGCTCGTACTGCGCTACGCCCGGCCTCTCAGCCGTGACCGGAGCGTGCTCTGCCGGCTATTTCTGCGTGTCGCGCTCCGAGTCCGCCATGCCAGTGGACAACTCGACGGGCGGCGTGTGCCCCGTGGCTATGTACTGTGTGCTGGGGTCAGAGCAAGGTGAGCCATGCCCGGCTGGGTCCTACTCGAATGTGACTGGCCTGCGCAGTCAATCGGAGTGTTTCCCCTGCGATGGTGGTAGCGTGTGCGCTGGCCTGGGACTGACCGAGCCCACCGGACTCTGCGACGCGGGCTACTTCTGCCGGCGATCTGCGATCAGCGCAACACCAGCCGAGTCAAGCACTGGTGGAGTTTGTCCTGTGGGCCACGCCTGTCCGCAAGGCACGGCCAATCCTATCGCGTGCCCGGACGGTACTTACAGCAATCAGACTCAAGCATCACAATGTGTCTCTTGTCCGCCTGCGTACTACTGCGTCAACGGCAGTAGTGCGCCGCTGGACTGCCCCATTGGTTGGTATTGCCCCCAGGGAACTGGCTCGGTTTGGCAAGCATGCCCTCCTGGCACCTACAGTGCTGTCACGGGTATATTTGAAAGCGGTCAGTGTACACAGTGCGATGGTGGTCGCTACTGTCCATCTCCACACGCATCGACCACCAGTGGTCCATGTCTTGCTGGCTACTACTGTCGATCTGGTTCCAACTCTGCCACGCCTGATGACAACTCAACTGGGGATGCGTCTCTGTGCATCACCGGTCACTATTGCCCTGAGGGTTCTGCCGAGCCGCAGCCCTGCCCAAGCGGAACATTCAACAACGCCACTGGCTCTAAATCCCTGACTGACTGTGCACCCTGTTTGCCTGGCCATTACTGTGGCGAGCAAGGCCTTGACAAGCCGTCAGGGTTCTGTGCAGCCGGCTACTTCTGCTACTCCTCCGCCGAGTCGTTCATGCCAGCTAATAGCACTGAAAATAGTGGCCCGTGTCCTGCTGGTTCATTCTGTGGATCAGGGTATTCCCTGCCAGAAGTATGTGCTGCAGGAACCTACACATCTTCCAGTCGCCAAGCAAGCTGTACACCTTGTCCTGCTGGATATTTCTGTCCCAGCAACACCTCATCTCTTGTCAATAGTGTGTGCCCGAAAGGCTACTTCTGCCCACAGAGTACTCCATCGGACGTTGCCAATCCTTGCAAGCCTGGCTCATTCAACAACGCAACCGGAGCTGAGAGTGAAGCAGAGTGCTTGCCTTGCCCGCCTGGTGAGTACTGCCAGTCGTCCGGTTTAGCCTTGCCATCCGGCCTGTGTGACGCTGGCTTCTACTGTCGCGGTGGCGCTACAACTGCCAGGCCACGACCGCTTACCAATGCATCGCTCTCACTGTCGCCGTCGCCCAACTGTAGCACCTTGCTGTCATCGTGCATGTGTCCAAGTGTGTTGGAAGGTGATCAGTGTCAGGCAGGCTACTACTGCCCGGCAGGTTCAGAGCTACCACTAGCATGTCCACCAGGTCAGTACTGCTCTCTTCCTGGATTATCCAGTCCTGAAGGCCTGTGTCAGGCTGGCCACTACTGCAATGGCACTGCTGTAGTGAACAACCCACAGGACCAGGAGTACGGCAGTGAATGCCCACCCGGCTACTACTGCGTTTCCGGAGCCGAGTCCCCAGTGCCGTGTCCGCCAGGCACATTCTCACCTCGTGTCCGCAACCAGATGACAAGCGACTGTCAACCCTGCACTGCCGGTCACTACTGCGCTGGGTTTGGCAACAATGAAACGTCGGGACAGTGCTCGGCTGGCTACTATTGCCCCGGAAATGACACCGAGAGTCAGCTGCCCAGCCAGGGCTGTCTGCCAGGGTATGCATGTCCAGTTGGCAGTGTATCACCGGCTGTGTGTCGCCCAGGTACATACCAGCGACTTGGCACACAAGCCACATGCTTGCAGTGCCCCGCGGGCATGGCCTGTGAACCGGGCAGTCACAACTCCTTGCCAAACAGAACACAAGCTATCACCACACCTCTACTATGTCCCGCGGGCTACTACTGTCCCCCAGGAACAACGTATCAGCAGCAGTACCCATGTCTGATGGGCACCTACAACAACGAGACAGGTAGCGAAGGTGCAGAAGCATGTGTACCTTGTCCCCCCGGCCAGTACTGTCAGGACGCCGGCAGTGAGTTGCCACACGGATTCTGTGCTGCTGGTTACTTCTGTAGACTGAATGCGAGCGTTCCCAACCCATCCGGGTCTGATTCTACTGGTGCTCCATGTCCATCTGGTCACTACTGCAGCATGGGTGCTAGCCACGCTGAGCCATGCCCGGCTGGATACTTCAACAACAGAACACGACAATCAGCACTCGGTGATTGTGTGTCTTGCTCAGCGGGATTCTATTGCGATCAGCCAGGATTGAGCGTCCCCCGCGGCCCTTGTGCTCAGGGCTTCTTCTGCTCTGGCGGATCGTCGACCGCAACACCTCGTAACTCGACAACAGGAGCTGCATGTCCACTGGGTGCCTACTGCCCTGAACAGTCTGCCGCGCCTGTCAACTGCTCTGCCGGATCATTCCAGCCGTTGACGCTACAGGTCAGTGTATCTGCGTGCCTGCCTTGCACGCCGGGAATGTTCTGTGATCGACCTGGTCTTGGCAACGTGTCCGGAATGTGCACGGCCGGATTCTACTGCACGTCACAGGCCAGCATCAGTCAACCGCAAGATGGTGTCACTGGCAATATCTGTCCACGTGGTAGCTTCTGTCCACTAGGCTCGTCATCGCCGACGACATGCGCCAACGGTACGTTCACAAACAGCACTGGCTCGGCAATGTGTCAGGTCTGCCCGGCTGGGTATTTCTGTGCAGTGGGTGACACTGCTGAACTGTGCCGGCCGGGTCACTATTGTCCTGCTGCTACTGGCTACACACTGCCTGCTTGCCCGACGGGAACGTTCCGCAGTAGAACCGGTGGACAGAGCGTTGATGACTGTGCGTCGTGCACCGGTGGCTATTTCTGTAACAGCATGGGTCTGAGTGCTGTGAGCGGTACATGCGCTGCCGGATACTGGTGTCTGTCTGGTGTGGACACGGCGCGTCCGGTCAGCGATGCTGCTAACTACACTGGTACCGGTGGTGAGTGCTTTCCCGGCTCTTTCTGTCCGGAGGCTACTGCGTATCCAGTGCCGTGCACGAACGGTACGTACACATCACTCCGTACACAGTCTGTTTGCGGTGACTGCCCTACTGGCTATGCATGCCCGCAGAACACAAGCAATCCTCAGCTGTATCCGTGTGCCATTGGTCACTACTGTCCACTGGGGACACGGCATGTGACACAGTACCCATGCCCAGCGGGCACGTTCAACAACGAGTCCGCATCCACGTCTTCACTGTTCTGCCAGCGCTGCACACCAGGCTACTATTGTGATACTGAAGGATTGGCAGAGCCTGCAGGAATGTGCAATGCCGGCTACTTCTGTACTGGAGGTTCAGTGTCTCCGCATCCGATATCGCCGTCCAACTCCAGCTCATTGTTGGCTATCAACTGCACTACGACAGACATCATGGGTGGCATCTGCCCAACTGGTTCGTACTGTCCTGAAGGCTCTCCGTATCCAGTACCGTGCCCAGGTGGACAGTACTGTGCTATTGGTGGCCTGCACCAACCAACGGGACCGTGCTCTGCTGGGTTCTACTGCACTTCTGGTTCGTCGGTGGCTAACCCTACGGGCAACGAGTGCACTCCTGGATACTACTGTCCCAACGGCACCGGCACTCCAGCACCTTGTCCACCGGGTACGTACCAGCCAGACCAGGGTGCCAGCCATGAACAGGACTGCGTTCCGTGCACACCGGGGTTCTTCTGCTCCTCGTGGGGAGCTTCCGCCGTGTCCGGTCCGTGTGCCTCGACCTACTACTGTCCATCTGGGCAGCGCAACGCCTCGGCCATCCTATGTCCCACTGGCTTTGCATGCCCTCTGCAATCTGCTGCGCCCGTACCATGTCAGAATGGCCTCTATCAAGATACAGCAGGTCAATCCGAGTGTCGAGTTTGCCCAGCCGGTTTCTACTGTACTTTGGGTGATGTTGGTGGTTGCAACAACACTGTCAACGGCTCCACCGGAATAGTCACACCGTCTCCGTGCCCTCCAGGCTCTTTCTGCCCACTGCAAACGAACAGCAGCAAGGCGTATCTGTGTCCACGTGGCACATTTAGCAACACCACCAAGCTGCAAAACTCCAGCCAGTGCACGCCATGTTCACCAGGAAGATTCTGTGCGTCAGAGGGTCTCAGTCAGCCATCTGCTCTCTGCTCCGCCGGACACATCTGCATTCTGGGTGCATCCCAGCCTGCTCCTGTGGACAATGTCACTGGGGCTACTTGTCCGCGAAGCGAATACTGCCCACCAGGCTCATCTCAAGGCAAGCCGTGTCCAGCTGGCACTTTCGGAGCAAGAAATGGCCTGGAGTCAAGTGGGGAATGCACTCAGTGTACGCCTGGTTCATACTGCGCCAGTGAGGGACTGATGCAACCTACAGGTCTCTGCTTTGCGGGACACTACTGTACTGGCAATGCTACAAATGCCATGCCATCCGCATTGGACGACTCCTTCGGTGATCAATGCCCACCCAGTTCGTATTGTGTCAATGGCTCTTCACAGCCCACATCTTGCCCGCCTGGCACATTCTTACCCACTCCCGGAGGTGAGTCAGTGGCTAGTTGCCTGCCCTGTTCCCCAGGACAGTACTGTCAAGATTCTGGAATGACCTCACCGAGCGGCAATTGCTCCGAGGGATACTATTGTTCAGCAGGGGCGGCGCTGGCAGCACCACCAAGCAACAGCTCAGCTGGTGGAATATGTCCCATAGGTCACCACTGTCCCGAGGGTTCTTCCGCGCCGGTCCCCTGTGTCAACGGTACGCTAAGCTCGGCGCTGGGAGCCGTGTTGTGTGACCTGTGTCCAGCAGGGTTTCAGTGTACGACGGGTGATCAGGCAGTGCCGTGTCCCGCTGGCTACTATTGCCCGGCTGGTACAGGTTTCGACTGGCGGCCATGCCCTGCAGGTACGTACAGCTCGGCTACTCAGCTATCACACCTAGACAACTGCACTCAGTGCAGTGGAGGACTGTACTGTCACATGCCGGCTCTCACCTCGCCCACTGGCAACTGCTCATCTGGACACTATTGTCAGTCCGGTGTCAGCGTGCCTGATCCTGGTCGAAACATGTCCAATGTGGGAACCGGTGGACTGTGTCCTCCCGGTCATATGTGTCCCGGCGGATCAGCACGTCCTCTGCCATGTGCAGCCGGTCGGTATGCCAACCAGACTGGTACAAGTGAGTGTTTGATCTGCCCGGCTGGGTATTACTGTGCTGATGCCACTATAGACTATACTCTGTCGCCGTGTAGTGAAGGGCATTACTGCCTGGCCGGCACCTACAGCCAGTTCCTCTACCCGTGTCCAGCCGGCACGTTCAATAACCGCACTGGTGCTGACTCCAGTGCACACTGTCTGCAGTGTACCGGTGGTATGTATTGTGCCGAACAAGGACTACCAGCTCCCACTGACCACTGCACTGCGGGCTGGTACTGTGTGTCAGGTTCCAGGACGGCCACGCCGAGCAATGTCTCCAACAGCTCTGTTTGTGCTCTGGGTGGTGGTGATGTGTGTCCGCTGGGTAGCTTCTGTCCAACCGGTTCTGCAGCACCGACACCATGCACACCTGGTTTCTACTGTGGACAAACACAACTGCAACTACCCTCTGCTCCCTGTATGGCTGGACATCTCTGCACTGGAGGAGACACACAAGCTGACCCGGATTCGCTGTGCCCTGCTGGTGCCTATTGTGCTGATGGCTCGTCCAGTCCGACTCTCTGCCTGGCTGGCACTTTCCAGCCCCACGCCAAAGCCACCGGCACTGCCGATTGTCAGCCGTGCACTGCCGGAATGTACTGTGCCATTGCAGGTCTTCCCGCACCCACTGGAAATTGCTCCGAGGGCTATTACTGTCCTCCAGGGCAGAGCTCTGCAACCCCGACCGGATTGTCGTGTCCACCTGGGCACTCTTGCCTGTCGGGTCAAGGAGTTCCTACAGCATGCCCTCCAGGTTTCTATCAGCCAAACAATGGTTCCAGTGCATGCTTACAGTGCCCACTGGGTCAGTACTGTGATCCAAATGAAAACTCTACAACAGCACTCTGTCGGTTATCTTCATCTCGAGGTGTTGCATCTCCTCAGGACTGCTCGCCTGGCTACTTTTGTCCCCGAGGCACACAATATGCTGTGCAGAATCCCTGCCAACCTGGCACATACAGCAACAAGACATCTCTATCATCGCAATCCCAGTGTTCATATTGTCCAGGTGGTATGTACTGTGCTACTCCGGGGCTAGTTGCTCCCACTGGTGCTTGTGCGGCAGGCTATGTCTGCATCTCTGCAGCGCTCACATCACAGCCCAGCGATGGTTCCACTGGCAGGTCATGTCCCGCTGGTCGATATTGCCCAGTGCAGTCGGAGTCCGGTATCCCCTGCCCAGCTGGAACGTTCAGCAATCGAACAGGTTTAGCAACATCCGCACAGTGCACATCTTGTACTGCAGGTCATTACTGTAACTCTACTGGCCTAACAGAGACATCTGGGCTATGCACTGCTGGCTATTACTGCTTGGGTGGTGCCAGCAATCCAGCACCGTACAACAGGACCGGCGCGACTTGCCCCACCGGCAACTACTGTCCCGAGGGAAGTGGCCAGCCAACTCCGTGTCCTCCCGGCACCTCCCTTGACGTGACTGGGAAGTCATCAGTGGCTGACTGTGTGGCCTGCGCACCACAGATGTACTGTGATCGACCTGGCCTGATAGCTCCTACTAACCTGTGTGCACCAGGCTACTACTGTATCGGTGGTGCCAACAGTAGCTCACCAACTGACGGTGTTACAGGCAATATCTGCCCGGTCGGTTTCTTCTGCCCATCTGGCTCCATGCGCCCACAGCCTTGCCTGAACGGGACGTACGCCAATTTCACTGGTGCGTCTGCCTGTCTCATCTGTCCCGACGGCCACCACTGTGTACGTGGACACACGGCTGATCCGTGCCCTGCTGGTCACTTCTGTCCTAACGGTACCGGGCACGACATTCAGCCGTGTCCGCCGGGCACCTACCACCCGTCTGGCCGCATCTGGCTCGAGAACCAGTGTCTGGCGTGCCCACCAGGCTTTGTTTGCCCAACACACGGCACATCCAATGCAAGCGTCCTCTGTGGCGCTGGCTACTATTGCAGCAGTGGTGTTGATCAGATGTTGCCCACTGGAAACCACACGGGTGTTGGTGCTATCTGCCCGGTGGGACACGAGTGTCCGATCGGATCGGCCGATGCTCGCAAGTGTCCCGCCGGCACTCATGCTGACCGAGAAGGCCTTCAGGCGTGTGAGCCATGCCCTGCAGGTAAGTACTGCAAGGTGGGCACGTCATTTGCAACAGACTTCTGCCCGCCCGGTCACTTCTGTCCGCTGGGAACACAGTACGCGAATCAGACAGCATGCCCCTCCGGCACATACAATCCTGTCGGCGGTGCTAAAAACCTATCGTCATGCTTGCTGTGCCCGCCTGGTATGTATTGTGGTAACGACGGACTGGCTTCTCCGAGTGGCAACTGTTCCGGTGGCTGGTACTGTACTGGCGGTGCTAGCCAGTCTCAGCCAAGACCCGTGGGTCTCTCACAATCATGCCAGTCCAACACTTCCCTGTCGGAATGCTCCTGCCCGAGCACAAACTACACGGGTGGCCGTTGCTGGCCTGGTTCATTCTGTCCGGTCGGTTGTAGCTATCCACGACCATGCTCACCCGGAATGTACTGTGCTGAGTCGGGGCTAGAATACCCATCAGGCTTGTGCTCTCAAGGCTACTACTGCAACGGTAGCGACGTTGTGTCCAATCCGGCGGTGAAGCTATGCCCGGATGGATACTACTGTCCGGCTGGCAGCGCTGTTCCCGAGCCGTGCCCATCAGGGACTTACCTCCCTAGCATGGGCCATGCAAACATGTCGGAGTGCTTGACGTGCACACCGGGTCACTATTGCTCCGGCGTGGGACTTTCCCAGCCAAGTGCCGTGTGTCCGGCAGGCCAGTACTGTCCAGGTGGTCAGCACACCGGCTATGAGTATAACTGTACTGTTGGTCACTATTGCCCTGTGAATAGCAGTGCACCTGTACCGTGTGCTGCTGGCCTGTATCAGAACCAAGCCGGTCGTGGCCAGTGTAAGACATGTCCCAGCCAGTATTACTGTGACTCGACCACTACTTCACCCAGTGGTGTTGTTATCCCCGCCGTGTGTCCCGCCGGTTCAGTGTGTCCTGCTGGCACGCAGGCGTCCAAACAGTATGTGTGCCCACCCGGTACTTACAGTGATGCGACCGGCCTCTCGTCCACCAGCCAGTGCTTTGCGTGTCCAGCTGGACAGTTCTGTGCAGATCCAGGCCTCACAAACACCAGTGGGCCTTGCTCTGCTGGCCACATCTGCGTAATCAACGCCACAGTACCCAATCCCAGCGACGGAATCACCGGTCAATCATGCCCAATGGGACGGTTCTGTACCGAGGGTACCACTGCTCCGAGCAATTGCCCAGTGGGCACTTTCAGCAACAGAACAGGCTTGTCAGCGTCCTCCCAATGTACTCCGTGTACTTCGGGAACGTACTGCGACACATCGGGCCTGAGTGCACCCAGTGGACCTTGCCATGCTGGGTTCTACTGTCGCACCGGCAGCAACACATCCCAACCAGTGCTGCAGCCGTTCGGTGACCACTGCCCGGAAGGTATGTACTGTCCGAGTGGCACTGCTCTTGCACAGGAGTGCCCGACGGGATACCTACGCAACACTACGTCTGGTCGCAGCCTTGCTGACTGTCAGCCATGCTGGCCAGGTTACTACTGCGCACAAACTGGTCTTTCATCGCCGTCCGGACCGTGTCAAGCAGGTCACTACTGTACCGAGGGTGCTAGCAGTGCTACACCCGATGGCAACGATGGAGCTGGTGGTGCGCCGTGTCCACTAGGCCACTATTGCCCTCTGGGCGCACCATCGCCGATACAGTGCCGGGACGGAACGTACATGAATCACACCGCGGCAGCCCTGTGCAGCCAATGCCCCGCTGGGTACTTCTGCTTGGCTCCGCACGTCAACGCTTCTTTGTGCCCCGAGGGCTACTACTGCCCAGCCGGTACAGGTGGAAACCCACAGCCATGCCCGCGTGGAACGCTCAACTCACAGCTTGGTTTGCAGCACGTCGGCCAATGTCAACAATGTCCCGGCGGTTATTACTGCTCTCTGCAAGGTGCAGTCAATGTCTCTGGTCTCTGTGCTCCTGGCTATTTCTGTTCTGAAGGCGCTGATCAGGAGAGACCGTCCAGCAACTCCAGCAGTGGTGACATCTGCCCTGCTGGCCACTATTGCCCACTCGGGAGCAGTGCTGCACGTGCCTGCTTGCCAGGATCGTACAGTAATGTAACCGGCTTATCCGAGTGCCTGCAGTGTCCTGCCGGATTCTACTGCTTGGCGACAAGCAGTACGTTTGAAGACACGCCATGCCCAGCAGGTCACTATTGTCCAGTAGGGACGATGCACGCCACACAGCACCAATGCCCGCCAGGAACGTTCTCCAACAGCACTCACTCGCAATCTCAGCTGGAATGTGCCCTGTGCCCACCACGCTACTACTGCTCTGCATTCGGTTCCAGCCAGCCAACTGGCCTGTGCTCGGCCGGTTACTACTGTCCTGGTGGCAGTGTGTCAGCAACACCGATGCTCCCCGGCAATAGCTCAACATTCTGGCCACATTGTCCGGCAGAACTGGTAAACGGCACGGGTGCTATCTGCCCTGCCGGAACGTATTGCCCCATTGGTTCAGCAAGTCCACTGCCGTGTCCTAGTGGCATGTACTGTGCACTGGCCGGTCAGGCCAACACAACGGGACCGTGTGCAGCCGGCTACTTCTGCAGTGGCTGGGACACATCGCCCACTCCACAGCCCTGTGCCGCTGGTCACTACTGCACACGTTGCACGCCGTACACTGTACCCTGCCCGGCAGGTACCTACAGCAATGTTAGTGGACTGGCGAGTGTGGAGGAATGTTCCAACTGCCCTGCTGGCATGTTCTGCGACGGATCAAATCCAACAACACCGTCCGGCTCATGCTCGACTGGCTACTATTGCCCAGGTGGGCAGAACCGTTCCGACCCTCTGGACGGAGTCTGTCCAACTGGACACTACTGTGAAGTGGCCAGTCCGTCACCCAGTCCATGCACAGCTGGACAGTATCAAGATGAAACCGGTCAAAGTTCATGCAAGGTCTGCCCAAGCGGATCCTACTGTCAACCTACTCTAGCTGTAAGTGCCAATGCCAGTGTGTCTGTGAGTACAGGCGCTGTGTGGCCCGTCATATGTCCAGCTGGCTCGTACTGCCCGAACGCCACCGAACACCCAACACAGTACCGATGCACACCAGGCACACACAGCAACACCACTGGCTTGCACCGAACTGCTGACTGCTCGCCTTGTCCTGGTGGCTCCTATTGTGCGTCGTACGGCCTGACTGAACCAACTGGTCTGTGTAGCGCTGGACATTACTGTGCTCTACGTGCTGCACTGCCGCAACCTGTGGATGGGATTAGCGGTGACGTGTGTCCGGCTGGGTATTACTGCCCCACTGGTTCTGATGGCAACTATCCTGCCTGCCCTGTTGGCACGTACAACGATCATACTGGCAGTGGCAATGTCTCGGCGTGTATTCCTTGCACACCCGGCCGCTACTGTGCCCAGTCGGCTCTCAACACCTCGCTGGGCACGGGCTTGTGTGCTGGCGGGTTCTTCTGCACGCTCGGCTCATCGACATCACAGCCCGCGAATGCTTCATCTGGTGACGCATGCTGGCCAGGATATTACTGCCCTGTGGGTAGCTCCACTCCTGCTCCTTGTCCGATTGGTACCTTCTTGCCTGATGGTCAACACGACAATGCCAGTGACTGTGTGGCGTGTAGCGCTGGGTCATACTGCGCTATCCCAGGTCTAACCAACGTGTCTGGACCGTGCTCGGCTGGTTTCTTCTGCCGACTCGGTGCAATGACCAGCTCGCCCACGGATGGCTCGACAGGGAACACATGTCCTGTTGGCTCGTACTGTCCGACCGGCTCGCCCATACCCATTCCTTGCGCCAATGGAACATTCACCAACCACACTGGTGCATCAGTGTGTCAGCCCTGCCCAGAGGGCCACTACTGTGTAGACCGTATCACTCCACAGCCGTGTCCTCTCGGATTCTACTGTCCAGCTGCTACTGGTGCTAACTGGCAGCTGTGCCCCAGAGGAACGCATGGCCTGTCATTGCGTCTGTCGTCGGCTGACCAGTGCACGCCTTGCGCTGGTGGTTACGTCTGTGATGCCAGTGGCCTGAGGAACTACACGTCGGCCTGTGCTGCAGGGTATTTCTGTGCCCGGGGTGTGGACACCACCATGCCGACACCACAGGGTGCACATCTGGGCAATGGTAGCGTGTGTCCCGTTGGACACTACTGTCCTACCGGCACTGCCTGGCCTGTACCCTGCCCGGCCGGTACATACACCAATGCCACACAGCAAGCCCTGTGTCAGCTCTGCCCCGCTGGTTACTACTGCCTGCAGGGATCTATTACGTACGAGCTGACACCGTGTCCTGCGGGCAGCTTCTGTCTGCAGGGAACTCAACTAGCTACTCAGTACATGTGTCCACCGGGTTCCTACAATCCTGACACGGGTGGAGTGAATGCGTCATCATGCTTGTCCTGTCCACCTGGCATGTACTGTGATGGCTATGCTCAGGCTCTGCCCACTGGGAACTGCAGTGGAGGTTGGTACTGCACTGGTGCAGCCACATCACCGGCCCCACTTCTTCTTGGCTCCCTGTCTGCCAATGCCAGTCTGAACTGTACAACTATAGCCGAGTGCTCGTGTCCCGTCAACATCACTGGTGGCCGATGTCCGCCCGGGTTCTATTGCCCGAGTGGGTCATCTCGACCGCTATCCTGCCCAGCTGGTATGTACTGCGCGGAGCATGGCCTCTCTGTGCCATCTGGTCAATGCTCAGCGGGATACTACTGTACCGGGGGCAGTCTGTCTGCAGAACCGTCCGACTCACTGTGCCCGCGTGGATCGTATTGCCCGCTGGGTGCTACATCACCTGTTCCGTGTCCGCGTGGAACGTTCTCCGCAGCGCTAGGAAATCCCAATGTTACAGATTGTCAGGCTTGCTCACCGGGTCGCTACTGTAATGAATCCGGCCTAAACAGTCCAACAGGGTTCTGCCAAAGTGGCTACTACTGCCCAACGGCTATATCAGTCATGGATCCAGCTCTGTACCAATGTCCAACTGGCCACTACTGCCCGCTAGGTAGTGCGTCACCTCTGCCGTGTCCGCTGGATCAGTATCAACCCTCTGCTGGACAAGCTGCTTGTCTTCCTTGTCCTGCAGGTCAAGCATGTCGCAGTGCCAATGGAACAGTCACTCCCCTGCCATGCCCAGTCACACAGTACTGCCTGCAGGGCTCATCGCCACAACCATGTCCTCCGGGAACGTTTAGCAATGCAACAGGACTGAGGAATTCTACGCAATGTCACCCATGTTTGCCAGCCTGGTATTGTGCATTGCCAGGTCTGGCCGAACCATCCGGTCTCTGCAGCCCTGGCTTTTACTGTACATCCACTGCTGCTAACTCACAGCCGACCGATGGCGTTACGGGGGATGTGTGCCCTGTAGGATCCTACTGTGGACAGGGCTCCTCCACGCCGAGCCTGTGTCCTGCGGGTACATTTTCCAACCAGACATCACTTGCCAATGCATCACAGTGCACTGCTTGCACACCCGGCATGTACTGCGCTAGTGCTGGTCTGGCATGGCCGACTGGACCCTGCAATGCTGGCTACTTCTGTAGCATCTCTGCAGTCAGTAGCCACCCAGTGTCCAGTGTACAGGGTGGCGGTGTGTGTACTCGCGGTCACTACTGCCCACAGGGTACAGCCTCTCCACGGCCGTGCCCCAGAGGTACGTTCCGCAATGCCACACTGGCCGCTGACATCAATGGCTGTAGTGATTGTTTGCCAGGCTACTACTGCGATACGGCTGGTCAGACCAGTGTGTCTGGACTGTGCAATCCTGGTTTCTACTGCACTGCCGCTGCAACAAGTCCCACCCCGGTGTCGGAAGCGTCTGCCGATGTGTGCCCAGTGGGTAGCTACTGCCCTGCCGCCACCGCCGTTCCACTCTCCTGCCCCGCTGGCCAGTTTGGAAACACCACCCAGCTATCAGCATGCTACATGTGCCCGGCAGGTTTTCATTGTGACGGTGGTAGTCACATCAGCATCTGTCCGCCCGGTAGCTATTGTCCAATAGGTACCGGCCGCCACACCCCACTCTGCCCACCCGGTACGTTCAGCAATAGCACTGGCTTGGCAGCGGTGACTGACTGTCAGCCGTGCTCCCCTGGCTCCTACTGTGATGCTGCAGGACTGACACAGGTATCTGGGCCATGTGCAGCTGGCTACTACTGTTCAATCGGAGTCAGTGTAGCTATACCTGTCAGCGGATACAACGGTACCGGTGGCCAATGTCCTCCCGGTACATTCTGCCCCACCGGAACTTCATACCCTATCCCGTGTCCTCTGGGAATGTTCAATCCTTACAGCTCCCAGTCCAATTGCTCGCTCTGCCCGTCCGGGGTATTCTGCCCCGGGAACACGTCTGACTTCAGTGTGTACCCATGCCCCACGGGTCATTACTGTCCTGCTGGTACCCAGTCTTCCCTGCAGTATCCCTGTCCTCCGGGTACTTTCAACAATGCAACACAGCAAGCTAGCAGGGCATCGTGTCGCTTATGCCTGCCAGGAATGTACTGTCGGGACTTTGGCCTGACCATGCCGAACGGACTCTGTAGCGCCGGCTGGTACTGCACCGAAGCAGCTGATTCACCCAAGCCAACATTCACCAGCAATGTCACCAATATGTCCATCTTGGCCCAATGCCCCATGTTGTCTGTGAACCAGTCCGGTGGAGTGTGCCCTGCAGGGCACTATTGCCCCGCTGGAAGTGAGCGTCCACAGCCATGCCCTGCTGGTCAGTACTGCAGTGACTCTGCTCTTGCTCAACCGTCCGGAGACTGTTTGGAGGGCTATTTCTGCGCAGGTGCTGATGTTACTGCATCGCCCAAGCTGTGTTCACCCGGATACTACTGTCCGAATGCTACTGCTGTTCAACTGCCATGCCCAGCGAGTACATTCCGAAGTGTGGCTGGTGCTACGTCCAGCACTGACTGTCGACAATGCACGGCCGGTTTCTATTGCCAGGGCTCAGCCAACACGAATGTCACCGGGCCATGCGCAAATGGGCACTATTGCCCGGCAGGCCAAAGCACATCCACACCAAGTAGCTATGGTTGCCCGCGTGGTCACTACTGCCCGGCTGGTGCTCCACACCCTCTGGGCTGTGCTCCCGGCACCTATCAGCCGAACGCCTTGCAACAGACCTGTGACACCTGTATCCAGGGCTCCTATTGTGCAGCGAACGCTACGCAGTCCACCGCCATCCTTGGAGTGGTGCACAACAGTAGCTTTGCTGGCATAGAGCTGCTAACATCTTGCCCTGCTGGATCTTATTGCCCCTCGGGTACATCTACGTCTCGGCAGCACCTGTGTCCAGCTGGTTCTTACAGTAACGTCAACTCTCTGATCAGTATCTACCAATGCAGTCCATGCCTGCCCGGACAGTATTGTTCATCACCAGGACTTGTCCAACCTACCGGCCCCTGCTCTGCTGGATACGTGTGCGTGAATGGCTCTGCTCGGTCAACACCTGCCGACGGCCTTACTGGCGCTATCTGCCCGGCTGGCCAGTACTGCCCTGCTGGCTCATCCGCCGGGCTGCCCTGTCCAGTGTCGACGTTCTCACCGGCTGAAGGATTGCGAAACAGATCGCAATGCCAGGCATGCACCGCCGGCGCTTACTGTGCAACTCCCGGTCTTGTCAATGTCACTGCCTTGTGTCGAGCTGGCCACATCTGCTACTCTGGCTCGCACGAGGAAGCACCTATTTCCCAGCTGCACGGAGACCGTTGTCCCGTGGGACACTTCTGCCCCGAGGGCACTCCATCACCGCAGGCATGTCCTCTGGGAACCTATCGCTATACCGTTGGCGCTGCTCAGGCATCCGACTGTCAGCCTTGTGATGGCGGGCAGTACTGTGGCAACACTGGCCTGTCCAACACATCAGGTCCATGTGCAAGTGGCTACTTCTGCACACTGCGCTCCTCAAGCAGCACACCAGGCAGCGGCGGGGCTGACCCGACTGGCGGAACGTGTCCCGTTGGTCACTTCTGCCCGGCTGGTTCCGCAGCACCAGTGCCCTGTCTCAACGGCACCTACTCCAACACTACTGGGTCCACACAGTGTTCCCAGTGTCCCCAGGGGTACTACTGTGTGGATGGTGTGGTGCCAGTGCCCTGCCCACGGGGCTACTACTGCCCGGCTGGCACGGACCTTGATTGGATGAAGTGCCCTGTGGGAACGTTTGGCTCTCGCACCACTTTATCAATGGCATCGCAGTGCTCACCGTGCTCTGCAGGGTACTACTGCAGTGTGCCGGGTTCTCCCAATGTCACCGGTCCTTGTAATGCTAGGTTTTACTGCCAGCATGGTGTTGACAGGCCTAACCCTGCTGGCGGCAATGTTACGGGTGTCGGCGGTGAGTGTCCTGGCACGCACTACTGTCCTGTTGGAACGGGCACACCAATACCATGTCCTGCTGGAACCTACAATGGTCTTGTCGGCCAGGCTCTGTGCTCTCCGTGCCCTGCCGGCTATTTCTGTTTGAGTAACGCCAGCGATTACATCCACACGCCGTGCCCCAACGGCTCGTACTGCCCGGAAGGCACCACGCACGGCAGGGAGTATCTCTGCCCGCCCGGGAGTTATGGTCCGTTGAGCGGAGCAGCCAACATCTCCTCGTGCTTGCCATGCCCTCGTGGTCAGTATTGTGAAGGCAGCGGTAACTCACAGCCAACCGGTGTCTGCTCTGCAGGATATTACTGTACACTCGGTAGCAACACATCCATGCCGTTGGCCATTGGAAACGCATCTGATCTATCCACTTGTTCGTGTCCTGGCGCTGCCATTCCAGGCGGTCGTTGCTGGCCAGGTTCATACTGCCGCAATGGCAGTGCATGTCCCGAGCTCTGCACTGCCGGTTATGCGTGTCCACTGTACGGTACCGATGTGCCAGTCGTGCTCTGCAGTGCTGGTTACTATTGTCTGGCTGGCTCTGTCACCACCAGTCCAGCCAGTGGTCGCTGTCCGGCTGGCTTCTACTGTTCCGTACAGAGCTCAGCGCCTACACCATGCCCGCTGGGTACATTCTCGCCGAGCACGGGCAATACAATGCTAGCCGACTGTGTCAACTGCACTGCGGGTAGGGTGTGCTCGTCTCTCAACTTGACTGCTCCCAATGAGCTGTGCGCCGATGGGTTCTACTGTCCGACAGGGCAGTTTAGCTCCGCACCGCCAACGTACTCCTGTCCTGCTGGATACTTCTGTATGAATTCAACTGCAAGTCCAACGCCGTGCGCTCCCGGTACATACCAACCCAGTCCTGGCCAGGCCACGTGTCTTCCTTGCCCGCAAGGTCGCTACTGTCCAGCGAACAGCTCTGGGGGCATCTCCACACCATCCATGTGCCCCGCTGGGTACTATTGTCCAACCGGTACTTCATCAGGCAATCAATACCCCTGTGGACCGGGTACCTACAGCAATGTCACCGGCTTAACGGCTGCGTTGGACTGCTCACCATGTCCCAGAGGTGAGTACTGCCTGAATTCCGGTACCACCAGTCCCAGCGGTCCATGCAGCCCTGGTTACATGTGTTTCGGCTCGGCAGCACAAGCCAATCCCAACGACGGACTCACTGGATCTGTGTGCCCTAGAGGATTCTATTGCCCGCTCGGTTCCTACGCTGGTATCCGCTGTCCTAAGGGATCATACAACAACATGACTGAGCTGTCCAGTGTGTCTCAGTGTGTGCCATGTCCAACCGGATATCTGTGTCCCGTGCAAGGTCTCACCGTTCCGTCCTACTCGTGTCCCGCCGGCTTCTTCTGCAACACGTCCTCTGTCAATCTCTCAACGCACGCTGTCGACTGTCCAGCTGGTCACTATTGCCCCGACGGTATCTCTGCGCCCGTTCCTTGTCCGATCGGCACGTACCAACCTCTCGTGTCGGCACAGAATGTTTCCTCGTGCATACCTTGCCGTGCCTACTCGTACTGTGGTACAGTGGGCCTGAGTGCGGCGACAGGACTCTGTGCCGATGGCTACTACTGTGTTTCTGGTGCTCACTCTGCCAGACCGTCGGACGGTGTGACCGGCGCTCCTTGCCCGGCTGGTAGCTATTGTACCGGTGGTGTGCGGACAGTGTGCGGTGACGGCACCTTCACCAATGCAACTGCGCAGGCGGTCTGCTCGACGTGCGTTCCGGGCTACACGTGCGTGTCCGGAGTGGCACGTCAGTGCAGTCCTGGACACTACTGCCTCAACGGCACGGGCCGTGTCCAGTCACCATGCCCGGCTGGGACGTATCGTGATAGTGCCGGCGCTGCCAGTGTGCAAGACTGCCTACCCTGCATGCCGGGACATTACTGCCAAGTCAATGGATCTTCAAACACCACCGGTCTTTGTTCTTCCGGGGCATTCTGCCTGTATGGTTCGGACACAGCTCACCCGGACAATATCACTAACACTGGCCTCGCTGGGCCATGCCCTGTGGGGCACTATTGCCCGTCCGGTACAGCCCACCCACGTCCCTGTCCCCAGGGTACATACACACCAGCCAGGGGATACAGTGCGTGTTTGACATGTCCGGCTGGCGCATACTGTCCTAGAGGATCCTACAACCCCAGCGTTCTAACACCTTGTCCCAGAGGTCACTACTGTCCGAATGGCACTATGATTGCCTCACAGTACCCATGCCTGGCAGGCTACTTCTACAACACTACTGGTGCCTTGAGTATACTGGACTGTGCACTGTGCAGCCCCGGAATGTATTGTGGACAGGCTGGTTTGGCCGAGCCATCCGGCTATTGTTCCGCAGGATTCTTCTGCACTTCTGGCGCCAGTCTTCCCTCGCCAGTCGGTGTTGGACAAGTTGTGCATGCACTGCCTTCCCAGTCCTCAGGCCCACGATGCTCAATTGGCAATCAGACAGGTGCATGTCAGAACATGACAGTGAACCAGCAGTGCACTGTTGGATCCATTACCGTGTGTGCCAATCAATCACGATCGTCAGCACAGTGTGTCTGCCCTGATTTGCAGTCTGCCACCGGCGGAATCTGCCCAATTGGGTACTTCTGTCCCTTGGGTTCATCGGCCCCAGTCCCGTGTCTGGGCGGCTGGTACTGCGAGCAGAGTGGCCTTGTAATTCCCAGTGGTCTGTGTGATGCCGGCTATTACTGTGAAGGCAATGCTACCACACCGCGGCAGCACAGTTGCCCTGCTGGTTCCTACTGCCCCGTAGGGAGTGCCCTGCCCGTAGCGTGCCGCCCGGGTACGTACAGCCCGGATTTCAACAACGAAGCGGAGTCTCACTGCCGCCTGTGCCCCTCGGGTCTGTACTGTGCGGGCACTGGCAACGCCCTGCCGAGCGGCAACTGCTCCGCTGGTTACTTCTGTAGTGCAAACTCTTCTGAAGCAGCACCCAGCAATGCTGAATGTCCACCTGGCCACTACTGCCCTGCCGCTGCTGGCTCACCAATTCCATGCGCAAGCGGTACCTATCAGCCTCTGTCTCGCCAGTATGCATGTCTTCAATGCCCACCGGGATTCTCTTGTGTTTCAAGTGTGAACGTATCGACATCAGTAACACCCGGTGATTGTCTACGAGGCTTCTACTGCCCGGCTGGAACTGGCTATCATCCGATTCCATGTCCACCTGGCACGTTTGGACCGGTAGTGCGCCAGAAGTCACCCAGTGATTGCTTCTCTTGCCCACCTGGTGAGCACTGCGAGTCAGGGCTAGACTTACCTGGTGGAAACTGTTCCGCTGGATACTACTGTGGTGGAGGTGCTACCACACCACGTCCGGCATCGTTACCATCTTTCAACGCCACAGCGAACACAACAAGCAACAGCTCTGCCACGGCGCTACCCATCAATGGCCCATGCCCAATCGGCTTCTACTGCCCGGTCGGCTCGGCAGTTCCTGTCCCTTGCCCTAAAGGTAAACAGTCCCTGAGCCAGCGCGTGGGTACAGCTGATGAGTGCACTGATTGTCCTCCGGGCCGTTATTGTGAATTTGATGGCTCAATGGTGATTGATGAAGCACCGCCGTGTGACGCTGGCTACGTGTGCACCGGTGGATCGCCATTAGCTCGCCCGACTGACGTTCGCCACGGCTATGTCTGCCCTCCCGGCCACTACTGCCCCCGGGGATCGTTTGTTGAGCTGGGCTGTGAACTGGGAACATACAATCCCAATCCTGGTCGAGCACTGTGTCAACCATGTGACCCTGGAAAGCTGTGCAGCAGAGTAAACCTCACGCTGCCCACGGACTGTCCTGCTGGCTCGTTCTGCAGGGGAAGTACATTTGTTCCAACGCCGTGCCCGGCAGGAACGTTCAGCAACATCACCGGCCTTCACAATGTGTCTCAGTGTCAGCCTTGTCTACGCGGATACGCTTGCACCCTTGATGGCCTGACCGCGCCGAACGAGTTCTGTGCCGCCGGTTACTTCTGCTCCGGTGGTCAGGCTATTGTCTCTCCGGCATTGTTACCTTGTCCTGCTGGTCACTACTGCGAGTCTGGTGTCCTGCGACCTGAACCATGTCCGCAAGGTACATATCGCAATGTCACCGGTGCACGTAACGCATCCTTCTGCTTCCCCTGTCCCGGCGGCAGCTACTGCTCCGGCGAAGGCTTGACCGCTGCGTCTGGCTTGTGCTCTGCCGGATACTACTGCCCGCCTACCCGGGCTGTCAACACATCAACACCAGCCGATGGTCTGTGTCCGCGCGGATTCTTCTGCCCCGAAGGTTCCCCGTACCCCGAAGCATGTCCACCCGGCATGTATCAACCTGGTCTGGGTGAAGCGGCATGCATCGACTGTCCCCAGGGCTACTACTGTGCGGACAATGTGTCAGAGCCGCTCATTTGCCCAGCTCACCACTACTGCCCGCTGAACACGGACAACTCGCCAAAACGCTGCCCAGCGGGTACCTACACCAACGCCTCGGTTGTTGGCCTGTCCAAGAGCAGCGACTGTACCCCATGTCCTGCTGGCATGTTCTGCCGCATCGGCCAGCTTGCTGGACCGTGTGCAGCCGGCTTTTTCTGCCAAAGTGGAAACCCGGTGCCAACACCACAGCAGGTGTTTGATCCGGTCTCTTACTTTGAGTGCGGTTTGTTGCCGTTGCTAGTCAATGAAACATCCCTGTCGTCAGTTCTATCAGACACGTTCCTTTGCCTGCGTGCCAACTGCTCGGACTCGTCCAACACCCCGGATACTGTCGGAACCAACTCAACAATGTTTGGCGGTGGAAATACTTCAATGTCAAATATGTCGAACGCCATGTCAATCAACTCCAGCATGATGAACTCATCAAGTGTGAATGTAACTGGTAGCAACCTGTATTTCCCCAGCGCTGCTCGCTGTGCAGAGCTGTTGACGAGTACGGATGAAGGTGAGAACAATACCAACATGAATCCTCACCCTGTTCTGGGCGGCTGGTGCCCCGCTGGTCACTACTGCCCTACTGGTGCCGTCAACCCCGTCCCGTGCCCCGAGCACACTATAAACCGCTATCTCAACGCATCCCAGATCAGTGCCTGTGTGGCGTGTGACGATGGCTATGAGTGTCCGGCAGGTAGTCCAACACCGCAGCCCTGCTCTCCCGGATACTACTGCAAGGCCGGCCAGCCACCGCAGCCCTGCCCGTTGTACACGTACACCAGCAGCGTGGGCTCGATATCGGCCAACGACTGTGCCATATGCCCGGATGGGTTCTGGTGCAACGAGACGGGTCTAGGCGCCGTGATGGGTCGCTTGTGTCCAGCCGGCTACTACTGCCAGGGTGGTCAGCTAACTGCTGTGTGTCCTGCTGGCACTCGCCGTGCTGTACCCGGTGCAGCTAGTGCAGCTGACTGTGAACCATGTCCGGCTGGCTATTATTGCAATGGCACCACCGAGCAGAACAGTCACATTAGCGGAATACCCTGCCCGCCTGGCTTCAGGTGCCAGCGTGGTTCGTACCAGCCTGATCCGTGTCCGATCGGCTCGTATTGTCCGTTGCGAGCATCGTGCTTGTCCAATGCCGCTCTACCTAGTCCTTGCTCGGCGACGGCCATTTGCCAGCCCGAACAAATCGGCATGTCCATTCCCTGTCCTGCCGGCTTCTACTGCGTGAAGGGTGCATCCATTCCGGAGCTTTGTCGCTACCCGGACCAGTGCCCGGTCGGCTCAGCATATCCAATACCGTGTCCTGATGGTAGCAGAGCTTTGAGCAACTCGTTGTGCAGAACAGGCCCAGCAGCCGCATGCCAGCAGTGCGAAGGAGGCACGTACAGCAGTGACAATCACCTGACCTGTGAGCTATGCCCGGCCGGTTACTTCTGTCCGGCCGGTACCAGTAACAGTACACGTCACCCATGCCCGACTGGCCACTACTGCCCCGAGAGATCAGCGGCAGCCATTGCCTGTCTAGCTGGGCAGTTCAGTGCAGCCACCATGGCCAGCAACGTGTCAACATGTCAGCCTTGCTCCGGTAATACATTCAGCCCGGTCGCAGGCTCGAGTGCCTGTCGTCCGTGTGGCCGTTCCGCTACACGAGATCCGGTTACCTCGGCGACATGCTTATGTACCGGAGCAAACCGTGCCTTCCACGTATCCTCTGGATCCTGCGAATGTCTCGCCGGTTTTGTTTACATAGATCAGACCAGTGTGCAGACAACTGAAGGAGATAGTACGGATGACTGTCAGCCGCAGGTAAGCACCTTGTACCGACGTGTGTGTGTGTGTGTGTGTGTGTGTGTGTGTGTGTGTGTGTGTGTGAGTGTGTGTGTATGTGTGTGTGCGTGTGCGTGTGCGTGTGCGTGTGTGTGTGTGTGTGTGTGTGTGTGTGTGTGTGCGCGCGTGTGTTGCTATGTCACAACGTAGCGTGTTTGCTATCATCGCTTTGATGGGCATGTGGAAGTGGAAGTGAATGTGTGTACAGGTGTGCGAGTTTCCATGTGTGAGCATAGCCCCACCCAAGCTGTGTGATCCATGTGTGAGCATAGCCCCACCCAAGCTGCGTGATCTTCTGGAATAGATTTCAGACTACTGCAAAATGAACCCTGAAAACGGTCCTTATGTTGCCTCTGTTCACCCGTTTAGAAATGTTCTTTAATGAACTCTCTCTTTTTGCTGATTTGGTTTCTAGGTCGAGGAGCGGTGCGCAAATGGGCAGCTGCGTTTAGCGAGCACTCGTAAATGTGTTGCTGCGTCGTCACTGGACTGTGCCACGGTGTGTGGCAATGCCAACTTCACGGTGGATGTCAACACTGGCCGATGCCAGTGTCTCAGCACTCCCGTCGAGCAGGTGTGCAACGCGGCGTGCCAAGCTAGCAAGCCTATCGCCACCGTCAAGCAGGACGATGCTGGGAACTTTGACATAGTCGTGAGTAGCCCAGCACAGTACAGTACAGTACAGTCTGTGATCTTGTGTAGTGTAGTGTGGTGTAGTGTGGTGTAGTGTGGTGTAGTGTGGTGTAGTGTGGTGTGGTGTGGTGTGTGATTGTGACTTGTGTGTGATTGTGCAGCATTGTGCAGTATTGTGTGGTATTGTGTGGTATTGTGTGGTATTGTGTGGTATTGTGTGTGATTGTGCAGGATTATGTGTTGTGTTAAGACTTGGTATAGCACAGTGGTCTTGATTTTATTCCGCGGTTTGTCAGTGGGGGTGTTTGAACCTTTCCCTTGCTCACGTGTACATTCAATTTCTAAGAGCATTCTTGATGTTTCACTTGGCACGCATTGTATATTCCTGCACTTCAGGTACGCGATCGAACTACCAATGCAATCATCAACACCATCCGGCTGACGTCCAGTAGTGGCGGCATTGCCTTCGACACCACCGAGCACAGCTGCCAGTTTGCAGACTTCACCGGCACCAGTGTTGGTGCACTGGTCTTGCGTAATGCTGCTGACGTGCAGAATGCAGCCGGTACTGCCAATGCCACCTCTACAACTGGTGGTGGTAGTCAGGGAAGAAGACGCCGGGACACGTTCAACACCGGCCGTCACTTGATGCAGACCGTGAGCAGTGCTACTTCGCCGACCGCATCTGTGCCTCGTGTGAACAATGCCCTGGTGTGCATTGAGCAGTCCGAGGCCATGCTCTTCCGCATCAACAGCGCCACCAGTTACCCAGTCTATCAGAAGAATCATCTGCTGAACAGCAACCCAACGTTCGACGATGGTCCCTTCCGCCGCCTGGCCACAAACCTTGCATCCAACATGCTGGTCAGCGCGTTTGTCCATGTTTTCACCGATCCGGGCACGTATGTCTTTGCCGATGCCAACAATAGCTTGGCAGAGGTGGTGATAGTTGTCATGCCGGTCAACGTGGCATGTCCCAGTGGCAATGTGGTGGTAGCCACCAATGATGCACTCACTAACTACAATGTCACCGCCAAGAGAGATCTGAACGAGGCGCCGGACTGGGCCTTGATCTACGCCGTCTTCGGAACCATTGCCGGCATCATCTTCCTGTTACTGCTTGCCGTTGCTCTGTGGAGACCACAGCATGTGGGACTGCGATCACCGCGTGCCCTGCAGCCCCGCTACCGGCCAGTGGCCTCCACCCCCATCGTCGTCTATGCTAGCGATGAGCAGGATCCGGAGAAAGAGCTCAGCCGCTTGGGACCGCGTGGTCAGCCGGTGGGTAGCGAGAGAGTGGATGGAGACGGAAGCGAAGCACTGCTGGAAGACTTCAGTGTGCGCACCCTCTACGACAAGATGGAGGATCAGAACTTGCATGTTGCCACACAGCTGGCACGCCACAACCAAGAGCTCGTGGTATGTTGTAGTTTTTGGTCTCTTTATTTTTGCTTTGTGTTGAATGTCTAATATAAAATTATATAAGTATAATTTAATCATATGTTTGAGGGAATTGCAAACAGGAAAAGTCTGAAGAAACTTTGACTGTCACCACCAGGACTTGTATAATTCTATGGAAATCTGATACTAGTATGAATATTGGTCTCTTGCTGTTTAGTATGCCACTGCAGTGCACGAAGAGCTATAACAACCTTAGGTGCAATTCCCAACACCTATGCCTGACATAACAAATGCATATCTGGTACTTCACTTATTCATTTTGGTTATTTTGCATCCACTTGGACTTCTTGCCGCTGTAACATGAGGCGGCGTCACATCAGAATATCGCCTTGTGTGCACTCATTCCTTTCTTCTGCTCACTCTACTTTCACAGGATTTCTACGGAAGAATATCGCAGCAGAATGAAGATCTCAAGGCTCTATTGAAACGCTCTGAGCGCAGTGGAGGTCGCCAACGTGTAGCATCTGGCTCCACATCACCACGCGACACCATCACACATACGCAGACATTGGCTTTCCAGGTAGGCAGCTTTCACCAATACATACATAATTATCTGTTACCGATTTCTCCAGAAAGCCAGCTTGCTGATAGAAAATAACTTTGAGAGAGAACTGCAAAGTGGGAATGGACGGGAACTCTGTGTAAATGAATGAGATCTCTGCACTACGCTGAATACCGTGCGGAATGAGTTGATTTTGGTGATGCTCAATTCCATGATTTTTGTCTTTCCCCATCTTATGACTAGGGTACCGATGAGCATCGACTACAGGAGCTGACACAACTTCTACGCGATACATTGGCCACCGCACGCAGCTCGGCAGTAGCTTGTAAGTGCATAGTATTCACCCGCATCATCTCTGACTCACTGCTACCCCCCCCCCCCCACAGTACTGTTTTGTTTTCCACCATTATGGATCTCAAGTATGGCTACTTCACCAAACTGATAGTGTGTGTTAGCTAGCAGCCTTAGCTGTAGCTCTCCGCTGAAACCCTACTGCCATAGGGTTTTCCACAACTACGGGCTGGCCCCTGAACTACGACTCAGAAGAGGTATATGTGCTTGCTTCAGTTGGGCTAATGAATGACCAGATAAGTGGAGGTACAGCTGGGGACAAGTGACCAATCATTAGCGCACCAGATTATGTCATCTTGCTCTTTTTATGTGTGTGTATATTCCTTGTGCTTGTCAGATCCGACCATGCCTGTTGCAGTGCCTGATCATACTCTTACCACTACTACTGCCACTGGTGCAGCTGCTGCCGCCTCTTCAGCTAATCTTCCTGCAAGTGGATCATCTCTAGTGAACGCCTTGGACTTGCAGCAGATGCCACTGCCCGGAGTGAAGGGTCAGATGTGGCGCCGTGCTGCAATAGCCGTACGTTGGTTGGTTGGTTGGTTGGTATACTATATTTTACTTCGCCAGAATGAACAGGCATTGCTGCCTTCTGGCCTGGACAAGTGGATTGTACACGGTCTCACGAAATGACGAAGACGTCCTTGATATGCAGAGCATTGCGCTAACTTTGCACTGAGACGACAATATCCGCCTTATGTACAGGTGACATGTGTGTGTCTCCGGCTAATTTGTGTCAATGAACCTTGCCTCTGCACGCATGGTGAAAACATGCTCTGACTCTCCATCTCGAAGACCAAGTAGGAAATTTTGTCATTTCTGATCAAGAAGCTATGCCGATGTAATGTGCACAGTTTCCCATCTCTTTATAGCCGTAAGCCTGCAGTTCTCCTAATATAACGTGTGTCATGCGTTTCTGTTTTCAGTCAATTCCGACCAAGGCAGCCAAAGACAAGTGGTCCATGGTGGACGAGAACCAGATTCTTCAACAACAGCGCGAACAGAGCAACCAACTCCAGGTCGACTTGCAAGAAACTGAGACCGGCGAGTTGGAGGAAGCTATAAAGCAAAAGGTGTGACAAGAATGTTAGCAAAGCTGCTCTAAAATTAGAAAAAATATTGATGGATGGACATATTCTGCAGTATATAAGCACACACACACACTGCAGCAAGATTGCCTTCTTTCGCTGGTCTGATCACCCAGTCTACATTCGGGGTTTATTTTATCCATGATGATAATGATGATGACACAGCATACAGCACACATATACATGTAGCTCATATGAAAATCAAGTAAGGGTCATGCATCTGTCGATACCACCGAGCCAGTGCATTTTTTCTGGGGCAAGGTGCTCCGTTTCCAAAGCACACATGTTGAGAGGTAAAAGATCATCCCTGTTGTCCATGCTTAGGTATCAACGCAGGCAGAATCCCACCAGGCCTCAGCTATGGACCTAGCATCTCGTCTGAAGGGCGTCAGTGAGAGTGAAGCTGACCGTATCATTCAGCTGCACCTGGCCAACATGGAAGTAGCTGGTGCCAGCATGTCAGCCGAGCAGAAGCGCCAGTCCGATCGCATGCGACACGAGCTGGCCATGCGGCGCATGAAGAAGCAGGAAGCTCTCCGCAAGCAACACGAACAGCAGGTCAGCAGCTTGCCAAGCCGCTACGGTGTACCACCGTCCTAGGCCTAACGTTGTCGTTGTAGTATTGAGTGATTAGATATGCCCCATTTGCTATGCACTGCAATAGAGGTATAGCAGACTATGTGCGTGTGTAGGCGTATAACGTGAAATACAGCGTGAAGGTAAAAAATTAATTATCCTTGCACAAAATATATGCATTTTTGCTTTTCATTTGTACAGGCCGATCAAGCTCAAATCACGCTCACGGAGGGCGGTGTAGTGGACGAAGATGGCTGTGAGAGGGCTGTTGCCGTGCAAGAGTCCGTAATCTCGTCCGTGTATGACCAAATGCGGCAAGAGCAAGCTACCGACTCGGCAGCAAAGAGCCAGGAGACAAGCGAGGGCACTGTTGATGCAATCATCCAACAAGTGGAGAGCGATGTGGTATGTTTGCTGACTATGTTTGCTTGTTGCAGGTGTTGTTTCTCTGATCAGGTTAATGCCGTTCATACTGTGGTTGAAATGCTCTTCCACGCCTATCATGGTGGATGTGCTGTACTTTACTGTGGTTGAAATGCTCTTCCACGCCTATCATGGTGGATGTGCTGTACTTTACTGTGGTTGAAATGCTCTTCCACGCCTATCATGGTGGATGTGCTGTACTTTACTGTGGTTGAAATGCTCTTCCACGCCTATCATAGTGGATGTGCTGTACTTTACTGTGGTACATTACCTCAGTAACTGTTAGTACTTGCAGCTGTAACCCAGAGAACTGGACGGGTTTGTTGCGCTCTTCCTTTCTTACCTCTCTGCTCTGCTCAGAGTCAGCTGATATCCGGTGGACTAATCGACGACGAAGAAGCTGTAGTCCAGAAGCAAGCACACATGGAAAAGCTAGCGGGAATCCGTGATCTCATGAACAAACGCCGTGCTGCCCACTCTCTTGCCATGCGCGGTCGCCTTGCAGCACGTCGCGAACGCCAAGTTGGCAAGCTAGGCGAGGAGCAGAAACGAAACATGGAGGCGGTATGTTGTAAACACAATGCTGGTTGTTGAATGTAGTCGGGCCTTACCTTCTTTTAAAGAGGTGTGGATAATGGGGAATGCGATAAGTGCGTATATTGCTAGTGCAATTTTCTCCAGGATAATGTTGCTGATTCACGTGCCATGAATGCCATACTAGCTTCCTGTAGCTACTCTACATGTATACACTGCAGTGTTCCTCACGTGTCCTCTTTGATGTGTGTCCTTCAACTTGCCCCCGCCGCTGTCTAGCTCAAGGCAAGACTGGACCAAGACGTCGCCGAGGGCAAGATCACACCCGAGCAGAGAGATGAGCGCATTGCCGAGCAGCTGGAAGCAGACAGGAAAGCCATGGAAGCTCTGGAGAATCAACTCAAGGCCGAGGAAGAGGAGCTCATTGCTAGTGTGCAGGCACAGGTTGACCAAGAGAAGATAACGGCAGTCCGCGAGGCACACGAGGCCTTCATGATGGAGGTAACCTACCTGATTCTTGGTCATGGTCGTAGTGCAGAGCTGTTCTCTGTGTGTGTCAGAGTGCCGGTTCCAGTGTGTTCCAGTGTGTGTCAGTGTGTGCCAGTGTGTTCCAGTGTGTTCCAGTGTGTGTCAGTGTGTACCAGTGTGTTCTGTTGTCCTGGCATTATGTGTTTGTTTGAAGTTTTATTTTACATCGCAAACCAAACGGGCATTGATGCCCAATATTATGATGGCGATAGAATAAAAAGTGTAGCTCGATAAAGCTTCACTTGCGAAAATGAGAAAACAGTCAAAAGGAAGTATTTGTACCGGTAATTACAAGTCAAGTTCGAACGAAGTAACAATCAGGGAGAAATAGGAAGATGAGGACCTATGCCAGAGGGAGGTGCTATTCGGCCATATTAACCGTAGAAAAACACTTTCAGCAATCTTTTAAACGGGGTTGGACGACGAGCGGACGTGAGTTCCTGTGGCAGGGTGTTCCAAAGCATGTGCATGCTATTGTGCATAGTCCTGCATGTGGATGGTGTACGCCACATCACGGCTGACTTGCCTGTAACTTTAGTGTAGTCTCATATGTCAGCGGTATTGTCTTGTCTAAAAGAGAACAGCTAGGTCATTGCAGTGAGCTGTTGTTCGCCTTTTCTTGCTTACAGGTTGCCCATGCACAGCAGAATCCCAACTCTTCTCGGCAGACCGAGGTCATGCTTTCAGAGTTCCAGCAACGCTGTGACCGACTTGGAGATCGGCAGAGTGCAGAGCTGCATCGGCACCAGTTGGACATGCAGGTACTGTATACAGTAGTACCTGCGCATATATACTCATTACTGATGCAAAACAAGTGTATCTCTGGCAGTACGGATGAAACAATCCATCTTGTGTATGTCTTTCATTACCATTTACCTATGGATTCATGTAGGGACCATGAGTAGCGTTTTCGTCTGCCCCGTATCAGGCTATGTCGTCATGTAGCCCTGGGTGAAGCAATGCCTTCAGCCATTCTATCCAGTTCTACATGTAGTGAACTTCAGTTGAGTGTGCAGGGACCCAGCCAAGGAGTGGATCAGCTTATAGTGACTATGGCTTTGAAGAGGGCGATGGATACGTTATTTTCTTGCTCTCCTTCCTCTTCCGTATGCACACCTTGCAGAGCAAACTGGATGCACGCAAAGCCCGGGCCTTGCAGAAGAAACAAGAACAGCTGTTATCTAAGCAACAAGACCTCAACCAGCCGCAAATAGCTGGCACTGAGGAAACTGTAGAAGTGCAAGTGAAGGTGCCGGAAGTTGTAATCCCGGAGGAGAGTATTGAAGAACAGGTAAGAAGAGCTAGCGGCAAACCTGTCTTGACAATTCCCATTTGCCACGGACTGGTGGCTGTCAAGAGTGATGCCTTTTAGTCCAGAGTTGATGTGTATGCTAGTGATTGACCTCTGTGTACTGAGGCACTACAGTTGCATGCTTGCACAGAGACTGAGCATTGGGCTTCATCATGCATGCACAGCGCAGTTATGGTACACTGTGTATTCCGGCTTGATCGTTTCTGACGGAATGATGGACGCGGCATTTCTGGCTGGATCCATCTCTTGTGCAGGCTCTTGCTCAACACGAGGCTCAAGCTCAACAGGCACGCAAGCAGAGACAAAGCGACGAGAAGGAAGCTCTGGAAGACAAGGTGAACACCGACATGGCTGACGCGGAGCGCAAGCAGGTAGAAAACCTAGAAACTAACAAGAGCCAGGCACTGCGTGAAAAGGAGCAACGGCTGGCGGCGATTTTCGAGTCGCGCCGCGGCGAACTGACGGAAGAAGAGCAAGAACACGTAAGAGTTTCTGCAGAGTAGGGTTTGCATACCGGTAGCCTGAGCAGAGTAAGGGTTTGCATACCGGTAGCCTGAGCAGAGTAAGGGTTTGCATACCGGTAGCCTGAGCAGAGTAAGGGTTTGCATACCAGTAGCCTGAGCAGAGTAAGGGTTTGCATACCGGTAGCCTGAGCAGAGTAAGGTTTGCATACCGGTAGCCTGAGCAGAGTAAGGGTTTGCATACCGGTAGCCTGAGCAGAGTAAGGGTTTGCATACCAGTAGCCTGAGCAGAGTAAGGGTTTGCATACCGGTAGCCTGAGCAGAGTAAGGTTTGCATACCGGTAGCCTGAGCAGAGTAAGGGTTTGCATACCGGTAGCCTGAGCAGAGTAAGGGTTTGCATGCTGGGAGCCTGAGTAACGTTCCTCACTGGTGGGACTCTTTGAGGATATGTCTTAGTAGGTCAGTGTCCACGTTTGCACCCGTGTATGGTGTACATGGGGAGTGTTATCACAAAGTCATGTACTGGCTGCATCATTGCTTCCATGCTACTGTTCCGATCTCGTTTTGTCTGATTCTCATCTACATGCACACGTGTACACAGCTTCTAGCCACACACCGAGCAGAAATGGAGGAGCTGGAGCGGCGTCTGAACGCGGAGCAATCGCGACAGCAGCTGGCCCTGCGAGACCGGTTAGCTAGACAGAGGCAGCGGAGGCTTGCTGCCCAGCAACGCGACCATGACAAGGAGGATCAGTCGGCCGTCCGCGAGCAACAGCAGCGCATCAGCGAGGAGAGGTCTAAACGATTGCAGGCCGCCGAAAAGGAGGCCATCATCGTCGGCCTGCAAGAAAACAGTGCCGAGGCCGCAGACGTTGTCATCAAGATGGTAAGTCCGGTGTTGACATTCACATGTACGCCTGGCCTGGTTTCTGGACCCAAGTTGACTGGCATTCACAGGTATGCCTGGCCTGGTTTCCGGACCCAAGTTGACTGGCATTTGCATGACATGACATTCACATGTACGCCTGGCCTGGTTTCCGGACCCAAGTTGACTGACATTTGCATGACATGACATTCACATGTACGCCTGGTCTGGTTTCTGGACCCAAGTTGACTGGCATTTGCATGACTTAGCGCGAACATTGGAAATATTTACTCTGCTTTGCCTTGTATGCCGTGTGTAATAAAGTAATATACCTGCCACTGTACTAGTATCAGCAATGAATAGTAAATATGTTGTGTCTAATGTGTTCAATGTCCAATGTGTCTGCTCAGGTTCTCGAGCAGCGTCAACAGCGGGAGCTAGAAGACCTAGACCGTGCGAGTGCACTGGAGCTGGAGGAGGCGCTGACCGGTGCCGTGTCCGACCTGGACAAGGAGTACAATCACGAGCGGCAAGCGGTCGTCCTCAGGCACGACGCCGCCATGGCCGACCTACTGGCCCGCGCCGGCGCAATGTCCGCCGACGATTTGGAGCGGGAGAAGAGTCAGCTGCTCGAGCGACAGCAGGCCGAGCTTGCTCAGCTCGACGCCGACTATGCCAACCGGCTATCGCAAGTCAAGACGAGCACGGAGCAGAAACTAAAACTTGAGCAGGCACAGGCTAGACTGCAGCTACGTAGCCGGCATTACCAGGTAAGCTGTGTGTGATATGATGTCATTATCAGGTAAGCTGTGTGTGTGATATGATGATGACATCATTATCAGGTAAGCTGTGTGTGATATGATGATGACATACTAGTACTAGTACTTGAGCGTTTTATCTTTTAAGCAATCAGTTGCTGTAGTCATGTGAATCGGTTAGACTGTCTTGGACCGGCGCTGCATTTTGGGATCGGTCAACATTGAGTTTTGTGTGAACAGCCCGGCATATCTGTTACGATAATTGGAATGCATGTGATTGCAGTGTATGTAAGGGATACAACTGCAGGGTGTGGAATGAAGGTGATTGCAGTATTCTGCATCCACTAGTGGTTACTGGATAAAACAAACTCCGCGTGTCTTTTTTGTGGCTGTAAATTAAGCAGGAAATGATATTGCAAAGCAATCTGATGATTTCCTGGCTGTATTCTCAATCTTTGCATGCACAGGAGTATGTGTCTGCACTGAAAGAACTGTTGCCGCAGCACTCGATGCACAAGCGTACTGCAGCGCAGGCAGAGGCGGAAGCCAAGCGGCTTGACCAGCTCTGCTCTGAGCTGGAACAACAGCAGAAGGATCTAGATACACTGCAGCAGCGTGAACGACAAGGTAAGAGAACCAACGAACCAACTTTTTTTCCCCCGAGACTTTCCGTACAGAAGGCTGCCATTGAGTGGTGGGCTAACTGTTAGGGGCGGTGCTAACTGCTTTTCTACCCTTCTCTTTGATCACATTTGAGGAGGCGTCACCTGGTTGCCGCTATCGGATGCACTGAAGCAAATTTAGCCTCAAATACTGCTAGAATCTTGACATTGTCTGCTTGATCGTATACTGTTTCATTTGAAGAAGGTAGCAACAAGTAAAGAAGGTGGCTTCCCTGAACACACATCAGCACGCGAGGCGCAACATCTTCGTAACGTAGCAACAGTTACTGGAATACTAATAGTGCTCACTGCACCGGGTGAAGAGATTTTGCACAACCACGCACGCACGCACACACGCACGCACGCACACACACATGCACGCACACACACACACGCAAGACGAAACCACTTAGGATGGGGGGGGGGGGGGGTGTCACTCCGGATCGCATGCATATAGCATTCATCAGGTAAACTGTGTACTATTTGTTCCTACTCTCAGTTTTGGAAGGCTGCCATTGCTAGGTTCAGCAGGACCACAGACCACATCATTGTTTGGACTCGTATTGTCTTTTGCCCAGATTTCGAAGCGTCACAGCAAGCGAAGGTGAACGAAGAACTGGAAAAGTTCGAAAGCCAACTTGCGGAAGAAGCCAACCGTGCTGAAGAGGCACATAAACGTCGCATTGCTGAACTTCAACGCCGCAAGGAAGAAATTGGCAAAGAGCAGCGGCGACAGCAGCAAGTGGAGATCAAGAATAAAATGCGAGCCGGAGCCTCGGCTGAAGAAATTGAAGACCTAACAAGACGTGGTGAGGAAGAACGACAGCGACTTGAAGGCAAACTAGAGGCAGATAGGTTACGAATGGAAGCCCAGCTGAGGGAGAAGCGCAACAAGAAACTGGGCGAGAAACGGAGGGCTAAGCAAGCAGAGGTAAGAGAAGTCGTGGCATCATACGGGCCCCGATCGAGATGAGCCCACTCCTGGTATGCTATCCACTAGTCTGTCTGTCTGTGTGCTGCGTTGAGCAGTTACCAGCAGATGGAGTCAACCCAGTAGTATGTACGATGTTTGACTGTTGGTAAGGGTGAAGACGATCATGGTCTCATAATATGCATGTATCCTGCCTCTTCTTCTTTTCGCTACATTAGCTTCAAAAGGAACTTGAAGTTGGCCGCCAGAAGTGTGTGGAGGAGGCAAAGAAACAGCAAGAAGAGGCTGTTGCATCCATGACAAAGAAGATTGAGGAATCCGAGCAAGATGCTGAACGGGCTGGTCCCAAGTTGTTGTCAACGATCATTGAAGAAGGTAAGTGCTGTGTGCCATTGTGACTCTACTGCTAGCACATTGTATTCGAGTCTTTTTGCTGGCTTGCTGAGAGTCTGAGAGCGCCCACTTTGCCATTATAATTTACAGGTACTATGCTACATGTAGTAGAGGTGATCCCGCCCAGTTTTGTGCTATTCTCGTGATACTTCAGTGGTCACAACCTTTAGGGTGCATCCAGCAGACCCCCTGACCCTGACCCTGACTGACACTATGACCAACTTGTGTGTCTGTGTGTGTGTGTTTCTGGTGGTTGACGATGTGCATCTGAATGTATTCAATTGGTGTCTCGCTACAGTTCCTGTATATTCAGCCCCTCAAGAAGCACAGTTTGTTCCCCAGTCCACTGGCCTTCTGGCCGTGCCAGTTGCCCTGAACGACGAGCAGCTGCTTAGCTTACTGATGGCGTCTTCTCTCTACAAGAAGCTGCTGCGCATCAAGGAGCTTGTGCAGAGTGGTGCCTCTGGAAAGCAGTCTGCCTCTGCACTGGCACCAGGCAGTGGATTCATGGACCCACTGGAGAGCAGGTGGAGTACTGAAGATGAACATGAACCAGTCCCAGAGGATCAGGTAAGTGGTGCACGCGGTGGGCTGGGATTCGGCCCTGGACCTGTTCGCTGGTATTGCTAGCTGCCCGCTCTAGACTTGACTGTAGGTCTTGCTACTAAACTGCGTGAAACAGAACTGAGACTGTATTACAGATACCCAATGGCTGTGTGTGTGTCCGCGTGCGTGTGTTGTAACTAATGAAGGTCACCAGGGCAGCATGATTCAATCTCAGGCACTGCTTCAGACTAAATATTTCCCTTGTGACCGTAAGCCTGGCCTTGCAGCCAAGCCTTAGAGTCTGCTGATATAAAAAAAGAAATGCAGATGTCCAGATGACTTGAGCGCTGCTAACTACTGTAAAAGCCATTATTCTAACGAGGAGCATATATAACGATTTCCCAAAATTAACTGGTTTACGTGTACCAAAGGTAACGATTCTCACTTATTCTCAACGCTCTATAAGACAGTATATGTATCGATTTCTGGATAACGATTTCTATTTTAACGACAGATTTCTCCTCATTAGAGAGGTTGTGCATAACGAAAATTCGTAACTTAGACGTAGTCTGGGCACGAGTAACGAAAAAGGAAAGGAACTTTCGCGAGGATGATCGCGAAACTTGAAGATCTTACGTTTTGAACTTTCGCTTCTTTCTCGCAAGCTTTTGTATACATGTACATGTAGCTGTGTTGATGCACGTGGTGTCAAGATTTTTTTGCCATGGCCTTTTCAAGTCGTTCTGCGAGTTCTTCCTACTCGGCATCCTGTGGAGTTGATGGATCTCTTTCCCGCTCTCTCAGCGATCCTCTGTCACCTGGACAGCGCTCGGCTAGTTCTGTCAGTTCTGTCAGATCTGGAAGTCCTGCCAGTGCTCGCCCTGTGACAAATTATTCTGCTGAATCCTCGCAGCAGAATTCTGCCACTTCGGCGTCTTCGTCTTCCCCTGCGACGTCTCAGCGAAGGACATTTGATCTCGCGATGGGCCTGGCCCTTCTCAGGCAGCTTCGTTCTCACGACTAACCGTTTCGACGAGGGTCTCCAGCCATGGAGATCGTTGCCTGTGAGCTGGAAAACTTGAGCCCAACTCAGTTCGGTGGTGGTGTGCCTACACGTGGGCCGGAGTGCACACTTGATTCAAAAAAATGTTCACCACGCGCGCAAACAGCGGAAAAAGTACTCGAAAGGGTCACCATGGTCACACTACGTTTTTCGTTGAGCACAACAGATTTTCTTTAGGAATTTTCGTCACTTCCAGATGGCTCAGATTCCGAAAGATCTTTACGAATTTTCGCTATGCACAACCTCTCTATTAACTCGTTAGAGTTAGCACTTCGTTATATATATGGCTTTTACAGTACTATATTTATTGTCTCCACCTTTTCCTATTTTCCGGTGGTGTGAACACGGCATTTGCTGGATCTTCCACTTCTGCTGATATAGAAGCCCTGTTGTTATTGAGCTGGTCCGCTATTCTCTCCTGTTGCTTTCAGGTATCACCTCACCTGTTTGTCCTGTACAAGTTTGGCCAGTTCATTGCCGACTCTCTTGCCGTACACTGCAACGTACCGCCTGTCACGCTGCTCCTGGCCAAGCGCCTGCGCTCCAACAAGTCCTTCCAGGGCAACGCCTATCGCAATTCGTTCAGCTACGACGAGCACAACCAGCATCTGTTCATGCGCATGGAGCGACTGGAGCACGCCGGGCAGTTTGTCACCATCCTCGTGCACACACTGGCACACATCAAGGTGAGATTGATTGGGATCGGTGGATTTTTTTTATCCAGCCCTAGCAAAGATCAAACTGATACAGTACTTGATGATCAGGGAGTCCCGGTGTCAGTGACAGTCAATTTTTTCTTCAGACATTTCCCTCAGTTTCAACTCCCTCAACTGATGAATGTATTACATCAATTAGAGATACCTACAGTCCACATGATTCAGAAAAAGATGATATCATGGCTTTTGGCCATAAATGGGTCAAATTTTGAGTTTTTCACAAAAAAATTCTGCACACTGGTCCCCCATGGAATGCTCCTCCAATTATGTTTCTGAAGTCCATTTCTCCGAAAAGCAAGCCATAACAAGAATAGGATTCGGCCAGGTTTTGTCTTGTAAGCACTGTATTTGGAAAGGCCATGAAAATCCAATCCGTTTCACTCCACTTGCATCACTGCATTTTCCGGTTCAAACCCCAGTTGAGGTACCTTTTTGGACCCTTTTTCTAACCTCAAATTTCGCGGCACTGCACTGTGTACGATAAAACCACGAAAAAATCGCCAAATACGGGAGCTCGCCAGAGCCAGCGCTCGTATTTTTTATGAATGGACTGTAGAAAACAACCTAATTTTAAACATTCATTCAAAATTTCCCTGTAAACACCAGTAATAACTACTCCAGTGTACATTTGATGATGTGTTCTATTTGATTGATCTAACTTGTGCGGTGTGTTGTATACTGTCCAGGCCAAGGATATGGTGAACGACGCCAACCCAAGCTTCTTGCAGGAGTTTTACGGCTGCTTGTCGTTCGTCTGTGAGGACCTGTTCTTTGCTCGCTTCAAGCAGAGCAATTCGTTTGACGCTGCCGTGTCGAATGGTGTGCCTCGTTCCGAGGCTGCCCGCACAGTGCTGGAGAGCATCTTCACGTCGGCCAACAACCATGCCGAGCGAAGCAGCGGAGTTGCCGAGCTTCTGGATGTGAAGATTGCAGCGCATGTGGCCGGTGACGGTGGGCCGTTCCAGAACACTAGCTCCACGCTGACTGAGCGTATTGACCAATACAGCAGTGTGCAAGCGGAGAACGACGTCCAGAAACTCATGAAGGACATTGAGGAGGAGAGTGCCATGACTGAGGACATGGAGCAGGAAGGAACTGGCCAGCGACCAACCAACTACTTAGACGATCGGTTGGATGCGCTCCTGACGGCAGCTGCACCCTCCGGTGACAAGCAACCGCGGGGCATGACCCGCAATAACACACCTCGCCTGCTTGCGGTGAAGCAGAAGCTTGGAGCTCGACGCATGCCGTCTCTTGTCTCGCAGCTGACTCACCAGTCATCGGGACTTGTCCTGTATGGTTCTACGAACCAGGCTGATTCCAGTGACATGATGAGAACATGCCTACAGGTACGGACTTACCGGCTTCAGTTGCAGTTCAATGTGTTTGCAGTGTAGTGTGTACAGTTTGGTTTAAAACCTTTCTTTAAAAATCATACCCGTTCATCTCAGCTTTGCCGCGTTCTAGATGAGCCCAACTAATTACTATTGGCCGAAAGTAAACTTTAAAAAATAAATGACTGAGAAAGTGATTCAGATTGCGCTTGGTCACTGACTGCTTTACTTTCCAAAGCCTACATAGCTGGGATTGTTCACACATTGGTTTTGCTTTCCCTCTGGTCTGTTTTGTCACTTCAGATGCAGGTGAATGAGCTGCAGAACTTGGCCGACCGCGTCCACGAGGAATATGCTGATCTGGCACGAAGATGCTTGGACATCAAACAGAAAGTAGCGGAGTTGGATGAGCAACTGGTGTCCCACAATGAAAAGTTACAATGTGAGTTCCTTGCCTTGAATACTAGCACCGGCACGAGACGTATGCCATCACAGCTTGTCCATTGTTTTGGGGTAATGAACTTATGCTTTTGCTAGATAGCATACACTTGCCTAAGTGTGTTTGTTACGGTCAGCCTACATCCTTGTTATCCCTTCATCATGCACATGTCTATCCTCTGCCTGCCGCTGCAGCACTGACTGAGGATACGGCCGAGCATCGCGATGCCATGGCGGCCACGCGCCAAGTCACCAGCAAACTGACGACGGCGCGCGCTCAGCTGGCCACCACCAAGCTGAAGCAGAACGCGGCTGGCCAGCGTCTGGAGGCCTTCCGCCGCGAGCTGCAGGAGAAGCAACACACGCTGCAGCAGCTCGGCGATGGTGCTGCCACTGGTGCTCGGAGAAGATCCGTGTCTCATGCCATGCCTCTAGCCAGCGCAAGTACAGTGCTACCTACGATGCCGGAAGAGTAGAAATACTGACGTTCTGATCCATGGCTGCTGCTGGCTTGGCTTGGCTGACTACATGAAAGAGCACTAATATCAATGCCCCCAATCAATTACTTGAGCAATAGCAATGAGTGACAACTACCAATAACTATCTACCAGACAAACTGTTTAGGGACAACACTGCAGTTGCTGAGCAAATCAAGGCGACTGCCAGTATTCCAGTGGATCACGGCTCTTGACTACTACTGTACATGAACACTTCAGGCACTTTTGCCACTGGTGCATTGCGACGACAACACATTCCTTCAGAATGTGGCTAGTATGATGTGTACATGTCTTAACTTGATTTCCTTTCAAATGCTCTATACATGTATGTGACGGTACTCTTTGCTGTCATTCTGTGTCTATTTTTTTCAGCAGTCCTAACTTTTGGCAACTTCAAAGTGCATATTGATCATTAATAAAACTTATTTTCTTCCATAACCGTCATACCAGGTTGTGAATGATATCATAGCATACGGTTCTTATCATGAACAGCACTCTAATGGATATCATTGCCGATAAGCAGGGTTTGCATAGTATAAATTATTAGTATTCCAATTTCTAAACTATAATTTTGTGTACGCTTCCCACAAAACAAATGTTCCTACGCATCAGCCGACTTCATTTGCAAATATTCTTAGCAGAGTTGTGCACGATCCGACCCCACAAAATTCTATTTATGGCATTCTATTTTATCCTCGCCAGAGTCACCACTGCTGCTTGTGCCATGCACTTCAACTAACTATTTTACTGCATTCACCTCTCTATGACATTGTTTGCTATAAGCTCGCCGACACCAAAGCAGTTGTATAGAGCAAATACTTCTAACAGAATATCTCAATGCCGAAAAACTGCATGGAGAAGTTATAAGTTATGAGCTTGCTTGTAAGACGTGGACTAGGCCAATTCCTCTTCCGGTGTTCGAAATGGTGTGCTGATGATGAGCGGCTTGCATGCCACTGCTTCATCAATCAAGGATGGTTTTGCAAAGAAATAATTGACTATCACCACAGGGTGCCAGCCGATCATCAGTGATCATTAGCTCTTCCTCGTATTCTAGTTCAACTATCAGAATGCATGACCGTGCTCATAACAGGGCACGGCAGAACAGCAATTGAACGTAACTTTCCATTCAGGTCATAGTACCCAAAGAACTTCATTGAAAAATCCATGATTATCCGGAAAGTTGAATAGAAGAATCCAAAGTCAACGCATGCATGTAGATCATAGTAGCAGCAGCAGCAGCAGCAGCAGCAGCAGCAGCAGTACTAGTACTAGTAGTTTCAACTCTGCCCTGGGAGGATTGACTGTGGTGGCATGACATTTGTCGGCGGTGTTCCTGCTACAATAGACACCATGCTCGGTCAGTAGAACGTTGTCCTGGTGCGGTGCATGGGGAAGTCGAGCGACTGGTCGGTCAAGTTCATGTCCTTCGATGAGTACCACAGGTGAAAGTCTATCATGATGCTGTTCAGGGGCAAGGAACACAACTCATCTGTACCACTCCTCTGCTGTGCTTGCCTGCTATCTCTTCGCTTTACTAGCTCGCGGCGCACCAATTCAACGGACCAGATGGTGGCCGCGCGGATCTCCAGCTCCCACCGGTGGCCCACGTCCACCAAGCGGCGCTCCCGCAAGTGGGACATGAGCGACTCAGAGTACTGGAGGACGCCATGATGGAGTAGGACCTGTGGAACACGGTAGTCGGCAAACATAGTGATGCAATCAATGTCCTCAAACCTGCCAAAGCTCTTGTTCTCAAAGTACGCCCATAGGTCAGCTATGAGGAGCTGGGCTCTCTTGTAGAACGCACATGGCGAGCCATTGAAATCGGCTTCATCGCGGAATGATGGGAAGTTAGTGACAACAATTTCCAATAACCTTTTCGCGCTATGGCCACACGAGTCCACGCAATTGGAGAAAGAGCCATGAAACTTCTCCATAAGCACCTTGCCCGCAGCGCTTAGATGCTGCTGTCGAGTCTCCAATAGCGATAGCTCAACAGATGACGATGAACGAAATATATGTCTGACGTCATCAATGGTAATTTTGGCTAGGTATTCAGCGGACAACAGGGGTATTCCCTCGTCCAGTGCACGTTTCACCGCTGAGCACAACGCCCAGAAATCGATATGGTCCTCTTCACGATATTTCACTGCATAATCCACGCTGGGATCATCCGACCAGTACGAATAATTCATGAGATCTATGAAGAAGATCCAGTCCACTGCGGTCCTCTCCGGCGTTTGCGCGTACACAATGCTTTTCCACACCGCCGTCTTCATGCTGAAGCTTTGTGACGAAATCAACGTCTCCAGTTTGTCAGCCAGGGATTGAATTCCGTCAAGCAAAATGCTCACATCCTTGGAGTGGCCAGTTATGAATTCTGCTGACTCAAGAGGCCCCAACCTCTTGGATTGCTCCATCGTAAAGAAATTTCCGAACCCACGAATCGCAATGTACCCGTTGATAGGTTTTCTCAGAAACCGTGAGGGCCAGCCCCTAGCCGGCCAAACGCTCTAGTGATAGTTTGCCTGAAAAGGACCCTTCCTCCCAGACGTAGGCTAGCTAGCGATGCTGTTAGCTCGGTTTGCCTTGGTGCCGGTGGATTGGTCCGTGGTTGTCTCCGTCCTTCTAAGTTCTAGTCATCATGATGATCAATCGGGTATTCGAAAATACCATCAAAATACCTCCGCAGCTGCTAGTAAGTAACAAATAATTAATCGTAGAGTCTACTACATAATCATTGTAGTAGTGGCGGCTACACGCGCGATGACAGACTCTCAGTGATTAGTCTGTGCGCAGCGGTGCATATGCACCGCGCGCTGCGCGGTGACGTGGTGACGCATCGACCGAGACGCTGTGTAGTCTGAGTGCGTTCGATTATGCACGCGAATCGATTCGCGAATCGATTCATGAATCGATTCGCGCTATTCACATCAACCCATGTGAATAGGGTGAATGGATTCCGAATCGATTCCAGGGCTCATGACGTGAAATCGAACGACTTGAATGCATGCGAATGGATTCATAAATCGATTCAAGTGCATAATCGAACGCAGCCAGTAGTAACTAGTATTGTGAGTACGGATCGGATCGGATCGGACAGGAAGGATGCAGGGCGGCGGTAAAACCCGACCCCCCCCCCCCCCACATGCACATTATGATTGTAATAATTCTGTAGCCTTTTGTAGGTACGCCGATACCCGCGCGTTCCGGGAGCGAGGTCTGCAATGGGCAATCATGTACAATCTGCATGAGAAATAAATCCTCTGACCCTGAACTCAACACGCCATCATGTTGCAATACAACTGTTGTCATGTCAAAGTAAGCTATGAAATCCATCACGTCAGGAGCAAGTCTCGCGGCTAGCTGCAAGCAAAAGTTCTGCAAAAACTGCCCGGACGGTGCTCACCCTGATCCGACGTTCTTGTGAAGCCGTCCTAGGCTATGGAGCACAAGGTTGACTGTAACAAAGGCTAATATGTAATAACAATGACTGATTAACGATTACTAGTATGCACCAATCGGGTGCAAGCCCCCATATATAGCACGCGTTAAAGAACTACATGCATGTACATGTACAGAACATGACTGCATGGGAAATTCTCAACGGCAGCACTGCTGCTAATCATAAGCCAAGGGGAGCATTCTGGAATTATTAGATTGCTGGGTTTGAGGTTGCTTTTCAGGTTCACTCCACTCAGCGCTTGGGGGGGGATGAGGAGACACCACTGTTCTACATCACCCATGTCGTGTTCAAGGCAAGGAGCAAAGCAGCCTTGTGCGATGCAGCCGATGCTGCATGTGGTTCCTCGATCCCAGGCTACACGTCCCGGAGCCAAAGGAGACTTCTTGTTTACCATTTGCTCTCATAATGTCACATAATGTGGGCGCTGAGCCATCGGGGAAGTTGATAGGATGAATTGTACGGGTCATTCGATGGGGCCTGTGAAAGAAAACTATGGATGTCGTTATGATTACCTCATCAGTTGAGAGCTTCGACAAAGCCACAGCACAGCAGGATCGGCGGAAGCAGTTTTTGATTGGTCCGGCCATACCCTAACCGTTCAGGCCATGGCCTGACCAACCCACGGTCCGTTCCGCTGGGCCTGCACAGCGATGCACTAGGTCAAGCGAAACCGCCGACTCGTGCTGTATACTTCAACTGCCCCGGCAAAGGGCCGTCATACATTTCTCCTGCACACACACAATCATGTGCTGTGCAGTGTTTACCAGTGAGTACTAAAAAAACGGTTTTAGTACAGCCTGGTGGTGAACACTGAGTCAAGTCATAGCACATGTCAAAATAGCATTTATGCTTTGCACCATTTTCTACTGTGCAAGGGTAAATCAATGAAAACGTTCTTTGTGTGATCATCAAGTAAGTAAGTTGTAACAGAGAGAATCTGCAGCTTGAATCTGCAGCTTGAATACCTCATGCCAGTCATTTATTGTCATAGCAGCTTGGTTGCCACCGACAACACGCATGTTGACAGGAGCCAGTTTCAAATTGCCCAAGGCACTGCAGTGTAGGCAACACACGTACTCGCAATAATGCATGTGCATGTGCCAAGCAGAGGACTACTGTGGAGAGGCTCCATGCATAGCTGACTGATAGCCAAACCCTGGGCAAATACCGTAAGGAAATCGCCCATCCACTGGTGAAAATAATGGCAAATGCACCCTCAGGCACACAGCAGTGGCAAATGCACCCTCAGGCACACAGCAGTGGCAAATGCACCCTCAGGCACACAGCAGTGGCAAATGCACCCTCAGGCACACTGCATGAGTGACAGGATGGACCACAAGTCGCCGCAAGCCCAGTACCGACTAGATTGCATGAGTTGTAGGACGGGACAAAAGTCACCATCAGTCCAGTACCAGTAGGATTGCTGCTGGGATCGTGATCAGGTACTGCTGCCCTGGGTGCACGATTGATGGCGAATTTGCAAATTCCCACGACGGCTGGGTGCAAGAGCCAGACTGCGTTACTGATGTTCATCATGCACTTGACACCAATGGGCAAACAGCATTGCCATTCACGCGGCTATGGCGTGCTAATCAAAGCACTGGTTGGCCCCAGTCCTGGAAGCCACTGTGACGTCTCCAACGGGTATGAACATCTTGAACTGTAGCCAATACTCGTGTACTGTTCTGGTAGGGAAACCGGGGTGCAGCTAAACTGGGGATTACCCTATCAGGCTACCCCTACCGGGTTCCGATCGGAGCAGTGTGGCGAGCGATGGACTCCATTCCCCCGTTCCCAAGCACTAGTAGCACTCAGTAGAAGATCGTTCTTGTCCGATGCATTGGGAAATCCAGTGACTGGTCGTTCAAGTTCAAGTCTTCAGCCGAGTCCCACAGATAGAAGTCGATCATGATGCCATTCAGTGGGAATATTTGTGACACTGCCGCGTCAGCACTGTCCACCACCAGTGGTTGCCCATCACGTCGCTTGACTAGCTCGCGGCGCACCAATTCCACGGACCAGATGGTGGCCGCGCGGATCTCCAGCTCCCACCGGTGGCCTACTTCCACCAGGCGTCGCTCCCGCAAGTGGGACATGAGCGACTCAGAATACTGGAGGACGCCATGATGGAGTAGGACCTGTGGGACACGGTAGTCGGCAAACATAGTGATGCAATCAATGTCCTCAAACCTGCCAAAGCTCTTGTTCTCGAAGCAAGCCCACAAGTCAGCGATGAGAATCTGCGCTCTCTTGTAGAACGCACAAGGTGTGCCATTAAAGTCGGCTTCATCACGAAATGATGGGAAATTGGCAACAATTAGCTCTCGCAATAGCCTTGCACTGTGCCCACAGGACTCCACGCAGTACGAGAATGACCCGTTGAACTTCTCCATAAGTACCTTGCCCGCAGTGTTCAAATGCTGCTGGCGGGTCTCAAGTTGCGAAAGCTCAGCAGATGAAGATGAACGAAATACGTGTCTAACGTCATCAATGCTCATTTTTGCTAGATATTCAGCGGATAACAGCGGTATTCCCTCGTCAATGGCTCGTCTGACAACCGAACACAGTGCCCAGTAATCGATGTGATCCTCTCCGCCATATTCCACAGAATAATCTACACAAGGATCGTCAGACCAGAACGAAAAGTTCATGAGATCTATGAAAAAGATCCAGTCCACGGTAGTCCTGTCCATGGCCTGAGGGTGTAGGGTATGCTGTTTCCATGACTTGAGACTGTAACTCTGTGATGAGATCAGCTTCTCCAGTTTGTCAGCTAGAGACTGAACACCATCAAGCAAAATTGTCACATCCTTCGATTGGCTGGATACGAGCTCAGCTGATTCCAGAGGACCTAACCTCTTGGGCTGTTGCTCCATAATAAAGTTACTTCTCTTGGCTACCAGAGAAGAGGTTTGATCCCTCTGCTTCCGAAGCAATTCAGCTATACTACTCGCAGACAACTGAATCTTCGGTATTGCCCTACATCTGGAAATCATTTTTGGAGGCCTTCTTGCACGAGTCATTTCGTTCACGTGTTTCGCTTCGACGTCACGTCATGCATGCACACGGCGTTATCATCTTCTACTCCAGCAGCGTCATCATCCTCTTTTTCTTTGCTGGCCAAGCCAGCATGCAGTACATCATGCTACATGTAGCTGTCGCCACAATGCGTTGTTGCAAGAGTACATAAACCCCAGGGAGTCGTCAAATTTGACGACTCCCTGATAAACCCGTTACCGTTTATGTACTCTTGGTTGTTGGCTAAGTAGTTATAGCAAGAGTCATAGTAGTGGGTTATGGACTCTTGGTTATAGACTATACCATGATTGTATTTTTGTTCCACTCTTGTTGCCTACAGGTATCACCAAGTCTAGAGTGCATAGATCCCGGAGCTTATGCACTCTTGGTATCTTGTGGCAAGCCAGAGTAAGTTACAAAAGCTGAGCTGGTTGCAGGACGGCTGTACGTTGCGGCTCATGTGCTGACACCAGGGAGTAGTACAATGTTGTACTACTCCCTGGCTGACACCACACTGGGAGCCTTATGTCCGCTCTCTTTCCAAACGCAGACAAGTGAAGCGGAAATCATTCATATTGCACTACATGTAAGTCATGAGTGGTGATATGTTCACTGACCAGCGTTCAGACAACCTGAACAGCTCATGCGGGTTTGACTAAGGGTCTGATTAGTCCGATATAATTTTAAATATGCATTGGTGGTTAAGCATAGCGTAGCACATTCAGGTTACAAAAAGCGGAAGGAAACAAAAAAGTTGAAAAAACCCATCCGTGAGATACAACACTGCAGACATACCTAACAGTGGTAATAAGACAGACAACAAGCAATGCCCAGAGCCTCATGTCATGTCAATATACTTGCTACTAGTATGCTACGAGATAACTTTGTGTGTTTTGTGAAAGCATTTCAGCATGGATGCCAGGTAACATTCTTGCCTGGCGAAAGGGCAAATATACATTATTGCTCTGTTGCACATATGTCATTGTTCTGCAGGTGAAAATTGGGAGCAGACTGAGAAGAATGAAGTATTTTTTAGACAAGATTCGCAAAAACAAAAAATTACGAAAACTTCAAGACAACAACAGCGTGCCCATTGAGGTTGTTGAATGCAGATCCTGTGCATTATGGCAGCGAGCGGTGGCGGTGCACTTGAGATGTACTACGGAAAAGCAAGGTCAGCAACAGAAGCAGCAGCAACTTCACAGTGTACACAGGTGTCTACCTACCATGTATCCCCCGTGCCCATATATAGGTAGGAAGTAGAGAAGGTGAAACAAATACACACTGATGCTGATCAAGACGGTAGCTGTGTGGCTATACGCAGCTATGCGGAACGAACACTATTACCGTGCACCGCTCTCCATTGACTTCATCATGTCGTCACAGATAGCTGTCAGCTTGCTCTTGTCGTCGTCCTGTCAGCAAACAAGATGATCAGCAGGGTACACACTGTTGTGCATACGGTCAGTCGTCATAGACAACGGTCTGACAATTATTTAGGGACAGTTCGGGGGGGGGGGGGGGGGGGGTTACCAATGTGTGTGTGTGTGTGTGTGTGTGTGTGTGTGTGTGTGTGTGTGTGTGTGTTTTAACAGCCACCACTCACCCACTCTTTCTGCAGGTAAAACATTCCTGCAAGATATGAATTCAAGCTTCCCATCGATCAGATTAAACGAGCCCCCAACGAGATCTTGAAAAAAAAAACCAGTGATAACTGTGGATGGCCCCTTTGTGCAGTGGCCTACAGTCAACCAGTATCATACACTGGACTATATCCTTACAGCTCTTTGGTCCTCTTTGCTTCTTATAAATTATATTTTCATTTTAAGCACGTGTAAAGGGCCATGGCTATTTCTAGCACTTCAGACAGCGTACGATACCAGCCGGATCTTTTAATCTGGCTTGCATGGTGCGCTGTGTCAGAACACATTTTTCAAGTTCACATAATATTATTTTATTTGTCTTGGTGCCAGGGACTAGTGTTGGCATCAACATTCAGAATTTACTAATCAGCTACACAAAAGAAGGTGCCATGAAAAAGGAGTTATGCAGCCTGGCGTACCTTCTGACGGACTGACCGATGCAGGTTGTCAATCAAGATGGTGGTCTTTTTCACGTTGGCGTTGAGAATAGCCACTTCAGACGTGTGATCTTTGCGAAGCTGCTCCATCCTGCTGTTGGCACTGGAGAACATAAACATGAGAATAGTTGATACTGATGACAGTGGTATTGCCTTATTGTGTAATGATTGAACCATCGAATGCCTGTAGTCTTCAATCTGACACTTTGCCCAGAATCACCAGCAGCAAAACCTGCAAGGGAACCACTCCGATAAGCTTACCGATTGTCAGAGAGGACGCCGAGAAGCATGGCGGACAGGTGCCATTTTCCTGTCATTGGAATGCGGATAAGGATGTGAAATCGATGCTCTGGTGAGCCTTGATCAGTGAGCACAGCCAGGTTTCACTGCACTCACACAGGCATGTGAATGCCTTTGAAGGTTTCAAGGACCTTATGCCATTTGTACAGATCCACGAAATCCCGTAGAATCCCGTAGACCCGGTAGGGTGTTCATTGTGTGCTATGCATGCGCATTTGACCTTTTTAGCGTCATAATTCAATGACCAGCAATCGCTTTTCCAGCTTCTTCACTTTGGTTAGAACTTAGAACTAATGACTAGCTAGATCTTTGTCAGAAAAGGTTTTCGTATGAAATGCCTTCAGGCCCCATTTCTTAGTGGAAATAGCAGAAAACACAATAGGGCCCTGCACATTCAACACCCTACCGGGTCTACGGGATTTCGTGGATCTGTACAAATGGCATAAGGTCCATTGTGCATTGCCAGGTACGCCAGCAGCAGAGTAAACTACAGTTAGGGTATATTATGTTGAAAATGATATGGTGGAGAGTGGCCGGTCTCGAACAATCCCATATACCAGGAAGATCTGCCGACGAGCACCGGGACTTACCCTGTCAGCTTCTCCTCTGCGCTTTCTTTCAAACGTCGACATTTGACAGCGGCCTCGTCATACAGCGTCCTGGCAGCCTTCTCTTTTTCCTCTGCGTCAGCTACACCCTGAAAGAATCCGTAAAGTGAAGATTTAAAACAATGTGAATGCGTGTAAGGGTATTAGAGTCCAGTTCAGAAACGCCAACATTGTTTATTATTCTATCCTTGAGAAACAAAAGTATCCCGCCAAGAAGGCAACTTACCGATTGTAGCGCAATAAGCGTGTGCCGGAGCTTTTCAAACCGCGAAAAGAGATCTAGGTACGAGTTGTCGAGAGATTCGACATCTTTCCGAAGCTGCTCATTGACTCCGGCAACTTTGTTGCGTTCGTTGATGACACCAGCAATCTCAGCATCCGACTGGTCTGGAGAAAAAAAAGAAAGAAAAAAACAATAAACAAGCAGGCAGAACATTGCTGCATCCCAGGCACACTCACAAGACAGAACAAAGAAGAAACTTGAAGATTGATACTACATATAACACCACATCACCCCCCCCCCCCCCCCCCCCACACACACACACAGGGTAAGATATTCAGAAACACTTCCGTCCGATGTCCATGGAGAACACAAGCAAGCAAACACAGGCGTGCCCAAACAGTTGAAACCACACTCGACTGCTGGCAGAGACAGTGTTGCCACATCACTTTAGCCAAATATCAGTAGGATGAAAAATGCACCATCCGAGGCTTTGTCCCAGGTCCCCCATTCATAATAGCCCCAGTATACACACGCACCCATGCGACAACAATTTCACAGTTCTGAGTGCGACTCGGACTGACTTTCCGATTTCCCCCGAGACAGATGATGATTTCACTTAGCACCTGAGGAGGGAGCTATGGAAACACTCATGGTGACCACTGCGGCACAAAATCTGGATCCTGACTTTTAAACCAAGCAGAAGGCCAACATTGGGCATTTTCATGGCTGCTGTCAGCAGGAGAAGGTCAATTGTCGGCAGGTAGTGACATGCCTCCAAAATCGGCAGGCTACTGACATGTCGGCAGGTGTGGCAACACAGCAGAGAGCATATGTACATGATTCGGATTGAGTAGACGGGTGTCTAATATCAACCGCCTGGCTGACCTTTGAGTATAAAACTGACCTGTACGTTCAGCAGCAAAGGCCTGGCATTGTGTAACGGCTTGCCTGCAAGAGAATGTGCGAGGACAAGGAGAAGAAAACAATAGAATCAACTTCAATCAAGAGACACAGAGGGAGAGATACAAAAACAAGATAACAATGTCCCAAGCAATGTCCAGGTACATTTGCCTTCTACAGTGACGGTAACATGGTTGGAATGGGCAAATATATGAAAGACTATTACAAAGGATGCCGGATGGCCAGAGTTAGTAAACTGACTTGATGCAGTACCTCATTTCTTTTAGTAACTCCTCTCGCTCCACAGACTGGGTTTTGAGCGCTGCAGTCTCTGATGAAAGCCGGTCCAACTCGAGGTCGTATATGGCGCTTTCGTTGCTCATCTAAAAAGAATGCCATAGACGATAGTAGCCAGTAAGAACTTTGCACAGCCACAACAGACATTGCAAGTATGATACAATGAAAGAGCACAGTCGGCACATTGGTGCACCATTTGTCAGCCGTGTATGGAAGGCTGAGAGAGAGAGAGACAGAGAGACAGAGAGAGACAGACAGAGAGAGAGAGACAGAGAGAGACAGAGAGAGAGAGAGAGACAGAGACACAGAAAGAGACAGAGAGAGAGAGACAGAGAGAGAGAGAGAGAGAGAGAGAGAGAGAGAGAGAGAGAGAGAGAGAGAGAGAGAGAGAGAGAGAGAGAGAGAGAGAGGAGCATAGCTTTGAATAACTCGAGTGCAAGTAACGTTATCAGTGGGACTACATATGCCAGCAGAGACCATTGTGTCGATCAACATACTTGCTCCTTTGCTCTATTGACTGCTTCCGCTACAGCATCCTTGATCTTGAACTGCAAATCCGCCTCGGTGAACTTCAACTCAATGACCTTTTATGCAGCGAGGCACAGGACAAAAGGATGAAAAGATCAGAGCATTGGAATTTCGCCCACACCTGTTCATTCATACGATAAAGCTAACAAGCACAGCTGAGGATACAGTCGCGTACTCAGCAACATTCTCATACGTGACACATCCTTGCAGTTCTGCGCTGTGCGGCTGGAAGGACTAGTGGGTATTCATAATTGATTATCTCCCTTCAAACTCAAAGTATTTGGAAAGCACACGACACCGAAGGAGCTATCTCCGCCACGATATGACCTTTTTTAATTGTTATGCTGGTTCACCTACACATTCCGTGACACATCAGTGCCAAAGTCACTGTTCAAGACAGAGATGTCACTTCCATAAGGATTCTGATGTGTAAGACCAGGGTCGGGATGAGGGAAGCTATACTGTACCAAATGTACATGTAGTTGCTTTCACCTACATACAAACATGCAACAAAGAAGTTACTGCTAGACCTCATGAAGTCTGTCGTAACGACTCTTTTCGGGGAAAGCCTTCCTCCAAACAACTCGCTGTTCAGGTAAAGTAGATAGGACAGGGGAGACACCCAAAACTTACAGCAGAACCTTCATCTGCACCTGCAGCAATCCCTGCACTCTCTTCATTATCAGTGCATTGGGAAGCGGCTGTGCGTTGAAGGATCGGGGTGGCATTGTCGAGTAAATTCAGCGGAGCGTTCGGGAGCGCTCGGGCCGCGACTCCATCGGCTTTCTGATCAGCAGCGCGGCCAGAAGCATCGTCTGCCGTTGGAGTAGTCACCGCACACTGCTGTGTTGTACAGCTGGGTGGAACACCACCGGGCACTGGTGAGAACGATATAGCATTGCCTGTTGGAGTGAGGGAAGGCATTGCCAACGGAGTTGCCGAGTCCTTTAAGCGAGACACAGCCGGGCAAGTAGGCCTGGGGGTGTCAAGTTGAAGCAGATCACTGCACAGTACAAGCCAACACAAACCATACAGGAAGATCAGCTGACAGAGAAGGCATTTTAGAGGCTGTTGGAATGCACACCGTCACACACTTACACGGGTACACACGTGTATGCACACACGAGCACACACAAACATACACACACACATACATACGCACACAGGGCACACGCACATATGTGGGTGTACTCAATCTGCGCACATATGTGGGTGTAAATATTATATACACCCCCATCCACGTACAGTGACACCCACACGCACACCCACATCCACGAGCACATACGCATACAGATACACACACACACACACATATATATATATACACACACATACACATACACACACGCATGCACACATACACACACAGCACATATAAAACACATAAAACAAACAAAACACATGCATACGCGGTCAGGAGAAATGCACAAGTAACAACAGAGCAGAGGCTTGTAGCACACATCGGGGAAGAGAACTGAAAGTATGGAAAATGACAACACTGACCTGCCACTAGCTGTGCTAGTGATGCCTTCGTCAAATGCAGCTCCTGGGTTTCTGTCTGCTGCATGAGAAAAGATATGCCAATTCCAAACCATGCAGGTAGAAGCAAAGGAACAGAGCGAGGTAGAGGTGGTGCAATGGGCGCACATGTGGAGAGATTGATAAAGGAATACATCATGTACAGGGGCGTCACACACGGTACGACCAGTACGTCCATGGTCGTATCACTTTTCGTCCAGGACAGCCTGCCCAGAGCGCCTGTGGAGCGCTAAAGCGTACCCATGCCGGTCGAAAAATCTGATTTTCTTTCAGCCTGGTCGTACGACCCCCCACTGCAGCGTGACACATCGCATGTATATACTGACTTTGGTACATGTAATGTGATCAGCCCGGTGCTTTTAAATTTCCCTGTGCAAAGCAAATACAGCTGTAGTACAAACCTATACTGCAGTGTACTAGGAAATGCTTGCTGTGTACTTGCTAGTTACCTGGCAGTGGTGACGGCCTATTGACCAGGGGATCAAAGCGGACATAGAGAGACTGCCGGGCGAGCGCGGCATCTTGAGACTGGCCAGTACCCACGCTGTCCAGGAAATCCATGTCGAAATCGCTGACGCCATTGGCCGAGAACATCTCGCTGGCACAGCGGAACTCCTCCTCGTCGTAGCAGGGCAGACTGGCCACCAGCTCCTCGACGACATCCCGGGCGTACTTCAAGTAGGATTCGTGATCGGCCTTAGTTACAACCGTGCTGCGCTCACTCCATCTCTCCAGGTCGTCAAGATCACGCAGCTCGGACCACGGATCACATGACCTAACCTCCTGCTGGTCTTGACTCGGCGTTTGCTGGGCACTGTTGTTACTCAGCGGGATGGGACAATTGCTTCCTACGCCTGGCGCTGCCGAGAAAGCTGCGGATTCGGGCCGTGCTGGTGTAATGAATGTCACCTACAGAACAAGGCGAAAGAAGCACAGGTGAAAACCCGTCAGGGGACCATTCAGTTCCAGCAACCACCTGGTGTCTGCCAGACGACTATGTTACTATATTCTTTGGCACCTAGAGAATGTGTTGAATGTGCGGGTGTAAGAGACCACCTGCACCCATGCTGTGGACCCTGGCTAGCGCCAGGCGCTACAAATCGCATCATCTTTTGCATAGCTTCGGGAACAACAGGTTGCGTGCCTTCAGCCCTTGGTTACACCAGACGCACTACATGACTTTGTGACGTCGTCGTTTGAACGGCGTCGGAATTAAAAATCAAAATCCAGAAGGCGGAACAGGACTGAGAGATTACTCAAGAGTTTCACGCTCAAAACTCAAGCATGAGCAGAGTCCAAGAAGTATCAGCAGATTTATGTCTATTGACTTCATATCAATGCAACCAAAATGCCCAGGAATTTACTTTTAACTCCAATACTAGCAGGCGTAATGAAGACATCTGCATTCATGCTATTGGTTTAACTTAAAGACACAGACTTGATATGATAACGAAAAGCCACCGCATCATGTCTTCACTCGTTCTCACTTTACGCTTTTGCTTGCTACTCTCCGGTTCCATGTTCTCCTTGCCATCCAAGAGTGGCGGAGGTAGGATCTTCTTGTTCACATCTGATACAGCGCCAGGGGGCGACGCAAATGGGGATAGCAGTGACATTGCTAGCTTTAGTAGAACAGCCTCTGTGTAGCTTTAGTAGAACAACTGTCCACAAGTCAAAGTGCAAGGAAAACTAGTGATCGAACAGTGATTAGTCCTCAGATTCAGAATCAAACTACATGTAGTAAATGCACAAAGCAAACTGTGTCTCACACTTTCTGATCCAGATCAGGATCAAAGCTGTTATGTAGCTCGAGCGGCTGTGTGGAATGACGAGTTTTGTTTTTGAAATATCGCGGTACTACTACCATGGGAACAAGAAGTGGGATTCCCCCCTCGCGCGCGCAGTACATCATGATCATGACCAGAAAAATGATGCGGGTACGTACGTAGAGAGAGGTCTACGCTGTCAGCCTGTCACTGACGACACGTGACATGTAGATCTGCATCTGTCTACGCACCAGGCCCTACACGTACACATACCGTATACACCGTATTTTAGGACTACAAGTTCAACTTAGTACAAGTAGTACTAGCATACGGTATATGTGTAGGGCTCCCTGCTACACACACGTACACACACACACACGAACAGCTACGTGCACACACGCAGACACAGTCTGACTGTTATGTACACAGACATAACAGTCACACACACGTACACATGAGATCTGCATTTCATTTGCGCGGGGTGAGATCGTCGACATGTTTGTTCCCACGTAGATCACGATGTCAGTCATACGGACATACACATAATGCCATTTCAAATGAAGGATGGAAGGAGTGATCAGATGCAAGATGATGCACAGGCTGCAAGTAATCGGTGTTGTTTATATTTGTGGTGCGTGTAGAGGTCTATGTGTAGAAAGAATCTGAGTAACAGACAAAGAACACACATGCGATATCTAGTTTTCGTGATCCTCAGCGTTTCTTGCGATTGTGCCTAGTGTACTTGGCTCTCCACCTCTCAGTGCTTGAATTGGTAAGGCGTCCATCTCTCTTCGGTCCTTTCTTCTCCTTTTTTTATTTATAGTTTTGTACTTGTCACTTGATAGTACTGTTATAGTTACCCCAAATTGTAATCAGTATTTCTTGAGTCCCTCGTATATGTGCATTTGTTACTCGTACATTGCGGCAGGGGAGCGTGATATTGTGTAGGCCGGATGCAGGACAAAATAGAGTAGCTCGTGGATATGTAATCAATTTGGGAAGTGGATTCATGTTTGTTCATGCGTAGCATGTGTGTGTGTGTGTGTGTGTGTGTGTGCGTGTGTGTGTGTGTGTGTGTGTTTGTCCATAAATATTAGTAATTAGGATTTGAGCATGTGTTTGTGTGTGTTTGTTTGTTTGTCCATAAAAATTGATTATCAGGATTTTCTTTTATACAAGCGTTTTAATTTGTATATAAACATTCACTCAGTGCTTTCCATAGCATACCTAGAGGCTTTGGTACGTCACAAGAGAACCATAAGCCCATGCATATGGCAGCGTTGTTCTCACTGCACAAGCCCATGTCCGCTGTACTACGGCTGCTCAATACCGGAGCTGTACCAATCTTGGTGGATTGTAGTCACAACTAGCTGTGCTTGTAGTTACATTTTTTTGGAATTTCAGACATTTTGACTGGAACTAGGTTCGAGAGTGAAAACTATTGTCGAACTTTCGCAACGTTAGACTGAAAAGGCCAGGAAAGTCGGAGAGACTTTATGCTCCGCACATGCATGTTTCGACCAGTTGGTGGCAAACGCACGAAGTGACGTGAGGCAGAGTTTAACCCTTCCACTGTTGTACCATGTGCTGCGTCACGGCTAGGTCCTGTCCCCGGGGAAAATCGCGGAAAAAATCGCAAAAAACGCGGCATTATATGGCATAATTTGCGGTGAATTTGCGGTAAATATGCGGTGAATATTATTGATATCTCGCGGCGGCAAGTTTGCAGTTGATATGAGGCAATTTTCAGTGAGTATGTAGTGAAATCAATCAGTTACAAGTCTCTGGTGTAAGCACTCGTCATATTTGAGTACAAAGCCGCCACGATGAGACGTTGCTGACCGAACAGTGCACTGTGTGTACGTGTAGTGCAACAAGAAAGTTCAAAAAACGCGGGAAAATCGCGGAAAACGCGGTCTTTTAAAAAATCCCTAAAAACGCGGAAAAAACGCGGCCGCGGAATCGCGATTTTCCCCGGGGACAGTAGGTCTTTTCGAAAATGCCCTACGACATTCGAAATGTGGTAAAAGGCTCGAGTTCCACAGGTCTGCTGCAGAAGATTTACTAGAAACTGTTCGAACAGTAAAAATTCGATAACACCTCTCTTGTGTCCACTTCTAGTAATACTTCTGAACTATGTTCCATGAAACTACTAAGTTTTGCAATTACTAGTACGCTTTTGATGTGTTGATGTATGCAGGGAATAATTTAACCGGTATCGCATCGCAATTTGCTACGCAATTCTTCTGAGATGCAAAGCAACTTCAGAAATGTGTCGCAGAAAACTGCGATGCATGCTGATTTTACACTGTACCCAATGATACACAGTGTGCATGCTAGGGGCGTGTCTTAGGGATGAAATAGATGCACAAAGTTTCGAAAGTGCTGAGCTATCCTGGCACCGGGTTAGGTTTGCATCTAAGGTATTTCAGTTTACTTGTGGCCTGAGCTTGCACTCTGATCAGCTGTTCAGAAGGACAATGCTACCAAGTGTTGGAAGAAAATTGCTATGCAACTTGTTTGAATTGCTATTCAAGTTTGATTTTGCGAAATTAAAAGTAAATTATTCCCTGGTATGTGTACGTGCATGTCTGCATTTGTGTGTGTGTGTGTGTGTGTGTGTGTGTGTGTGTGTGTGTGTGTGTGTGTGTGTGTGTGTGTGTGTGTGTGGTGTGTGTGGTGTGTGTGTGGTGTGTGTGTGTGTGTGTGTGTGTGTGTGCTTGCTTGCCTGTACAAAATACTTGTTTTGGCAAGCAGGCCACTGCGTGCCCTTCGAGTCCTTGCTGTTTCAGATTTGGCCACCGAAGACCATGGCGGAGAGTGCGAATGTTGTCGTTGAAGCCATCCATAAGCCGCCATCAAGCACCAGCCAGCACTCGGAAGCATATCTCCCTGCCGTTGCAGGAGAAGGACGCCTGTACATGAAAGAAGAACCAGCGTTGGCCGGCGCATGGGGTGGGGGTGAGGTCACACTCCAGGACGGAACTGGGGCAACCTCATCAGAGGAAGAGGAGGTTGATGCAATGTCTACGAATGCCGGTGCAAGTGAAATGCTGCTGACTGCAACAACCGGCGCCAGTGCGTACTTCAACAGGGCAGAGAGTAGCGCTATGAAAGATGCTGAGGCCCTGGACAATGCCGAGGAAGATGGACGACTGGTCATCATGGAAGACACTGAGGATAGCAAGTTTCTGCTCAAGCAGTCAGCATCACCGATGCCTAATCCCAGGACCAGTGCCAGTGCCAGTGGTGGAGTAGCCTGTGAAATCTGTGGCAAGGTGTTTCGTCAGGAGAATTACCTGCACGTGCACATGCGAACGCACTACGGTGTGAAGCCCTATGTGTGCGAGCAATGTGGCAAGGCTTTCACAAGGACGTCACTTCTTGCTGAGCACAAGCGCCTGCATGGCAATGACTTCCAGTTTGTGTGTAACATTTGTGGCAAGAGCTACCGCTGGAACAGCTCTTTGCAGCTGCACATGCAGACGCACACAGACAAGAAGGATCATGTGTGCTACATCTGTAAGCGTGCTTTCCGCTGGCGCATCGCACTGCGCCGGCACATGACAGAGCATGCAGAAGAGTCGCCCTTCAAGTGTGACACGTGCCAGAAGTGCTTCACGGACTCCTACAGCCTGGCGCAGCATGCTCGTGTGCACACGCGCGAGCGGCCATTCACGTGCCCTGATTGTGGACGGACCTTTCGCTGGAAGCACCAGATCACCCAGCATGCGTGCGCCATGCGTTCTGACGGTAAGACTAAGACTAAGAGCAGCTCTCCGAAGACCGGCAGGAAAGCTAGCAGTGCAGCCGTACAGACTAATCCTCCTGGTCGGTCAAGGCGCTCCAATGCTGGAAATCTGTACACCCTTCGCAAACAGATGGCCGCGCAGTCGGACGGCGAGGGTGACGGGGCACCGTCTTTTCTTGCTCAGCAACCTCCCGCGTGTGATCAGTCTAGAAGTGCACTACTTACTCCTGGTGCCAGCACGCCTGTTGTGCTCTCACTCAGCAGCCCTAGTGGCCTGGAGTACACGTGTAGCCTGTCTAATGTCTCATCGCAGTGCAACCTATCCTCTGTTGCTGCTAATGCCGGCATTCTGAGCGACGCGTTCAAAGACTCGGAGAAGCAGTCGCTTCTGCCGTCGACTGACGCCCGTGCACATGTTGCAATCGACGCTCACGGCCAGAAGAAGCTGGTGTTGACCTTACCGCAGGAAGCTTTGGATGTACTGCTACGAAACCAGACACCCTGTTTCCGCCAGGCACCCGGTGTTGCAATGGGCAGCAATCACGGCATGCTTGAAGACACTAGCACGGCGTTCACAGTAGAAGCGGTGGACGACTGTGGTGTAGCCCATGGCGAAGCGGCGCTGTTTCATCTTCAGAGCATGCCAGTGCCGGATGTGACCCTTGGCACGCCGCTAATGCTTTGATGCCGCACCCCATGCCCGCCACGCCAGCTCCTCTTCTTTCCGATGGTAAAGCCATGTAGAGCCATGTAGGTTAGTGATGGTACACTATGACTGTCATTGATGTGGCGAAATTTGTTTGAGACCTGGATTCTATCTGCTAGAGGGAACACGCTGAGTTGGTTGTCTTCCCTCTGTGTGCAAGCCTGTACAAAATATTCTCTTTTTTTAAAGAAATCAATCCGCTCTCTTGTACATGCTTACTCACAGTCTTTTTTAATCCTCTCTGCTGTGTATAGCGTTGCCGCTGACCAGTTGTTTGTGTCTTGTGTTTGTCTATCCACATTGTACATACGCGCGTGTGGTTAGTGTGAGTGTTTCTAGACTAATCTAGTGTCACCGTTGAACCCGGACATACATGTACGTTGACCATGAAACTGATCCTTTTTTTTAATATCCCAAAATATTTTAATCCGTTTTTATTTCCAAGGTCCACCGATGAAAGATGATACAATTGTGTTTACTTGTGCTCGTCCGTTCTTTGCTTCCCAGCCTGATTTTGCCAGGGCAATAGTCTATGTAATAGTTATACGAGTATATTCACTAGATTGGGTGCCATGTCTCAGACTACTGTAAATCAACAAATTTTGGCCGGTGAGAAACTTTGGCCGATCTCCAAATGAAACTTTTGGCCGTGATCAAACTTTGGCCGATTGGGGTTCAATCTTCCATCATTTGACTCTATGACAAACTTTGGCCTGCGATTTACTTTGGCCAGTTGGCACCAAGCAGCGAAATCAAATCGCCAGCGAAAATTAGTTGATTTACTACTTATGATTGTGTGTATGTGGTGTGTGTGTGTGTGTGTGTATGTTGTTAGTGTATGTGTGTGTGTGTGTGTGTGTGTGTGTGTGTGGTGTGCAAGTGTATGGGTGGCTGGGTGGCTGGGTGTGAGAAAAAAGCCACTTCATAGCCACATGTATGTGGTGTAGACCAGGCTGAATAGTGGCAGTCAATTCTTCCCTCTTCAGCCTTGCAAGCTGTTGAATGGTGCAATCCCAGCACAAGTTGCTATGGCTTCTGCTGTAGCATCTATCATCGCCTCCGGCGATGGGCATCAAAAGGTCAAGTGTGTGTGTGTGTGTGCGGGTGGGTGCATGCGTGTGTGCATGCTGTCAACAATGCGTAGAAGAACTACAGTCGTTATTTCCTCCATAGCAGTTACCTTTTTGCTGACTCTCTCTCCAACCCTGGTGTCTGGTTTCGTGCCTACACGATTACTTGTGTCCTTGACTACCATTGTGTGACCGTGTGCGCACGTGTGTGTGTGTACGTGTGTGTGTGAGCGTGTGTGTGTGTGTGTGCGTGTGTGTGTGCATGTGCGTGCATGTGTTCGTGGGTTTTGCGTGTCAGCTAATTCGGATGGTAGTATGTGCTATTATGCCAGACAGTGACCACGTCTTTTGCCATCAGGCCCGGCTGCTTGAAGGAATGTTGCTGTACCTGCCACCTTTCCTAGTTCATGTACTACATTGTAGTACCATAATTATTATAACTTTCACTGGAGGTAGGATAAATGCAGTTGGATCCCAGGACGGATACCTTGACAAAAAAATTGATGCCGGCAATTAATTTTTTCTGCACGTTTTGTGTGTGTGTGTGTGTGTGTGTGTGTGTGTGTGTGTGTGTGTGTGTGTGTGTGTGTGTGTGTGTGTGTGTGTGTGTGTGTGTGTGTGTGTGTGTGTGTGTGTGTGTGCGACTGTGCGTGTGTGTGTGCGTGCGTGTGTTCGTGTGTGCATGCTCGTGTATGTGTTGTTGATTGGCTCACTGAATAGAAAGGTGGGAGCGATGACATTGTGTATTTGTTACGTCAAGTGTCTATCTGGTTCTATCAGGGTTTTTCAACTTTTTTGTTTTTGTTTTTGTAGCTGCTGGCCACACAGACCAAACTGCACTGGCAAACGAACACATTTCGGCCGTGCACGTGACAAGTCGACTAGGTTCGAATAGGGAATTCCCCATTTACCTGCCCACAATGCCCCACATGCGGTTCACATGGTTCATGCTCTTCAAAAATCAAAGACAAAACTCAAAAAGGACAAACGTCGTTGTTTCAACCAGCAGACGTGAACAGCTCCTCCATTCTGATGTCCTCCGGTGGCTTACGGGATTTACCCAGTTCCACACCATAGTATGCTTTTTGTATTGAGGTTCCCAGGTACGATAATTATATTAATTTGAGCAGCACGTTTACCCCTCGATATAGGGCAACGACGGTCTCTAGGTATACTACTAGTATTCATTTGGATTACCTATCAACCTGAACTTGGATCCAGGCAGCTGCGTCCTTAGCGGAAACAACAATGCTATAACAGCGATTGGAATACAGTGCTAGTACTTGCCAGAAACTGCCATGTCGGAGAGCTACCATTCGCTGCTTAGCTGGTTCCATGCAGAAGGTGGATATATTCATCCAGCTGTAACAGTGACTAGCCTGGGAGAGTTTGGCAGAGGAATCGTAGTCACCGGTAGCGATAGGGTGAAGGAAGGAGAGACGCTGCTGTCGATCAGCAACTCGAGCAGGTCCTTGCTACGTGCCAGCAATACAGCTCATAGCATAGTGCTCTCAGTGATAGAAGATGACCAGTACTCCGACTGGTGGGAAGCATCACTGCTTGTGCTGGCTGAATGCGTTCGGCACGACTCGCTCTGGCGACCGGTATTCCAGGAAGCCCCGAATGAGTACACATGTGCTGTGTACTGGACTGACGAAGACTTGGCAGAACTAACTGGTGCTGGCAGCTCCTGGCTATTAGAGCAGGTCAATTTTGAACGGCGCAAAGTGAGTGATATCAATGCTTGGTGCCGTGCGGCGTATGTGCTGTGTGGCGTAGGTGCTGGTGCTGGGTGGCGCTGGTGCTGTACCGCATTGGTGCTGTGCGGCATTAGCACCTGTGTCCGCTCAATCATATTGCAAACTACGCAGTAGAGATCATGTAAAAACCATCCCTCGTTTCTTGACTTGGGTTCGAATCATACCTAGTTAAGAATAAGTCTGAACAAGCCCACTTACAGTTCTAACGCATACAGTCAGTACAGTCAACTTCGCTAATAACGACTGCGGATATAACGACAATTCGCGAATAACGACATAATTTTCATACCCAGAGCAAAGTCCCATCCAACAGTGACAAACATAATGAGACTTCGGCTATAACGACACTTCGCGAATAAGGACACTTTTCTGATGCCCCGCCGCCGAGTGTCGTTATAAGCCAAGTTGACTGTATACATACAAATTCCAACGCACAGGCACAATTTGAGGGAGGATTGACATCATGGACTATCCAGGGTCCTCATCTGATGAGCCTTTTGAAAGATGCAGAGGGTCTTCTTTGTTCGCAGACCAGTGCTAGTATTAGATGCTGGTAAACAAATTGAAGTAGTGCATCATTTGACCCAATGACCGATGTGCAGCTTTCAACACCGTCCCCGCATACAGTTGTGCCTGCATTTACTCCTACTTGAAGGCCATGCGCCAGTCCCTTGCCACATATTCTTGCCAACATGTTTATGGTACTATAAGTATTTTCCTTTTTACTCTGATGTGTGTGTGTGTGCATGTGTGTGTGTGTGTGTGTGTGTGTATGTGTGTGTGTGTGTGTGTGTGTTGTGTGTTTTGTGTGTGTGTGTGTGTGTGTGTGTGTGTATGTTTGCACATACGCAGTTACAGGAAGAGTATCTGGCCGTGAAGAGGCTCATACTCGACTACTATGATAAGGAGAGCATATTTCCAGAAGCAGCCAGTACATTTGAGAACTACAAGTGGATGCGAGCATTTTTGAAAACACGTGGCTTTGATTTTGAGGTGAAGGGCAAAGTAAGTCACAGTTATCCTTGATTACTTTGAATTCCGAAATCATCGTACAGTAAAACCTGTGACTACCGACCACCCCTTGGTGCCAGCAAAAGCGGTCTTTAGTAGCAGGTGGTCTTTAGTTGGAGTTTTGCACCGTGCGACCATATATGGATCCCAGTATATGATATGCATATCAAAATGCAGCTAATACAATTCCCATGGACTTGCGCAATGCCATTCTTATTTCAGGTCAAACAACACTTGGAGAGAAAGACGGAGAAATGGAGAGAGACAAAAGAGAGAGAAAGAAGATTCCATTTTTTGCAGACATCAAATTCAGCTGCTACTTCTGAAGCCAGGAGTCAAACGTTCCCTGTGGAAGTTTCGTTTTGCGCTGGGCTTCAAATTTGTTCATCCGATCAATCGTACCGACTATCCTTGTTGTGACTTCTTGATTGTTCGAACGCGATCCTTCAGCATCAGGACCTTGCGGTGCTGCTTTGTTTCTGGATTCCTTGACGCCATCCTCGATTCATTCGTATGAGTGGGGTGACAGAGCCGCTCAGTCTTCGTTTCTCCTCCGAGTAGTAACCAGGTAACATCGAGCAGAGAGCGCTTTTGATGCGCTCTCAAAGACGTTTCCTAGCATGTTTATTCTTGACAGCGCTTGAAATTCTGACAGGTGTGGTGCAGTCCACACCGACTCCACAATCATAATGGCCTGCGTTCATTCTTCAGCTGTAGTACCGAAAGATTCCTTTCGGGACCATGGAAAATCAGCAAAATTTCAAGAAGGAGCTTCGAGCAACATTTGATTTCCTACATCGCGGTCGCTAGTTACGGGTCAAAAATCGCCTTTGGGACAAGAAAAGGCGGTCGCTGTTCGCGTTCAGCAGGTAGTCGCTAGTCACAGTACATTTTGAATGTGAGACCGTCCGTGCCTGGCCAAGTGGTCGGTAGTAGCAGGCTGGTCGCTAGTCACGGTGCCGGTCTTTAGTTACAGGTTTTACTGTACCTTCTAGGCCGTCCCAGTGATCACGTCCAAGTGGCGTTCGGTAACTTTTGCGTCCCAAACACAGTACGCATGTGCGAAGTTTGTTTTGTTTTGTTTTGGCAATGGATCTTTGTTGGAAGAGAAATGTTGGTGCCTGTGATGTGTTGAAAGCATTTTCTCTTTGTTGAGTGTCTTTTGTATGCAAGCGAAAATCATGGTTCAGTAATTTGCTACTGCTACTTCAACTGCAAGCACCACTACTTGTGAACACGTTTCACCTTCCCGTACAATTCAGCTCTTTCTGTACGGATATGTGGATAGAATGCCATTTTCTCCACAGGAAATCTGCTTCTGCTCTCCATCGGAAAAGCTAACTAGAAAGTAATACATGTAAGAGAAAAGAAAAGAAAAAAAAAGCAGCAGGCCCTCTCGGAGAGCAACTGTGTTTTGAGGATGAAGAAGCAGTAGAAAACAACCTACAACTAGACAAAACATGCGCATTGCATTGGAGACGTGAAGCTTGTTTGGCATCATAGTCAGGTGTAGATAAAAGGTCGGCAATGTCTGAAGTGTATCTCTGCAGTCTAGTATACCTACCTTGATTGTTGTCTGGTCAAATTATGTGCGGCTGCATTGTCATGGACTGATTCCGAACAGACAAGGGGGTTGTCATTGTTGGGATCAGCTCTTTCTTCCTGTATCTAGGAGATAACAACGTGCTGCTTGTGTCCACTAACTTGTTGACCACGGTGACACCCCTTTCTTGCCTCTGCATAATTTCCCAATACATTCGGCGCTTGACAGGCATTCATTCCAGCTGTGGATCAGGTGGGTTTGGACCCACTATTCCAGTTGTGCAGAACAATGAGACACTGGGGCCCCTTTTTCAGGGCTACCGGCCCCCATTCCAGTAACTATTTCCTTGCTTCAATGTGGATGTTGTTGATGTAGGACATTTCCGTAGTTGCTCCGGTGTTCGACATGCTCAACCATAGCTCAGAGCCTACTGTAGTCAACACCAGAATAGTACTGAACCTGGAAGACGACATAGTCAGAGCTATAGCCAAACGGGACCTGAATAGAGGAGAACAAGTAAGTGTTGCCAGCAGATGCGTGTCTATATATTTTTATAGACGAATTAGTGGTACAGGGTAGCGTGTTGGTGTTGAGTTACATCTGTACTGCCGCTATTGCGCATTTCTATTGAATAATGTCTCAGCTGTACCCACAAACTCCTCGGCTTATCCAGGGTGTGGGGCCTGAAGGGTGTCTGGAAACGAAACTGCCCAAAACGCGGTAATGCTGAACAGATGTAAAGCAGGAAGTACAGTTTCTTTGCCTCTTTTTGTGAAAGCGTGCGGACTCTATGTAGGCAGGGATGCCTGCATATCCATGGTATCCGGACAGTGGGGTTTGGGTGTACATGTCCAGTGATCTGGCCATTCGTAACCAGTGGTTCAATGGTGTCAAACCAGATGTGACACGTCACCTAACCAACAAAATCGTGCTCTCTTTGAGATAGGGTATGTCAAATAGGGCTGGCAAGTGATAATTTATTGACTTCTTAAAGAAGTCAATACATTTTTACTGTTTGGGCCGAAATGGATCCACCGTGACCATAGCAAAATGCTGCAGTTGGTAGACAGGCCCATTATTCCGCACACTGGTGCAACTTTAATCAGTGCCAGCAGTGGGTCCCCCGGCCAGGTGACTACAAGCAGATGCATTGTGCCCTTCTGTGAAGGAGCCCACCTAAGAGTGTATGGATCCATACATAACCTGCGATCCAAGTGGATTCAAAACTCGGCGTTGCCAAGACTTCGACCTGGCGGTGACGTAGAAGTTAAAAGCCCTAGCTCCACATCGCTCTATTCTCGAGTGCAAGTTGCTGCTTCTAGTTTTACATGTACCTGGCTGTGACAGCAGTGCAAGGGAATGCTTTTGAGTCGCAATGAAGTCCGATTAAAAATATGTTTTACAATGGAAGAAGTATTGTTTGTAGTAATTCTTTACTTTAGAAGCTATGAGTACAGTGGAATGTCGGAATTCCGACCGCCCTTTGAGCCGGGCAGAGTGGTCTGACTTCCGAGGTGGCCTGATTGTTGAGAATGACCATCCTGTGTGCGCACTCCTGGAGGAGAGTTGCGGATAGAGCAAAAGTGGTCCGATTGGTGAGGTGGTCCCTATAGTAGCGTTTGATCCCCTCTTATACAAAATACATTCTCTGTGCTCTTCTAATCTACACTCTCCGTTGATAGCTGCTGATCTGTTATGATGATACATCAACCAATGCTGACCTTCTGTGCCGCTATGGATTCATTCCGGATGGCAATCCCAACAAACGTGTTGCTTTACCCGTCTTGAAGAACCTGCCCGGGTGTGAGGATTTGGCATCCGAGTCGCTGTGGGTACAATCCAGTGGCAAGATCTCGCCTTCGTTGTACGCCCTGCTGGATCAGTACTTCGGTGAGTTTACAGGATAGACTGGGTTGTTGTTACTGTGCACACATTTGGACACTGTTGGACGCAGGTATGTGTTGATCCATTTTTGGCATTTGGGGCAATGCCAGGAGACGTTGATTGATATGGATTATGGTCAGCCCTCGTCTGAAGTGGTGCGCACAGCGTTTGTATGTAGGACTAGCTATGGAGGTTCTGTGAATGAGGTCATTGTGGCTATGCGTTGTATGGTGTGCATGCCTTGGAAACCAGCGATGGTTTGTTTTGAGTGGCAAACAGTGCTACATTTACAATTGTATTTTGAATTCAGATTTGAATGGCAGTGTTGTACTGGGTGACGAGCCATACAAACAGTGCTAGCTTTGAGTGGCAAACAAGCTCTAGTCTAGAGAGCCACTGCACCATGGCTTGGCCACTCCATGCAAAGCATACGACGTACATAACCGCATGACCTCTATGCGTTGACCCGCTGCGCCGTTGTGAATTTGTCCATGGATATTCCCATGGATTTATGATGTGCATTTTACATCCTTGCCTGTCCTTAATCAATGCCTCCACGATTGCATGCAGGTTCAGATCTGAAGAGTCTATACGAAGCTCTGCTGGCTAATGTCGCTCGCTACTTACAGTCATGGTCGCATTCAGTTGATCACTACAGAACAACTGCCAAGGTAATGTGCTGCTCTTTGTGTTAGTGCATGACTTGTGTGACTTTGATTATCTGTGAAACATTGTAAGTGTGGTGAGCACATACCCGCTACCAAGAGTATATAAGCCCCCAAGGCAGGAGTGTGGAACTCTGCATATGGGGTCTCCGACGGCGAAAACTCACATCACGTGTCTCAGGTACTGTAAGTCTACAATCGTTCGGCCTGGTCAAATTTCGGCCTCCCAGGGCTAAAACACATTTCGGCCTCCCAGGGCTAAAACACATTACGGCCGCATTAAATTTCCGGCCTGTACTGCTGCTGCCCATATACACTGTCACACTGAACCTTGTAAAAGAAAATTTCAGTTGCAACAAATTTTCAGCCAAATATGCCCAGGCCGAGAATAGCCGAGAATGAATATGCGCCGAATATTGGTTGACTTACAGTACGTTTCGTACTAAGTACAAACGAAGGATAGCATGCGCGCAATCCGGATATCTGCCATTATCATGCTGGGGATTTGCATACGTGTAGTGAGTTTCTGTTAGAGAGTGCTTTTTTTATTACTCCGCTGCTCGCTAAAAACGGGCTGGAAGCGTGTAACTGTGACACTACACCACGTGATGTGAGTTTTCGCCGTCGGCGAACCCCATAGAAAGGGTATCAGGAGTTGCACACTCTTAGGGGCTTATATTATACAATTTTCCGCTACCAATAACCCAGTTACGGCACTTTAATTTTTAAGAAGCGCGTATGGAGAGCCAAAGATTAATTTATAGGAAGAGAAAGGACCAAGGAACTACAAGTTACACTATAATGTCCACTTACACCACCAGTTACTTGACAATCAGCTCACTTTGAGCCTTCCCAGTTGGAAGGCTGTTGGAGTGCGCATCCAATACGTGCTAGAGCTGAGTGGCGGTTAGCTGTAGAACGTCAGTACCGTTGGTCAGTGTCGTGCAATGTTATCACATGAGCTGATTGTCAAGTAACTGGTGGTGTTAGTGGACATTATTATTAGCGTAACTTGTAGTTCACTGGTCCTTTTTCTTCTTATCAAATAATAAATAAGCATCGAATTGCGATCGACAGATCAAGCTGAACGGACATTTCACAAAGGCTTTATTCACGGTTTATTGTCCACATCACATTTTTTTCCTTCCATGTTCTTCACCGCCTTCGTATCCACTCGGCTTTTTAATACAATAAAATAAAGCCTTTGTGAAATGTCAGTTCAGCTCGTTTTTATGATCGCATTTCTAAAACTATAAAATAATTAAGAAACGAATTTCGGAATGTTTGCGACTCCGCTCTTCCAAGAAAAGTCTAAATAAAAAACGCCTCACTTGCAGTGTTTTGCATTTATACGAAAATAAGATTTGACTTTGTTTCCAGAGGTAGCCATGCAAACTGTCGTAGTTGAAGAAAAAGACGGAAATTCTGCGCTCGGGATCTCAGCGCAATTCAAAATTTCGGAAAGTCGGCCGAGGAGTACAGTAGAGTCGCGCGCCCAAGAACGTTGTTTCCAAGGGGTTAGCCTGGGACGTTCTTATTTATCAGCAGTCTGGCTGCGTTCTTATAGCTCGTTCTTAGAAACAATCCGTACCGGATCATATTGTGTCCCACAAGCTGCCAGAAAACCAACACCGCCGTTCTTAGCTTTAGGCCTGTCACCGAAACTAGCAGTATTTTCCGCACGTACATGTGCATCAAAAAACTACAATGTATTTTGAAACAATTTCTTTCACTATAATGTGCGAATATGTGGCTGTTTTTTTTCCCCGCTCGCACTGTGGTGTCTCAGGTGCTGGACGTGTATGATATAATAATTGCTTTTGAAAGTATCGGCGGCGGCGGCGGTATAATTTGGTGCTTTCATCACTGTTTATGGAGTAATCACTACGAAATGTGGTGGAGAATAGGGGCTGTATAGAAAACGGATCCGGCTACATGGTCAAGAAGCAAAGATGGGAACAACATGACCAGTAAGGATGAGATTGGGCTCATTAATCACAGAGCCGGTTGACCGCTGTTACAAGATTGCCAAGAACTGACATCTCTTTCTTTGTGGCGATCCGCCTGTTCTTTTTTTATCAGACTCTCTTTCTGATTTAATCCCCTGAAACTCTTCAGATGGCTTGCCTTGCGTAGAGCTTTGGCGTCGCTTCTTGGTGGGATGTGGTGCTGCAGGTGCAGGTTCCGTTGACCGAGTACATACAGGTTTGTTTGTTGTTGCCGCCTCATCGTTACACACTTCCTCCTCATCCTACTCGCTATCTTCCTCAAACTCGGTTTCGGCATGCCGACAAGGGAACCAGCAACACATTTTGTCTTCACATTGGGTTTCCACCCAAACGCATCGTTCATTTCTTGGAAGAAGGCAGGCTCCTTCTTCCTGGCCACTCCTGTTTTCGCCAGGGAATCCACAAACGCCTTGTAGTCACGCGTCAGCATCTTCCACTGGTTTTCGCATTGATCCGCGGTGGGATGTGAGGCTCCTTCGTTCTCCCTCTCTAATTCCCGGGAAATCTTTATCCAGATGCTCTTCTTCTTTTAGACTGAAACATCGGAGAACTGTTCATCTTGCGATGATCGAGCCGGAAAAAGATCAATATTGAGCTTCTTGCTCCACGAAATCCGGCTTTCCTCTCTACTACTTCCACCTCAGCGTCAGAGCCATCCTCCACCTGGGCTTGTGCCTGTTCTTTCTCATTCAACATTACTGATTGTTCTTTGGAGACCGAAAGAAAGCACACTTCACGGCATGAGCATATAAAATATGTGGCAAACTCGAAAATATTTTGTGTCGGATGGCTGTTAAAAAAATCAAAGTCCATTTCCACTCCAGCCACTCCCGTTATGGGGGCCGGTGTGGTCGGATTGCACTCCAAGTACGCCCACTGTGGACTCGGCCAAACGATCACGCTCAGTCGGAGCAGACTTGCTCGGGATTCGCCCAATCGATCACGCCCGTGGGTTGAATAAGCCCGGACAGGTTTTTTCTCATGTAAACGCCTCCTTGGCCTTAGGGCCAAGGTTACCAATAATATTTTCAAAACGAAAAGTTTTCGTTTGGAGGTGGGTGAGTTTGATGGAGTTTCGTTTTGAAAATAATTATTGAATGCAGATAGAGAATGCCCAGTCACTTCTGGGTGTCGAAAATTGACACCAATATTTTATTGGAATTCGTTTTACCTGCAGAAAAGGTGGGTGGGTGGGTGGGGGCTGAAAAATACCAAAACATTTCGTTTTGTAAAAACAATCGGTAACCCCGGACGGCCCCTTAGTACATACCCGGGTAAGACGTACGCCTGCTTGGTGCGGTCCTATTTCGTAGCACAGATTTTCCTCCCATAAGTGCACACATACACAAGTGTATGGATACGACGTACTCTGATAAGACATACAACTCGTGTATGACCGACTTTTCAGCAGGTCCCAACAGAGCTATCCTCGCATACGATGTACTATTCTGGTGTTTGCGTACACCTAATGTCAGGAGTCTGTATAATCCTCCAGAGTGCGCAACTGGGATGGGGTTGTGGGACGGCGTAATCCGTGATGTACCGGTACGTCATCTTTTTAGGTCGGACTTGCATCATTCCGTCGACGCGGTCCACCACGGAAATATCCAAACACACTTCGCCTGCTCATGATGTCACACTATGACGTGCGACACGGATTTCGCCGTACCAGATCTGATCGGTGAAGTTGCGCACTCTGGGGGGGTTATGGACTCTTGCTAGTAGTACACATAACAGGTTCGCTCAACAGGTACATGGACTTAAGTATGTTGACAGCGGGGAGGAGGCCGATTGCAGCGCAGGAAACCTGGGTTGGTGGCACTGACCACATACATTTCTGTGAGTGCAATGCATTTTGAATTTTGACATACTGTACATGCATCGTATTAATGGGGCGGCAGGAGTCAACTTTGGATAAGAGGTACCTTGGATACTAGGTGTACTTTTCTCTACTCCCCAAGGCCAGGGCACGTCTTATCTGAATTCCACTCTACATGTAATTGCATACAATTCCTGTTGTACTAGCTCATCATGATTGCTACGTGTGTGCTGTTGCGGCGTTTGCCAACTGTTCAGGTTGGTTCCACCTACGTAAGCCGGTGTATTGCCAGTGTGTTCGCCGAGGAGCATGATATCCTTACAGCGTTTCACACGGCAGTGAGCAGACACCTTACTGGTGACTCGTTGGACGTGCTCTACCAGCTGTGTCAATGAGTAGGCCTCACCGGGTACAGAAGAACAGAATCAAACTACTAGGTCCTTGTTCCTGGGGTAAGACCTATCTAGCACTTTAGTTAAACATGCCTTGAATCGCAGGAGTGACTGCACACTAAAGTGAGCGAATTTGAAACGATTGCCCCACATCAAGTTGATGGTTGATCGCTAACCTCTGACACACAGGAAGAACCGATAGTGTAGCTCTGAAATGTGGTCTTACGGAAAGCACTCATCAAGATGCTCTCATTGCCTCTACCTATTTATCCTCATTGCCAATGTACTGTCCACGCTAGCTACCATTTCCAACGCACATAAATTTCTTGAGAATGTATTTAGCAGTACCAGTACAAGCAACGTTATGCAGCCGCTTGAATGCTATGTCTCCGGGGATATGCAAGAGAAGAACCTGTTGTAATCACGGCCATTCGTACTCGCCGTGGAAGCACCTGATTGCCACTATTATCCCGTACACACAAGCATCATCTCCCGTCACGTAGTATTTCACAGGCGATATGATCACAGTTTTATTTAGAGCTACTCCAGGGGATGCTGCGCTTCTTTATACCACAATGTAGACCTTGTCGCAATTCAGATGCACGTCTTTTTTTTACCAACGGCAAATTGTACTTCTCCTCTATTTCATTTGCAGCATGTCTAACTGAAATGGCGCCTGTTTCTTTTTGGATTTGAGTCTTTACAAACAACAGCCGCTCGTGCACCCGTGCTAGCGTTTTATCCGTTCACTTTTTATTCGGCACTTATTCATCCTCCCGTAACTCCCATAGTTCTAGCCCATGCTAACAGTTCACAACTTATACGCAATTCGTTTGTGTTTTTGATTCAGCATTTTCTTTATTTACATCAAATGCTCGTTATTATTTGTACACCATCCCCGTTGAAATTCCTATGTGTCCAGTGTGGCATACTGGAGCTAGGCCGTTGCCATTGAGCCGTTGACTGTGCTAACTGATGCAGCAGGGTGCCGGATATCCAAACTCCTTGGGAGCATCAATGTATGGATAAGCAAAGCGGAGTTGTTTCATAGCTTTGCACTACCCTTTGTGACTTGACAAGGCTATTGAGTACAGTAATATTCATAATTATATCATCAGCATTTTCGCTACTGCAACACCTTGATGAGCAGCGGTACGCTGACGGATGTAGTCTGCACTGTGTTTCGTTTACTCAAATGCATAGGCAGGTGGAAAGCGACGGAATGATGAGGAGTAGTGGAATACATGTAGCGTAAAGTACCGCAAGAGCGCTACACCTTGATTTTACAGCCAGGGAAAGGAATACTGTGTGCAGAGTGCAACGAAGTTTGTGCGGTGTGAAAACCTTTTTTTAGTTTTTAGTGCACTACATTGTACATGTAAGGTCACTAGCAGGTTTTTGTGTGGTGCTCGTGTCCGCTCGAAGGTGAATTGAGTACGGATTGACGGCACAATGTGCAATGTGTGTACAAGATTCGTGTCGTATGACCTACAGACAGGACACCACCTCCGCAATACGACCACGGAAGGACGAGATGGTGGGGCGCTCTCGCGGTACTGCAGTGCGTTAGTGGAATAGTGAAGCTTATTCAACGTTTGTCGTACAGGTCTCTGCATGGATTGCCGGGCTGCTGCTGTCTGATCAAGATTGAAAGATAGTTTTCCAAGGACTGGTATAATTATGCCTGTGCAGAGATGCAGGGCTCTACTCCGCCCACAATACAAGTATTATCATACGGGTAGACATATACATACCGGTAGGAACAAGATGATCCACTCGGGAGGAGGGGGACTCTGGATACTGTACTCTGTAGTATCCGATAGTGGTACTGGAAAGGGTCATCTGACACCATAAACGCATAACAACAGACATCACACATTTTTTGTTGTTGTACTCATGGTACTTGTAGTTTGTAAAATTTAATACTAGTACAGTCGTCCCTCTCTAATCCGGCACTTTATAATCCAGCACCCTCGATAAACCAGCACAATTTTCAGTAGCCAAATGTCCTCTTCATGCACATTGCAGCAGTAGATTAGATTTGTTAATCCAGCACCCTCCCTAATCCAGCAGATTTCCGTGGCACAAATGGTGCCGGATTATAGAGGGACCACTGTAGTAGTAGTAGTACAGTAGTCGTACCGAGACTCTGACTTCCAACAACACACATGGGAAACGAGACTGTATCGTGGCAGGGTCGACGTCAGGCTCAGTCCTAGACCTAGATCCTGTTGATGTTGACTCTTGTATGTCTTGTGTAAGTGGCGTGCTGCATGCTGTCGAAGCAACGCCATTCACAGCGACCAGTGTTTTCACAGCTGATGACACCCAGATGGCAGATGCAGGGGAATATCGAATCAATGATCCTGGAGTCTGGGGTAGCTCGTATCTACATGTGACTAGACTGGGATGGGGCATGATAATAGTCAACAAAATGAATATTATTGAACTTTGAAGACAGCGTTCCTAACTCGATAGGTTTGTGGGTGAAGGAAGCGGAATTTCAAACGGTGAACATTTTACTGTAGCCACTACTAGCGTAGTGGACCAAGATGATTCGCTACAAAGCCAGCACTGCCCTAGTTGGGCGTTGCAGTACGTTTCTGGCTAGATTCCCTGTGGATGGTCAGCAACATTGCGGGTACAACACAGTAGCAGGGTCCATTGAATATCAGGCAAGAAGAGCTTCAAAACGGTTTGTACACAGCCCTCAACTGCATCCACAACAGCGTTTTCCTGCAGCTCAATGGCAGCAGATTCGTAGCAACTGTACGGCGGAAAACGCGTCCGCTACCAGCGCTAGTGCTTCGCCGATAGCTCTTCCGGACGATCTGCGGCAGCGATATGACGAAGACGGCTATGTCATCATCCCCGACTTGCTCAGCAAACAACAGGTACATACATTATGTATGCATGTATAATTATTATAATAATCTTTTCAAAACAGCTGTGTATGTGTGCACGATGTGTAGACCCGGGTGCTCGAATCAGAGACAGGGTAACAAAACTGAAACAGCCTGAAATTGTACCTAAAGCTTGTTTCGATTTCGTTTAGTTTTCACAAATACCATCAAGATACGGCCCTCTAACGGTACGCCAAATTTCAGCGCTGTCCGGTAAACGGTTTTTGAAAAACTCGCGACCACTTTTTGCTGGGTCCTTGATTCGGAGGAAATGGGTCACACCGCGACGAAAAGGCCACGAGGAGGCCTGGCTAAAAAGACTAGACTCACCCGAATAACAATATCCAGGCAGACAATTACACAGACCAAATGTTCAAGTCTCAACATCCATGGCTGCGACACCCAAACATGAGTATTCACCATCCAAATTTTAGGTTCCACCATGTCTTGATTTTCTGGCGGGAAAGCTGCAGCAAGAAAAGGAGACGATCCGACACCACCACACTGGCACCCATGTCTTTGTCTGAGTCTCCACCGATCCTGGAGAAACTTCTTCTCCGCGCCATGAACGAACACAAAAAGCACTCCAAGGTACAAAATATGCTCAGATCGCTCGTGTTGAAGATGGAAGACGCAATAAAAGCCGTCCAGGGGGGGAGCTTCCATCCGTGTGGCCAGTGAGCAGCACAATGTAAAGACGTCAACCCTCTACGGCCGAATAACTGGCAGAACTCACATTAGAGGCCGCCCGTCAATTATTCCAAGGGAGTAGGAGAAGCTATTGTCGAACTACGCTAAGTCAATGGCTGATATGGGGTTCGGCTTGAGTAGAGGTAAGCTAGGCAGCAACTGCTGCTCATGTAACTATTCAAAACACGTGCACGTGAATTTGAATGATTTGGGCACGAAATCGTATGCATGCATTTGAAGCAAGCCCGTGCACAGCAATCCCTGCATGCGCGCACTATGTACATGTACGCACGTCCAAGGACCCGTGCATTGCGCACTTGGTAGTAAGTCACAGACACATACCAGTAATAGCATAGCGTATATTCATAGGGCTTGACGAAAATGAATATACACTGTACAGGTAACAATAATAATGTTAAATGACAATCGCGTTTCGAGGTCTATGGATTGACCAACTTCCCAGCATGCAAAGGACATTTGAGTAGGCAGCAATCGAGAGAACCTAGTGGAGATGAATCCGAAAACCCTGCACCAAAACATAACATTGGCATAGCGGCCAAAGCCACTACAACCACACCACGTACATTACTAGTATACCCCCTTCATCGTTTTCATGGCATTTAGGTCAATAAAATGTCAATACAATGTGTAAATTAAAATAATTGTTTCCTCTCTTGTACTATGCTACAGCATCCGTACAAGCCCTGGCAGCTGATTTAGTGAGACGTGAGACAGGCCAGCAATGTCCCAGTGTAGGGAAAGGCTGGTGGCGAGGATTCAAGCGCCGAAATCCCGAGATTTGCGTGAGACGGCCACGTTCCCTCGAAGAGGCACGGGCCAGGAACGCCAGTGCAGATACCCGTCACCAGCTCTACGACGTCCTGGAGAAGACAATAGGTACACGTACAAGCTTCAGCCAAATCAGATTTGGAATTGCGGCGAGAAGGGTTTCAACCCGGATCCCCTACCCAGTAGTATCGTGGCCAGTCAGACCAGCCGGGCAACACATCAGCAGCACCGGAAATCACATGATTGCATCACGGCCAATGTGTGTGTGCGTGAATGCAGCCGGCAACTGCATGCCACCGCAAATAACCTATAATAGAAAGCAGTTGTCACCTGCACTTGCTGCAAATGGGCCGCCGGGTGCTGTGTGCAGCACCAGCAGCAGTGGGTCGATGGACAGCGACCTGTTCCAGGACTGGTTCACCAACGTCTTCCTGGCCAACACCAGCCGGGACACGCCGCAGCTCCTCATCATGGACAGTCATGCCAGCCATCTGAAGGTAGCAACGTTGGACATGGCCAGGAGCAGCAATGTGATCTTCCTTGCCCTGCCGTCGAAGACAACGCATGTCTTGCAGCTGCTAGACAAAGCAGTGTCCAGCAGCCTTGGCCAGCATTATCAGTCGGTGTCAGCTGCAGCCCGTCTGGTTAAGCCTGACCACAAGCTAACAATTGGGCACTTCCCCAAGATTTTCACCGAGGTGTGTGTGAAGGCGGTCACCCCGGCAAACATTCTGGCCAGCTTTAAACAAACTGGCATTAGTCCACTGGACCGCCTCACTGTTCCGCCTGCTGCTCTTCTGCCGTCGACTGTCCATGTGGCCACAGCCCAGCCCGAAGCCAACGTTACTACCCCTGAAGACAGTGACGATGATCTGGTAGCACAGGAGCCTGACATTGCTGGAGCCTGACATTGCTGGAGCCTGACATTGCTGGAGCCTGACATTGCTGGAGCCTGACATTGCTGGAGCCTGACATTGCTGGAGCCTGACATTGCTGGAGCCTGACATTGCTGGAGCCTGACATTGCTGGAGCCTGACATTGCTGGAGCCTGACATTGCTGGAGCCTGACATTGCTGGAGCCTGACATTGCTGGAGCCTGACATTGCTGGAGCCTGACATTGCTGGAGCCTGACATTGCTGGAGCCTGACATTGCTGGAGCCTGACATTGCTGGAGCCTGACATTAGAAAATTCACTGATTCACACTGTATACGTATACTTGGCGCACGTTAGAAAATCCGTTTCTCACCTCATGAAATCATTCGCACACAACCTCTATAGGCGATGTAGATGTTAGTGTATGGGAGCTACAGTGCATCAAGATAGTGCAATGTTGGGAAGGGTAATGTAAAAGGCGAAGATGCAATACATCACGTCATGTGAAGTGAAGTGACAGGTCCGGTTTTTATAGCGTGTGTGTGTGTGTGTGTCCCATATGGTGCAGTGGTATGTGCAGCAATTTCCAATCGATAGGTTGCGGGTTCGATTCCCGATGATTATGGTCACACACGTCTTTCTTCTCAGACTCCTCCTGACTTTTCTTTCATTCTCCTGGGTGATTACCAACAGCCAGTGCATGCCAGAGTATGTGGTGTGATGTGTGTGCGGGAAAGAAAATGGAAAAGACCAAAAAGTAGGGATTCACTGGCCAGAAAAATCCACTTCATAGCTATGTGGTGTAGACCAGGCTGAATAGTGGCGGTCAATTCTTCAGCCTTGCAAGCTGTTGAATGGTGCAATCCCGGCACAAGTTGCTATGGCTTCTGCTATAGCATCACTATCATCGCCTCTAGCGATGGGCGTCCAATGGTCCAATGGTGTGTGTGTGTGTCACTGTGTGTGTGTGTGTGTGTGTGTGTGTGTGTATGTGTATGTGTGTGTGTGTGTGTGTGTGTGTGTGTGTGTGTGTGTGTGTGTGTGTGTGTTTATCGTAGCAATCACTATACACCTCCGTTACTCCAGATTGAAATCCACTCACTAAAATACGGAAAGGATGAAGTATGACAGGATGCAATAACACACTAGAGTTCTTGAGGTTCAGAGCAACTCATGTCGAACGAGAATTTTGACCGTTGAGCTCGGGTGCAAACCAAAACAAGTATCGTGACAAGCTGGCTCTTCAGTGTTCTGCATGGCACAGTCTTATCTTCATCTATATCTTCTGGTGATGTTAGTGCTCCAAACTCAGTCTTCACATCCTCTGGTTCCACAGTCTCCACAAGCGAAGCATTTCGGCGCCTTTCCACTGCCTCTGCATTATGTACAATGACCTAATTGCCTGTGCTCTGGATGAAAGGAAGTATCTAGCTTCTCTCAGCTGCAGCCCCTGGGCTGGAGAGGCCCCTTGGCCCTGTCTGTCCCCGGGGAAAATCGCGGAAAAAATCGCAAAAAACGCGGCAAAAAACACGGCATAATATGGCATAATTTGCGGTAAATATGCGGTAAATATTGATATCATCTCGTGGCGGCAAGTTTGCAGTTGATATGAGGCCATTTTCAGTGAGTATGTAGTGAAATCAATCAGTTACACGTCTCTGGTGTAAGCACTCGTCATATTTGAGTACAAAGCCGCCACGATGAGACGTTGCTGACCGAACAGTGCACTGTGTGTACGTGTAGTGCAACAAAAAAGTTCAAAAAACGCGGGAAATGGCAGAAAACGCAGTCTTTTGAAAAATCGCAAAAAACGCGGAAAAAACGCGGCCGCGGAATCGCGATTTTCCCCGGGGACAGCCCTGTGCTGGAGAGGCCCCTGTGCTGGAGAGACCCCTGTGCTGGAGAGAACCCTGTCTTGGAGAGACCCCTGTGTTGGAGAGGTCCCTGTATTGGAGAGGTCCCTGTATTGGAGAGACTCCTGTGTTTGAATAAGCCCCTTATACGGGCAATCACAGAACATGACATCACTGACCTGACACAACAAACAAAGAAAACGAAAAAGAAAACAAACAAAAAATTTAAATACTTGTAAAAAGAAAATGAAACCGGTTGACAATCTCCACACAATGACAACTCCGTTCAAGATAGTCTGTTAGATCAGTCTGTATCCGTTACCCGTGTTAGCTAGTTACCAACAAGCCGGGCTTAAAAAACAGGAACATCTGGAGAGGCGTCATTCATCCCCCTATGCCAGGGAAAGTGTGTGCGCCCCCCCCCCCCCCCCCCTCTCCATGAGGACAGCCAGCCGTCGATAGAACGCAGTAGCAGCACTGCCCATACCGCCAGTTGTTGCTAGGACAAGTGGAGTGAAACTCGCCTTCTCCACCTCTCGCACTCGTTCAGCATAGTGGCGTTGCTTTTCGGCTTCGTGCTTGTTGAAAGCAGATTGGATGTGGGCCGACCGGTTTGAAGGTGCATGTGGGTTGAATACCCTTACATAAAAAAAGCAGCGTTCAAACTGTCCGCCCCACACCCCGCCTGCCACAATGTCAAGCCGTGCCTGGTCAGTAGATATTGCTGTCCAATGGCGAAACCGCTCACCAGTGATTGCCTGAAGATGAGGCTCCACCGCAACGTTATTTGCCACTCTCCAGAGCATGCTGGCGGTGACGTCACGTACCTCACAGTGGCGTAATGTTGGAAACCACCCTTTCGGCAAGAAAAGGCGTGGTACAGATCAAAACTGGCCCCACAGGCACAGCTACTGGGAAGACCGGTCAATGGCCAGCCATACCGAAGGGCAATGCCATCCCGGAACTCACCCTTGGTCAGAGCAAATCCGCGGCGCTTCATCGGCCGGCAAGTCAGCCAACTAGATGTTCCAGGCTGGGAGGCCAATTGACCAGAATAGGAAAGTTCTGCTGGCGCTGCCGCAAGGAAATCAAGCACTTTGCTCTTCGTAGAACGTCTGTTTGCTGCCGACAACTTGCGCTTCGCGGCGGAACGAACACAATCCAACATGTCGCCAAGGGGAGCCTGAGAACAGATACGTTCCACCAGAGGTGCAGTAATGGTGTTCGATGTTGTGTACTGGTGGTTTAGAGTGGTGGGGACTACAATGCCCAAGCCACCGTGTCGTCAAGGAAACCATTTCCCTCTCCATTTCATTAGGGTGGTATCCAGTTTACACGGTGTTGGAGAGACCCCTGTGCTGGAGAGGCCCCTGTGTTGAAGAGATCCCTGTGTTGAAGAGACCCTTGTGTTGGAGAGACCCTTGTGTTGAAGAGATCCCTGTGCTGGAGAGACCCCTGTGTTGGAGAGACCCCTGCCACGGTGCTGGAGAGACCCCTGTGCTGGAGACTCGTGGAGAGCCTGTGACCCCTGTGCTTTAGGCTCACAGTGGCTCAAGTAGACGGCCACACACTGTTTGGAAGCCGCATCATCAGTGTCCTGCAGCTCAATGCCTCACTGGTCGGCTACCGGCATGCTTTCTATCCCTGGCAACTCTGTTTAAATATCCCGTGACGCTTCAGTAGTAGCTCTGAGGGTAGATGGTTAGTTGTGGCGGTGTGCTGTGGTGTGCCATCAAATACACATCTATAGCTGACCGAGGGTTCCACAGCTCACTCTCAAGCTCAGGCTACAATCTTGAGCACCTTCAGAGATGGACCGGTTGTGCGGCCGCTCAACTTCACCATAATCGTATGCAGCCTTTACAGAGCCATCCTAGGATGTTTGATCCCCTGCACCCCCTGCATCTCTATCTATTTTTATAAACGGTTTTCTTCGTTTCTGTTCGGCTTTCTCAGGTAACGAGCCTGATGGATGAAATGGAAGCAATATGTCGCGGGCTGAGAGGAGACATTCCCGGTGTACAGGTTACTAATGACAGTATGTCACGTACGGAGGTGCTGAAGAAATACTTGTGCATTCACTTTCCGCACAAGGTATGTACAAATGGAGGCTGTGCATTTTTCGACTTTTCAGGGTGGTGTGATAGAGGTGGCCCCAAGCAGAGTACGTAATGTTGTTGTCTGCGTGTCCTTCCCGGAATTGTTTTAAAAGACACGGGCAATATCACATTTCATAAGTCATGGGGTGGCTGCATCTAAAGGTGGTAGGGCGAATACCGTAGCGACCGTCGTAGTAATGTTATATTGTACGAGACATATCTGACTATGAACTGTTGGAGTCTCTGGATGGGCTGCGTGTTCCATAGATTTCCACAGTTATCCGTGATCTGACCAGGGAGAGCAACACGGTAGCGGTGCTGCAGAAGCTGCTGGGACCCAACATCAAGTGCATGCAGACAATGATGTTCATGAAAGCGTCCGGCAAGCCTGGCCAAGCCTGCCACCAGGATGAGTTCTACATTCCCACAAGAGACCGGTAAGTTTGCTCTGCGGTGCAGTATCAACTGATGTGTACACGTCCATTCATGTGTGTCTGCTATAGTTGCTACATCCTCTCTGTATATCCATTTTAAGTCATGATAGAGCCTGTTTATGCAGCTTCAGCTTTTTAGTTTTCAAAATATTTCCATTTTCTATGTGGCAATGTCAGGATAGTTACAGTTTAACTCAGGAGTGTTGCTGCAATTCAGTGATATTAATTAAGCCATGACTGGTGCTTGTGTCCCTGTGTGGCCGACGACTCAAGGTCTTTGTGCGCCTCCTGGATTGCACTGGACAATGTGACGATAGAGAACGGCTGTGTGTGGGTAATCCCGGGCTCGCATCGACCTGGAGTGAGTAATCATCTTTTAGGAATTCCTAGCATACTGAGCCAATGTAGCAATAAGGCCTGATGCGTGGGCATGTTACTTATTTCTGCTCGTAACCAACTTATATTTTCGACTTGTGCTATAGGTGATTGAGAAATGAGCTCTGGGTACCATCAATCACTCGTTGCAGGACCGCAGATGTTCTGCACACACATGTACAATCTAGAACCGTCATCAATCAATATACTGGTACATGTATTATCAACTTCGAAGGTGGTGTTCCCGCTATGAATTGTTCCCGACTTCCTACACAAGGTTTGTCTCTTATGCTTTGCTTCCTCATCGTTGCATCAGATCATCTGGCCGGCGAAGCAGCACAATGACGAGCGCTTTGACTTTGCGGATGCCAGCTACGGATACCCGTATTCCGAGGCGGACTTCATACCCGTGCAGCTTCCAGCCGGGTCTGCCGTCTTCTTCAACGGGTGAGTGCAAGGTGACGCTTCAATATCATCATGGTGATAAGCTTTTCCTGGTTGGCTAGTCTCATTAGCAATACACGCCAGCATCCGACAATAAGTCATGGTCTAGTTTGTGTACATTGTAGGTGGGATCTAACCCGGCCACTAACCAGTAGTGAGCACACCGGTTTGCAGGAAGATTTCGGGAAATGTGTTATTTTGCATCTCATAAGAAACAGTTCAACGGTTGCGCTCTTCTTTGTGAGTAATTTAGCAATTAGCACCTATGGTCAGTGTTGGTGGCAGCACTGTACATAGCGGCAGTGAACTAAGTCCCTGACATGCAGTTGGTGGCTAAGGGTGCATGACAAGTGGGGCGTATAATTTAAGTCTGTACCGAGTACGTGTCTTGTGTGTGCGTGGATGCACCTGCTGCTCATGTGTGCGTTAATGGGGCAATCACGTGCGCACACGCGCGCGCACACATGCACACAGACACACACACATATACACACACATACACGTGCACACCTGTTTGCCGTGGTCATGTGCAGTGTGCTCAGTACAGAGGAGACTGTGACTTCATATCTGCGGCACCAGTTCGATGACACTGGCAGTGAGTGACACTGGGTAATAGAACTGCAACTGTGTGCAGTCTGCCGGGCAGGCCTAGTGCAATGTGCCGCCGTAGTAGTATGGACCAGGACATGCACATCCTGTCAGGCTGTGCATGTGCCGTGAAGCACTGCATGCAGCCTGTCCGTGTGCACTGGAGTGGAACACATTGCAACAGAATCACCATACACCCCTCACATCTCTGTGGCGGTGAATTAAGAGAATATCCCGCTTTAGATTTATAATGTGCCACTGCTCATGGATGTGTCACTCCACACGGGTAAACATAGATCGTCGAACCTTATGCCGGATGCTGGGAGTCGAGAAAATGCTCCAGTTTGGTATCTGGGCAAGGCAAAGGAAGCCCTTGGAGTATGCCACAGGGGGGTAACCACACGCTGTGGTGCTTCCTGGAACGCGTGAAGTTGTACCGTTGTACGTGCTGGGACTGAGGCATGGCTCCACCACAACCGATACTTATAACTGTAGCAACTGTTTGACGTTGCCTCGTGACATGTGTTAACGGCCAATGTGTCATGGCTGAATATGTCGCCCCAACTCAGTCGGTCAAGCAAACACAGTGACACCATGGCAGTTCATTCCAGTGCCTCGCTGATGCAACTATGTTTGTTATGACCACTGTTTATTGGATCATCCTACAGGTGCTAAATCCCCTGCACCTTTATGCGTAACAAGCACACACACACACACACACACACACACACACACACACACAATGTTATCATACTCCAAGCGTAGGGAACACAATGGTACCGTGACATCTATTGACTTAGTGGCCACAGTTCAAGTGTATGAGGGCCTGGGATGTATTGGGATAGGCATGTAGCTGTGAAGACAAGTATCGCAATGCACTGCGTTGCATTGGCATTGGCATTGGCTACTCTGCAGAAATACTAGCATAGACAGAATTACAAGATGTGGCACCAGTTATCATTGTACAGGAGGTGTCATTCATTTTCTGTAATATCTTCTGCTGAAGCCCCGAACTGAGGCCAGATTTGAGTTAATCTTTGAAGTCGCCTTGATGTGCATGTGTGACGTTATGTAACCGTGAAAGTGACATTCGTCTTGTTTGATCTTGAGGATGGCATTGGGTTAGCCATGCATGCAGGTACACAATTGTACAGCCGAATGTACTGCATTTGTGGTTATGTACGGACCGGAGACAGCAGTGCACTTTGCTCTGTTCATCTTCTCCCAACAACGATAGGTTAAAGTCCTCCATGACAACAGAGTGTAGCTCAACCCCGGCCAGTGCGGAAAGCCATTGAAGTTAGACGCTATATAAATATTGTGCATATGTGACACCAGTCTGTGCATGCACGTCGAAGCAACCATCACAGGCATGCGTTACACAGCAGTGCAGGTCTAGCAAAGTCGTTTTCACCTTCCTTCAATCAAATCCACTCATCACTTCTATAGTTACACCAGTACACTACATAGCTCTGTACATGTAAGGTGCTACACTACATTATCATAGCTCTGTACATGTAAGGTGCTACACTACATTATCATAGCTCTGTACATGTAAGGTGCTACACTACATAGCCCTGTACATGTAAGGTGCACCGTAGTGTGAATTTCAGTGACCATTCTGGACCTTTTCTTTGCATAGGTATTTGCTTCACCGATCGCTACCGAATAAGTCGCACGGTTTTCGCAGAGCCTTTGCCAACCACTACATGAGGGCAGAATCCTTTTTGCCGTGGACGAATGATGGGTAAGCTCCACTATACTGTGTTCTCCATCCATATTCATGCACTCTGCCGGTGCCCATGTTGCCATGCAGATGATACTTGCTGCTCCGTGCAATCTCTTAGATAGGTGACTGCAGCTGCATGCCCAAAGTGCATACCCAGAATGGCAGCAGCATATGGCGCAGTGCGTATACATATCCCATTCGTTTAGGCTATGGTCAAGAGTCCACAACCCCAAGCGTGCGCAACTGGGGTCTGGCTGCTGTAGGCCCACTGCGCGGCGGAATTCCAACATTACGTCATGCCGCTGAGGCACAGCTGTACAGAACTCCGCATTCCGCGGTGCTTGGAACCAGGGAGTAGTACAAGCGCAATGACCGTGTACGTCGTTTTTGACGTAATGTTGGAATTCCGCCGCGCGGATCCCCATGTACAGAGTTGCACACTCTTTGGGTTATGGACTCTTGCTATGGTGTATCTAAGACGAGTTTGGACGCTTCTTGCAGCTTCATAATATCCAATTAAGTCGTGGGCTAACAGCCACACCTCAAATTGCACTTTTTGAGTAGAATGCCGTGCAATTTGAGGTGTGGCTGTTAGCCCACAACATGATTGTATCTATTTGACATAATTATAGATGCGAGTCATGCGACATAATCTAAACTGATGAGTCTAACCTATTGTAATCGCGTGTAGTTTATACTTCAAGTACTCTACTCTTGACCGTATGCTAGTGAACCTGTGATTTCTCCCACTATGCATGTGCATGTCCGGGTGTGTGTTTGTATTATGCACAGGCGCTTTGACATCAAGGATGACATGAGGGACTTCCTGCTGGTGTCAGGCATTGATCCCTATGCGGACTTCAAGCCCATGCAGAGTTTCACGAAGCCGTTTCTGCGTGGCGAGACTGCTGCAGCCGCTTAGAAGGAAGGTGGTTGTGTGCCAGTACTGTACTAGTGCGGACGCCTCGGTGTCACTTTGGGCAGAACGCAGAGCCGGTTTACTTACTGACCTATACAGGGGCGTACGCCGCTCGCCTCCAGGAGTGGTTCCCTTGCCAACTGATGAACCAACATTCCACACAATTGAAGTGCTGTTTTTCGTATCCTACGGAGTTTCTGCATATTCTCTTCAGACTGGGTGAAATTAACATCCACAAGCTGCTGGAAGATGTCATTGCTACGCATTTTTGATTTTTTTTAAACTGAACTTTCCCCGTTTTATGGATGTTTTGTTCAGCATGACGATTGCATGCAGTCTTGAAAGCTGGCTTAGTAAGTTTCGAATCATCTGGAGCAAACATCACACAGGGCAAGCAGAAGCCACCATTGCACGCTGGTCAAAAGACTACGCAGGGTAACTCCTCCAACAAGGATAGTTGAAAGCGGCGCTGTTTGCCATCCGTCTGGACACGCCCTGGGAATGAAATCCTTCGCCTTCGGTGGCGCACAATGATTGTCGATGACGGAAATCTTTTCCGTGTCCGGCAAATTTCGGGGGACTGGATTCCACTGTGGACGTAGACGTTCAGAATATCCCTTCCAACACGCTCCCATGTCACTGAAGTAAGTTTTGGATGATCCAGCAGCTTCCGACAACGGTCACTCTACAGCTTCGCCGACGATTTCTTCCTCAGCGCTGCTCGTTGCATGCAGACTTCGCTTGCAAGTCAGGTGCGTCTGCATTCTCATCTATCGCTTGACCTGAATATAGCGTTGGCCCTCTGGATGTTCACACTTCTTTTCCACAAAGCGAAAGCATCGTCGAAAACACGACCAACTTTGTCAAAACAAACTGGAAAGGAAAATTTGACTCGGAGATCGAGGAATCCGGCAATGTAAAGTAGCGACTTTGTTGAACCCAGTTCAGTCAGTAGACTCATGGCCCAGTCTACGCTGTGTCCCAGTCCCAGCACCACTTTTACACCTGGGCTAGTCACCGGTGCACCATCCTCGCGGCCTCGGACCATCAGGCGGACTCCAGGCATGCACTGCGAGCGCTGGGCCTGGATCAAAAAATTCTCCGCACCCATATCGAATTTTTTTACTGGTTCCCGGGCATCCCGGGAACCGCCCTGTGTACGCCCCTGCTATACTGCATGCGCGTGTTGCATGGGACAGCTTGTATTTCAGTGCGCTCCCGTTGCTTGCCGTTGCATACCGTGTCACCTTCCTTTACAGCTTTCTCAAAGGTTGTGTGGAGCTCCTGAGTGGTGAGTAAGGGCATCCTTCCCTTGCTGCTTTCTGCCACAGTGCATGTGCGTGTACAGGTATGTGTGTGTGTGTGTGTGTGTGTGTGTGTGTGTGTGTGTGTGTGTGTGTGTGTGTGTGTGTGTGTGTGTGTGACAGTGTGTGTGTGTGTGTGTGTGTGTGTGTGTGTGTGTGTGTGTGTGTGTGTGTGTGTGTGTGGTGTATGTGTGTGTGTCTGTGTGCGCGCTGGTAGGCTTAGCGAATCCAAATCGTGAGAACGTTTTATGCCCACTGCTCGTGGGCATATTGAATTGATTACTTGATTAATTTTTCAGCCAATCATTATATTAATCTACCAATCCTACCGGTAGTAGGACCAAAAACTCTAAATCAGCGCAATGAATGTGTGCGCTGCACGCATGTGTATACATGTCTGCAAATATGTTAGTCAGCAACAGGCAACTTAATCTCTAATAATTACCTGTATGCCACAGGGAACTTTCACCCACTGCTTTACCGCGTGAATCCAAACTCATATTCAGCGGGTCATCAGTATCAATATTATCAAGAGTACAAAACCCCTGGGGCTATGTGCTCTTGATAACTATTGTCAACATACTCAGAACTCTATCGATACTTGGATTCATAGACTCCGCCGTAGCATTGCTGTTGAGGAAGTAATTCGCGATCAACCATCCTGCATCGTAGATCTACATGATTGTATTATGATCTACATGATTGTATTATGAGCAAGTCGGGACTCACGGTGTGAGTTCTCGGCAGACAGTAGTCAGTAGGTCTACCACCGTGCGTGTCAAGTCGACGAGTTGCTAGACTGCAAATCATCAGCATGTGTCCTCCGCCAGTCAGTGCACTTTAATTTATTAGAGGGCCACACGGGACAGAAGACGGCTCGTTTGCCCGCTCTCACACTACGCTCCCATCTCGCTCCACAACCGGGATAGGACGGTAAAGTTAGTTTCCCGCCTCATCTCCACCCAGGAATCTTCCTCCTTTTGCCAGCAGTTGTGCTGTGTTGAGGAGCACATAATCATGATGATTGCCCGAGATGTCCCCTTGAAGACAAAAGCTGGCAAGTTATCATCAGTCTCTGTGGTCGATATTCACTCCTCCTTCACTATAATGCTAGTCAGTGACTATCTCTATTGTTATTGTGTCTGGGGTCGAGACTACTAACTCTTGATTCTACCAAGAATATAATAATAGCCATCTCCTACATGACAGTGTCATGTACTGGTATTAGTCCGGCACCCAATATACATTGTAGATTAGTTATCATCATGGTATTATGTAAGCCTTGTTTGGTAGATCGGTTGACAGTACAGTATGTTGCAAGAGGTTCGAGTCCTGGTGGGTCTAGCATTTTTTCCCTTTTTAGACACTTCAACATCTCCTTCTCTTCTTTCTTTTCACCTCCAATGTAAACTTGACACCATCCACACCACGTCTCACTAACTTTAATGTCACACTAATATCACGCTATGCTACTTTCCTGGGCATAAGTTTGTAGCCAGAAGAGTACAGATAATTTATCAGTTGTCTGAGGATTGCCATAGCTTTGTTATGTGCATGAAACGCAGTGTTACAACAATGACCTAGCCAGTTATCTGAACTAGTTACTAGTACTTGTCTCTGTTCTCTTCTGCCTTCGTAGTAATCATCATGTACATACGCACTGTGTCGGCAACTGAAATCCGACCCCCTTGCCCGCGCGGCGCGCCGGCAAGGGGGTCGGATTTCAGTTGCCAGCACTCTACTTGTACATGATAATGCTTCTTCTGTAGTTTCAGACTTCAGTCTGTACTCTAGTCTCACCCTTTGTAGCAGTTCTCATGTTGTTCACGCCAGTGCACTAGTGGGGTTCGTCTCTGCTGCTTGCTTCAGGTAGGGGCATGTCAGTCTGTACAATCATGATTGTACAACTAATACTAATACTTGTTAGGTCAAACGTAATGGCCTCTCCACTTTTTCCTGCTTCATCACGGTTCAGTTCCCGGCTACAACCCTGAGCAGCACTACACTGAGACTCTACAGTTACCGGATGATCGCCAAGACGGCAAGAGCACGTTCTCGCAACATGTCTACCAGCTCTTTCCCTGCTAGTGCTGCTGTTAGCTGCTGCGCTAGAAAGCCCCGGCTCACGCCCCGGCTCACGCCCCGGATCACGCCCCGGATACAGTCTAGTAGTTCGCTCCTTTCTCCGATAATAGGATACTATTATTCGGTTATTTGCATTCCCGCGGCTGCGTCAGGCAAGCAAGTGTCGAAGACACTGGCTCAGTCCACACATTCGATTACTAGTATGCTAGACATAGCCTACATAATATGTCGTAGGCAGTACAAACAAAGGGACTGTTCTAGCCAGATTGCCTGCCAGAACTTGTGAAGAGAAGGCAGAGAGACGAAAGAGAGAAGAAAGAGAAGAAAAAGAACATAAAAGGATGGAGTCACGTTATCATAACGTTATACTCCATTATGATATCCAATGATCAAGACTAGTGTACGTGTACGGTGTTCCTACAGTAGTACATGGTATACTGAAGTACGTACCAACACCTCATAGCTCATGAGCTCGCCAACAGTTGCCTCGGAAACTCCTGTGCAATGGTCACACTCACAAGTAACGTTACAGTAGTGACTAGTCGACTGTATGTACATGACGATCGTACATGACGATTATACATGACGATTATACATGACATTGTACTCAATCTGCGGACAGCATGCTGTTTCGTTCTTTGTGAGCTCATCAGCGCAGTACAGAGAAAATGAGGCCGAACCTGAAAGCAATAAAAGGTAAATATTCCAATGCCAGGTTAAACCAGGCCCGAACGCACCTTGCCAGAGTGCTCAGAGTCAACCCAGGGAGTAGTATAGTACTGTATTGTACTCCCTGGCTCAAACGGACAAGTCGGTGAGCTCTGCGTAGAGCGAACAGCAAAGGCACTACCCCACATGAGAGTGCTACTAACGTTACAAGAGCAGGAGCGAAATACAGGCAATAAGGCAGTCTCTCTCTCTTTCTCTCCCTCCCTCCCCGTCTCTCCCTCCCTCTCTCTGTTACCGTGCATGCTTCACATTCTCATGTAATAGTTCTCTTTTTAAGTTTGCATGCTTCATACTCTTTATTGCTCTCCTTCTTTCTTCGTCATTTTTGTGAGAAAGGCAGCAATGGCTGTTCATTCTGTGAGAAAGGCAGCAATGGCTGTTCATTCTGTGAGAAAGGCAGCAATGGCTGTTCATTCTGTGAGAAAGGCAGCAATGGCTGTTCATTCTGTGAGAAAGGCAGCAATAGCTGTTCATTCTGTGAGAAAGGCAGGAATGGCTGTTCAATCTGTGAGAAAGGCAGCAATGGCTGTTCATTCTCTGAGAAAGGCAGCAATGGCTGTTCATTCTGTGAGAAAGGCAGCAATGGCTGTTCATTCTGTGAGAAAGGCAGCAATAGCTGTTCATTCTGTGAGAAAGGCAGGAATGGCTGTTCATTCTCTGAGAAAGGCAGCAATGGCTGTTCATTCTCTGAGAAAGGCAGCAATGGCTGTTCATTCTCTGAGAAAGGCAGCAATGGCTGTTCATTCTCTGAGAAAGGCAGCAATGGCTGTTCATTCTGGCCAAGTAAATAAAATATACATGTACCAACCAACCAAATACTCAATCTGCGGATAGCATCATAGCATCATAGCATAATGCTGTTTCGTTCTTTGTGAACTAATCAGTAAAAGCACTACCCGACATTAGAGTGCTCAGCTACTAGCCTACTACAAGAGCAGGAGCGAACCACAATGTATGTACATGTACATCAATTTTGGAAAGGCACTTCGTTATTATTTCCTTCACGGTTCATGCCCCTCTTGTAGCGCTGACTCTGACTAGACTCCCCGTGGTCTGACTACAAGTGGGTCATGTTTGTTTTCGACTTTCCTACGCCCTGTATTGTACCGTTAAGTTTTAGTGCAGTCCAGCTGGTATGAGCTGACGCATCAAGCTGTTTTGACCATGTGCCATGGTGGATGGGCGGTGTACCATTATGTCCTGTACACCCGCTACCCACGGTGAGACCTCGGTATCACGGTCTGGGCCTATGTTCTTGAGAAAGGTCTGCTCTTCGAGACTTGAGAGTTCTCTTCTTGATATTTAGTTGGGAACGATGCCGTGCCACAAACACAAGCTCCTAGACGAAAGTGAATGATGTGAGCATATGCTCTCCGTGCTTGTTTTCATCTGCTGCTGCATTCTGGTCAGTGGTCATCCTGGTCATTATTCTCATTCTAATGTTATGCATCAAACAAGGACTAGGTGCAAGTAGCAATGGCACTGCTTGCTTGGGATATACCATGATATACATGATGTATTTATTATATTTTTTATTTTATTCTTATTAAATTTTGTACATGTAATTATTTCAAATGGTGAAGAGTTATTTGTACATGCATATCAGTAATTATTTTTTAAAAGGAATTCGTCTAGCACTACAGACACATTCCGTTATCATGGATCACAGGGTGGTTTAGTCGTGGATGTAGAAGGCCGCTGAAAAGTTGAACGGCCCTTTAAAACTTACATCACATGTACTTGTCGACAAAAGTTAGAGTTACCGAAAGACTTTTGTCGGCACATTTGGTCTGTGTTGTTTTCAAGATGTTGGTTGGTTGGTTGGTATAATTATATTTTACTTCGCCAGAATGAACAGGCATTGCTGCCTTCCTGCCTGGACAAGTGGATTGTCCAAGCTCTCACAAAAAGACGAAGAAGGAAAGAAATATTACATGAGAGTGTGAAGCATGCAATCTTATAAGAGAAAATTCGATGAGAGTGTGACGCATGCATGATGAGAGAGGAGAGAGAGAGAGAGAGAGAGAGAGAGAGAGAGAGAGAGAGAGAGAGAGAGAGAGAGAGAGAGAGAGAGAGAGAGAGAGAGAGAGAGAGAGAGAGAGAGAGAGAGAGAGAGAGAGAGAGAGAGAGAGAGAGAGAGAGAGAGAGAGAGAGAGAGAGAGAGAGAGAGAGAGAGAGAGAGAGAGAGAGAGAGAGAGAGAGAGAGAGAGAGAGAGAGAGAGAGAGAGAGAGAGAGAGAGAGAGAGAGAGAGAGAGAGAGAGAGAGAGAGAGAGAGAGAGAGAGAGAGAGAGAGAGAGAGAGAGAGAGAGAGAGAGAGAGAGAGAGAGAGAGAGAGAAGAGAGAAGGAGAGAGAGAGAGACTGCTTCTCTTTTATTGCCTGGACAAGTGAATTGTCCAAGCTCTCACAAAATGACCAACAGCAACGGCAGCAACAACAGCAACAACAACGACGGCAGCGGCAACAACAACAGACCACAACAACAACGCCAACAACACAGCAGCAACAACAACAGCAACAACAATAGAGAGAGAGAGAGAGAGAGAGAGAGAGAGAGAGAGAGAGAGAGAGAGAGAGAGAGAGAGAGAGAGAGAGAGAGAGAGAGAGAGAGAGAGAGAGAGAGAGAGAGAGAGAGAGAGAAAGAGAAAGAGAAAGACGAGAGAGACGGCTTTGCTACCTGGACAAGGGGATGTGCCTTTGTGTGGTACGTCCTGTACTTGCTTGGGCATATGAGAGCACTATTTTGCTGCAAGAACCCAGGTCCTTACATGTACATGAACATGTATGTATTTTGTGTCCTGTACATGTACATGTACATCATGATTATATTATATTCATCGTTCAACAGTTTGTTCAAAAGACCCGGAGACTGAATAGTTGCAGCCATTTATACATTATATTTCAGTGGAGGACGTAGTCCTCCTGTAACACCTCTGGGTCTCTCACGGCAACAAACTTACTTTGATTAATGCTATTCAATAGAGACATTTCGCTTCAGTGGGTTCAGGGGTTCCGACTATTAAAGGAGAAGACTCATTAGGATTTATTGAATTGTTCGAGTGAGAAACTCAGAGGAGTGCAAGGCTGTCTTGATTCAAGCTACATGAACATCGTATGTGCTTTTTCTAGCCTTGCGTCTATGTACACGGTAGTCCTTCCATATGTACCGTACAAGTATCATTAGACTTATAAAATAATAATGTAGTTCAGACTCGGTACTGACTACTGAGTACTGTGTCACCACCAGCACCAGGGAGTCATTATAAACTATTACTTTTAATTCTTTTGAAGTACTGATGTCTTTAATACGATTCCCTGCCCCTACATTAATTTTGTGGTACTGTCTGTACATCACTCGGCATATGCGCGTGCAGGCACCATTCGCATCCTGAAGACACTAGTTACTAGTACTAATAATACGTCTTGACGTTGCAGGCACATGCACAGCAGCGGATCCCGAGTAGGAACCAATGCTGCGTGCACCTGCCAGCAGGGAAAGCTAGAGCCAGTAGAGGTGCTTGTAGCTGTGTTACTGTTACGGGAGTGTCAGCGTAGCACCTATAAAAGATGCGTTCTTTACAAAATACACAATCTGAATCTGTTATCCTCACCGTGTCACAATAATCTTCTCATTCACACGACTTTCTCACTCTCCTTTCGCGAGGTACATGTATGCCGATAGGGAACCGCGTGATTGATTGTGTTCCCAAAAGAAAGAGTATTCGCCCTTTCCTCAGATCGGCGCAGTAGTTTCTTTGCTATTTCTAGTACTACTGGCAGTACTGCTACAGCTGTACTGTGTAATGCGAGAGAGCAGCGTAGCGATTCACTTCCAAGACAGTCATTCTTATTCTCTCCGCGTGTTCAATGCCACTGGTGATGGCATTTTAAAAGTGTTTTTCATTTTGTCTGTCCCCACATTTACAAAGAATATCATAGCAGCAATAACAATAATATTATTATTACTGTTAACAAGACTTTAAGACTTTAGTACAATGATTGTACAATGTACTGTCTGACTCAGTCAGAGAGGGAGTCAGTGACTGGCCCTACTGCCAGTACTGGCACCCACGGTACGGTGTACAGAGTGTTGCCAAGTAACAAGTTAGTTACATCACTACCTGCTCCATCTCAGTATTGCCTACTGCCTGGTATTGGTATCGGACAGTCGGCTAACGGGGCACCAGCCTGACCAGGGGCAGTGGGAACCCGCTTGCAGTCGTTCCCGCTAATAACCGGTGCCCTGTGCATGCAGAGCTCGCTCAACCATGGCGCGGATCTTGAAGATGGCACAGCTTCGCCCAATACAAAGGGTTTCGGAAACCAGGAGGAAAGTAGAACGGCGGCAGCTGACACACTTTTCTTGTCGCTTTTCACGCGACAGCTTCCGTCACCTGTGGCCCTGCGCTGCGCGAACCCCTGTACATGTCACACAATCATAGTACATTCTCTGGCACACGAATCATTGATTTTGTAGATCTGTGCCAGCCATACTACGAAGACAGTACATAATGTACAATGCAAGTAGTGTTGTTGACAAGGCTGAGTGGCAGCCACGAGGAAACGTGCGTTTCCACAGGAGCACACACCTGGCAACACACAGGATTGCAAACGCTTTCTGTTCCTCCGGTCGCGCGGCACAGATGTACAACTCCGCGACTTTCGCGTCTCATGGCGGGGACCAGGAGATCGATCGAGCAGGTTCGTCACGGAAAAACAGCACATGTATGCCCAATCCACCCGTATTCCTATTGCCCCGTTGTGTCCCTCATGCTATTATTGGACAGTAGCAGCTTCTTGACGAGTTAGCGAAACGTACAGGCCATGTCCGAAGCCTGCGAAATATCAACTAATAAATAGAGCGGCGACATTCGAAATTGGATGCTTTTTGTCCAATACTCGAAGGAGCTCTTCCGAGTTGATTCTTCCTTTGACTGTTCTTTCATTCTTGAGAAGGTCTAGAAGAGAAGCAGAGCACGTACAGCTAGTGCTTACGACTGTTACGCTTGCAGAAGAAGTCGAGAACATCATCAACCTTTGAGGTTTTGTAGTTCCCAGACCAGGTGTTAGCTCAGAGCTACAGTTCGGAGTAACCTTGGTAGGTGCCCTGGGGTGTTCGCCTAGACATAATTTTTAATAGCCAGCACCAGCACGGAGCCCAGAAGACAAGTGCAGTCACAGAGAGATCCGACGTTGACAGTCCTAGGCGTGTCTCTGCAGAAGAGATCCACATCCTGCTGACGGCCACGTGATAGCCTGATTCACACTGCTGCCCCAGCGCACCGACGGTATAGATATCTACATCGTGCTACTACTAGTGATCTACACGTTCCGATCACCGCAGTCCCCCCCCCCCCCCCCCCCCCCCACTCCCCACGTGACGTGTCGCCCTTTCCACCATCGACACAAGCTGCGATAAGAGTGTCTCGGCGTCAGGCGCTGGTCTTGGAATCGTCGACACAGGTACGTCTACTGGAAAGGCTTTGACAACATGAACCTTACGGTCACCGCAATTACCTGTACATGTACATGTACACACTCATGTGTTCAGAATTCAGATAGCTAAATCGGTTTTCCCTTATGAAGATTGCCACTATCGCTTATGCCATTAAGGACACCATGCAGAGGATGAAGAGAGAGAGAGAGAGAGAGAGAGAGAGAGAGAGAGAGAGAGAGAGAGAGAGAGAGAGAGAGGAGTGAGAGAGAGTTTATAGGTATAATTAATAGTATTATCATGAAATTCTAATCAACGGTTGCAGTCACTGCAGTTAAAACCTGCGCCCCGTCCCATCGTCCCACTTCGATCGGTAGGAATTGCTGGTGCTCTGCAGTGTGGATTATGTTATGCAAGTTCGTAGAGCTGGGGAGGAGAGGGGGGGGGGGGGGGGGGGGGGTAGGGGTGGTGATAGATCTATCAAGATGGAAAAGAATGCATCCAGTTGCCGGAAGTGAAAACAGAATCACCCGAAACTAAGGATACACGTTAGCACAGTCAGCGAGCCATTGGAAACAAGAACCCGGGATAGGGACAAAGTCACAAAGCCTGGAAAAGGGAAAAGAACCCAGGGACAAGAACCCGGGATATGGATAAGTGGTGTAGGCAATTTGGTAAGTAAGCTTTCTGCAGGATACATGTAATATTATAGAGTGTTTCCCTCGAATCCCCCCCCCCCCCCCACAACCCCTCTTCTCCTAGCCATCTCTCTCTCTCGTATTCTCCTTTCGCCTCTCTTTTCTTTCTTCACCTTCTTGCTAAGGCTGGTTATTATGGACCGTGTACGCTCTGTATGTAATCTGTGTTATTTCCCCCTGACGTGTCTGTTGGAGGGTCTAAGCTGGGTTGGACATCGTTGACAGGGTGTAATCCCAGTGTCTATCTCCCCAATGCTACAACGCAAAGTACAATACTGATACAGTACTCATGATCATCTCGTATCAGCATGTGCAGCAGCAACGATGACACCGTCGCGGGCCCTGGTTTTTTTTAAACTCACAGGCAGCGATGCACAGGCGCACACCTGTAGATCCATTGTGCGTCCGTGGCGTTATCACGTCCAGCGCGGCTGAAAAACGACCGGCCATGGTCAAACGAGCGACCGCCGCGTTAGTAATAATGTACCCTGGTGGCCAGTGGTGGCCAGTGCAGGTGAAGCACATTCATATTCAGCCAGGACGGCGTTCCCGATCGTTTCATCAAGGTCAGGAGGGAATGCGAAGATTTGAGCCACAGCTATCGGCTGCAGGTGCTGTATTGGTTTGCGTCCAGGCTCTATTGCCTGTGTGTGTATTTTTCTTGCTGCCAACACGCCAATACACACACACACACACACACACACACACACACACACACACACGCGCGCGCGCGCATACGGACCAGTTGAGACAGGAACAGCATTACAGCTGCTGCTCGATGAACACAGTTCAAGTATGGCCGGAACGAATTTCATCGTGTGCTACATGTATTCGCCGTCAATGTGTGCCTCACACACTCAGACGGGCTGCTTCAACAGACACGAACTCACAGGCGGAGAATCATGGTTTCGTGCCAGATGACCTTGGCCGTGTCTTTCCATGTCTATTTCATACAGCGCGTGTCCCTCTGTGCGTTTGTTGTCTCTTTCCTAGGTTGCTGTCCCCAGAAGAAATCCTCTTAGCCCAATATTGGACCCTTTCTCTGAAACCACACAGGTGGTAAATCTCGCACAGCATTAGCAGAGGTGACCTATATTCAAGTCTATAGTCTAGTTCTATGATTCAAGATGGAGTGCGATAGGAACAACTACCACAGCTCCATTACTGGGAAGTCGCCAGCAAGCAAACTCCGAGACCATCCTCAGGCTCTTCCCAGCGAGCAGATCAGCAACACCGATGTGACGACTGTTGCTGCAGCCAGTGTTGCTGCTGTTGCTGATGCAGTCACAGGCAGTGGTGGTGGTGATCATGGTCGTCATGCAGATGAGGGAGAGGTTGCCAGGTGAGGCGTCACTACGGCTAATACAATCATTCAACGTGTATTGCAAGGGTATGCATTGAAATGGTTCCCACAGCCATGGAATGGGAGCACGCTGATACAGTGATATGGATGTGCGGGGAGAGGAGGAGGGGGGGGGGGGGGGGCTTGGGCAGTGACTGGCTAGCAATAGCACGTCTATAAAAATAATGACCTAGCCTGCCTAGCAGTATTACAGTAAGTGTCCATTTATGTATAGGTGCTGTGTATTTGATAATAATTGATTGATATATTCTTGTACGTAGACAGTGCAAACAGCAGTACGATGCACTTTGACATTGACATGGAGGAGAGTACAATCATTTAGGCAGATGAATCCTACGTTCTGCGGATGGGTGTTTAAGACATGATCATGTTCGCCGTCGAGCGTCTTTGTAGAACGCACCGAATCTGTCCAGTGTCCATGCCCTCCCTGTCACATACACCGTATTATTACACGTCTAAAGGCTCTCTCCCCAGTTCTCCCGCTTAGGTATCAATGCCCCCTGTGTGCAACATCCGATTTTGAAAACATGACCCATTATATAATTATATGTATAACAGTATTGGACTGGAGAATGGGAGTGCGTTGGCAGAAACATTTTTACACGTCACCTACAGGTCTAAATATTCGATGGCGTATAGATCATAACCGGCATCATGCCAAGGATCTTCCTTGGTAAAACTTAGGGGTCTCTTCACAGTCGTTCGTGTGCGCCTAGCCGCCTGCGAGGTTGTACCCTGCATTGATTTGAGGAAATCGCATACTCATTTCCTGGAGTGAGAATAACCATCCTTGGTCAGATAAACACCGCTGTGCAGCTGTTTGAACGCTGGGCCTGAGATCATGCAGTCCATGCAGCCTCCGTAATACTTCAACTACATGTAGATAAAAAAAAATAAAAAATAAAAAAAATCTACAGTATGTGGATTGTGGGTAGATGAACATGTACATCCCTACTACGTTTCTGGATGGGAGTGTCATGATGGTAGAGTACCGGGTTAGGCGTCAGTCTCTCAGTGCCACGCAGTGCCAGTGGATGTTCCCTTTCGATGCTCCCATCCTATTGCCTGTGGATTCCAGGTGCCCGTCTCTGAATGATGATCAGAACATGAGGTCAGCACCATCATGCAGTGTGGTGGCTTAGCTGATTATGCACGGTGTGTGTGTGTGACTGGGTAGTGTTGATCATCTGGCCTCTTTGGGAAAGTTTGGCTCCTGTCGCGATAGCAAACAGTCCATCTTCATTTGGTATGATCTATGTAACGCAAGCACAATAGAAAAAACCCCCGCATAGGGTCATGTGAATCACGTCGTGAGCTTTAGATCATGCAAGTAAAAAGAATACATCACGGTAGTTACAATACCGAATACCGAATCATAGGTGTGGAGAATGACACCTGCATTTTGACATCGAAGATTAAGCAAGAGAGAGAGAGAGAGAGAGAGAGAGAGAGAGAGAGAGAGAGAGAGAGAGAGAGAGAGAGAGAGAGAGAGAGAGAGTGTGTGTGTGTGTGCGAGAGAGAGAGAGAGAGAGAGAGAGAGACAGAGAGACAGAGAGACAGAGAAACAGAGAGACTGAGACAAATATTGCCAAGGTCATAAATGTGGTTATAATCGTGTTTCCAAACAGCCATAGTGGCACGGTATCTGTTTACCTAGCCAGTGACTTCATACGCACACTAGATCGACTCTACATTGGATTACAGCTGAGCGTTTTCGCAACCAAAGTACAGCATCAGAGAAAGAAACTTGGTGGATGCCAAGTGCCAAGTGGTTTAATGTATTAGCTTCTGCACAATATTCAAAATCTAAAGCAGGCAAATATTGAAAACCTCGGTAACACAGTGTACCACGGGTGTAGGTTCTGAGTCGGAACGCATCCGCCGGTAAATGTGTTATACTTCTAGAAACATCTTGCTCCTTCCCATCAACTTGTATAGACTGACACAGATTGGCAGAATAACTTTACATTGGCCATAAGGCGATAGACACCGCATCGGTGCCATTTGTAGAAGGAATAACGACAATTATAGATGTTCGCCACGTCTCACTTGCTGAGCCTTAAGAATTATGACTACACGTACCTGTATGTGGAAAGTGGTCCTAAGAAATCCAACACTAAACTGGATGGTCCTTCATTTTACCAAAAAGGAATTTCTTCGGAGCATTATCATGATTATTGTGTGGACCTATGGTGTGCGTGCGAGGAGCGGATTCTCTTGTACTTCAGTAACTACTACTATATCCGCAGATACAGAAGTCTATGCACATTGTAGAGCTGTAGTAGCGAAAACTAGGACCTAGGAAGCTAGGCACGAAAGAGTTAATTAAACACGTTCTTCTTCGGGTATGTAAGGAAGCTTCGAAGGCGGGTGAGAGTAGACTGGCGCGTACGCGGGTTTCTTAAAAAGGTTTACATGTATATTTTTAGTCGACGGGCTTCTTCAATGTTCTTGTTAATCACCATATCTCTAGTGTGGGAATACATACATACTCCGAGTAGTATCGTGTGATGACGCCACGAAACACGACAGTGCGTTCTTGTACATGAGTCATCCATTGGCACTCTCGATTTGAAACCTGCACACGGCCATTATCAGAAACTGTGCACAAATCTATCGGAGGGTAATTTGGACTCGGAACAAACCCCGCATCCCTATTGGTGTCTATCACCACTGCTTATGATGGTTACCGCAACGCTTCAATCCCTTTGGTGATCGGTCCCCAGCCCTCTGCACCTGTCGACAGAACCAGAGAACAAGCCTGTGACAGATGTGGATAGATCTTTGTGTCACAGGCAAATCTAACATAGGGTTGGTGTCAGTGGGGGATGGTGAGAGGCGACGCAACTTGGCCATCTAGAACTGCATTGTGCCACTCTCAGTCCGTCACGGTCGAGTAAAAACACAATAGTAGCGAGGGACGGTGTCCACGTTTCCATTTCGCTATGGTGCCAGAGAAGGAGAGAGAGAGAGAGAGGCAGAAAGACAGATAAACAGACAGACAGAGTGGGCATAGTGTTTGTGTATGATCGGGTGTTCATACCTACAAGTACGTAGCCAGGATAGCAGTCCTAGTGAAAGCAGTGGGTGCTTGTGCTGGTGAGGCCCCTTTGTTGAAGAGACCCCTGTGCTGGAAAGACCCCATGTGCTGGAAAGACCCCATGTACATATGTGCTGGAAAGACCCCCTGTACTTTCAGAAACCCCTGTGCAGCCTCATGCCATGGTGTGATCTTGACACAGTTGACACTGTTGAAAGTATGCTTGGGCCGGCTGACCTTGGGACACGAAGCGTATCGCAACTGCCTCTTCACTCTTTGGTCTGGCACCCTGTGCGTGCCAACGTTATGGGCGAAGAACAGGTGAACAATTGACGTGCTAATTGGGCGGCGATATCTATAGAAGGAGAAGCGTGCAACCGAGCGATGCCCCTGTTTAGCATTGCCCTACTAATGCCGTGGTCAGACCGTTTAGGCTGAGGCTGCTAGCACTCTAAGGGAGCATTCCTGTGTGCACACTATGCTCAGAATCACGTACAGTATAGAGTCAGGTAGTAATAGCAGGAGGAGGGGAGTCTGAAGTGTAACGGTTTCTGGGTCGCAGCAGCTTCCTCACTACGCGACATTGCAGTGAACTCCGCTTGGATCGCGAGACAGGATGCTCTACTCACTGCAGTTCGTGACCTTCTGTCCAATGAAACTAGTTATTGAGTTCCTCACGCAATGCTTGAAAGGCAAAATGTCGGAACCGCGCATGCAGCGGGTAGCGTGTGCGCACAGCTGCGAGCAGCTATGGTACGGATAAAGCCTTTCTACTCATTCGAGTGTGACCGAAGTACGTGCCTGTGGCCTAGGGTTCAAATAACGCCCGTCTCATTCTGCACAACTGCCCACTCTTGTCCAAAATACGTAGTTTATGATCATGCCTGCAGGAGTAATTAGTCAGTCCGGCAGATCATGCCTACTGCGCTCCACCTGTATCGATTGCTAATACATCGAAGGAGCGCTGATTTTCAGTAAGCCGTGAATACGATAAATGAGGCTCATAATTATGTAGTCAGCAATGATGTGGCCATCTGCCAGTTTCAAAATCATCTGATCGTCCAATCGCTGTATTTCCTATAGCCTAACTGTATTCATTTTTTGACCGGACTTGAGAACGCTAGGTCATTGAACGAAGCAACACCACCAGAAGCACAGTACACAGTCCTAGTCTTGACTTCCCTCGCTGATAGTTCACCCATTACTAGCATTAAGCTACAGTACTAAACGCACGATCGGCCTGCCATACTCTGAGGTTCTCAAACTAACCGCTGGCGCCAGGCGATGTCCGTCCTTTCATTTAGGACTGCAGTATCATCGACTTGCCATGCGGGTAGTGTAGATCTACAGGAAGAGAAGGGTCGCTTTGTACTGTACTGTGGAAACAGCGATGCCTGCACCGATATTCTGATGCAGAAACAAAGACATACTACGCACTATGTACAGACAATACCAAACAGCAGAGTGGCAGCAATCTTCTTCCGCTGACTTGCAGTTATGACAAGTGGAAGCAGACATGCGCTAAAGGTCGTGCGCAATTAGCCATCATGACCTCGCTGTAGCTACAGCAGAATTTGCGGCAAGCCTCCACCAGCTCCAGGGCAAATCAATGTTCCGTGCATAATTGGACGTCGATCATTCTTCGTTTTTGGCGAGAGAGGGAGCGAGGAAGTGGTATTCAACCTGGCCACAAACTACCGATGGTAGTGTGTGTATGTGTGTGTGTGTGTGTGTGTGTGTGTGTGTGTGTGTGTGTGTGTGTGTGCGTGTGTGTGTGTTCTGTTTTCGGAGTTCGGTGGGTGGAGTAGACTGCGGAACCGGGAACGGAGCTGTTCCTCAACACTCAGACAGTATACGTTGCAGGTCTCTGCTAATGAATCCCTCTGCATGAAGTGCAGTCCAGTCCCTAATGCACATGTACACGTCGATTGCTCTTCTC